TTTATGAAAGTTCATGCAAGAGTGTGTCAAAAAGAGTGGCTCCTCTGTATATTACCAAAGTCCTAGATTAGAAGCAAAATATGTTTTGGCTTTCTGGAGTTTATTTTTTAATTTTTTTGTTTGTTTACCATGCATTTGATACGGTGTAAACTTTGCACAAAATTATTACAAAGTAATATTAGCTGGTCATATTACAAAGGTCAAATGCGAAATATCATTGTAGCTTTTCACGTACACATATGTGTACACTTTCCTCCAATAGCACATTTTTATTCTGGGAGTTACAATGCATTCCTCTGAATCCTGAAATGGAGAAGGAATGGTATAATATTAGTATTTGACTACAGTCTGAAATGTCAGCAAATGCCTTTAATATCCATTATTTACCAGCCCTGAAATTACATCTTCACACTGCCATATGATTACGGTCACAGTATTAAAAATGTTGTTCGTGAAATAATTTAAACAAAAAAATATTATCGCCTCGTACCCATTACATAGCAGCATCCAGTGTACCCTTTTTTTCTTTATTCTTAATCTAGTTTGGCAAGGTGCACAGCATACATTACAGCTAATGGGTACAGCACAGCCTGGGATGACATCAGAGGCTGGTGTGATGTTAATCGCACTTCATCATCGCCAAGGAGAGGGCAAAGCTATTTGCAGGTGGGTGGGGGAACTCGATACTTAACATCTAAAATCTCGGTCAAGATGTAGCTGATTTTAAACTAACTATAAAGAACAGATTCAAATGCCTAGAGGTATAATTGATAGCATTATTTCTCCTCTTGATATTAAGGTAGATTATCTCAGTACTGCACAGGATGTTACTAGTTTAAACAATACAAAAACTAGCATAGTAGTGGGGGAGGGGGGGGGTTAAGTTGAAAGATAGACGGAGAACAAATGCATCGGAAAGCGTGAGAGACGTGTTGAGGAAGAGGGAGCTATGAAGGAAGATGGAGTTGCTAAACAAAATATGGAAAACACAGAACCCTGTAAGACGATTACGAAATGGGTGAGAAAAGAAATTGGAGAACACGCCGCCGTAAACATTTATCACAAAGCCTTAGCAAGCCAGCAATGGGATAAAAAAAAACATTGGAGCAAGCAATGAGAATGGAGTGCATAATTGTCAACTTTACAAATGCCCTCCAGGAAAGAGATGTAACCATTAAAGGTGATCGAGATATAATATTAAAATAAGTGCAGAAATGTTACGCATGTCTATATCTCATTAAAATCATACACCCCATGAATAAAACCGTTTGTCAGATGAAGGGAAGATATTCCATGTCACACTTTATAAGTCGTCTCTGCCCTTCTTGGTATGAAAAAAGTTAAAGCTCCCTGGTGCGGATGATATAACTATTAAAGAAGCAGGACAGGATTAGTGGACCTCCTTTATCAAATGTTTACACAGAATCATTAACCCTAAGCATTTTTCTTTTTTTTTTATCTTTTATATTAAGTTCGCTTGCTTGCGTGCTTGCTTGCTTGCTTACGACCGTGCAAATCTTTCGGTCGTTTTTTAACCCACTTCCCGTGATCCACACAGACTCGTTGTGCGAGACAATTAATGTTCGTGAAAATTTTTTTTCTAAATTTTACACTGTTTAGGGAAAACAAATTAAATATTTCATTACCAATTGCTTAATACTGGCAGACAATCATCTGACCCATAGGTGGCAGCCATCTCAAGCCAGAGGACGAGAGGACTCTATCCGCCACGCATATAAAGGATTTATAGTGAAAAACTTTGTTTTTACGGGTTATACTTGTTAAATGGCGATGAACTGCCTTGAAATATTGCTGACCCATTATTCTCTTAACGTATGAATATAAATATATTTTTTTTAATAACATATTGATGCTATATTGTCTAGGTCAACTAACTACACGAGCAAGGGGATGTTTGTAAACGTTTCTCGAGTATTGACCACATACACACTATGCAAAATGTTATTTAAAAGAAAGAATATGATGCATAACCATTGTGCCTAGCCTGCATAAGAGCATAAAACATGTTTTGACTCTGTGGGAAATTATGTAGTTATCCAAGCTGTCACAAATGAACGAATAATACAAATGTGATATATCTTTGTGTTCATAAAAAAACATTTGCAAAAATGAGAAGAGCCATTATTTTACTAAACTTATTCACATAGACATTTAAAGATGGTTTCTGAAAATTGTATTGAGAAGTAAATGCATAAACATAAAAGGAGAACATTTTAACGATGTCAGATTTGCCGATGTCATCGTCATTATAATAGAAAATGCAATTCACTCCTGAAAATAATTGAACGTAATAAACAAGGCTGCAAAGTTGGACTACAGATAAATATCTAGTACAAAAAGTAATCTGAATAATTGAAGATATCTGCTGACGGGAAACAAAAAAAGGAAAACACATCAGAGTATGTATACTTAAGGCAGCTATTGAATTCAGACTGCAATCAAAATGATGACGTACAGTAAAAATGGCACACACAAGACCGCTCTGTAGTGCGTTTGGAAAAATGCACTTTGTAATGAAAAGCAACATTCCAATGTGCCTAAAAACTGTTTCAATCAGTACGTATTACCTGCTGTGACGTACGAATCAGCAACATGGACCCAGGCAGACTGTGGAACAAAAGCTGAGAGGTATCTAAAGAGGCATGGAGAGACACATGCTTAGATTTACATTGCGAGGCAGAAAGAGGAACACATGGATCAGAGCGCAAATGCAATGTTAGAGACATAATATTCACCGTTAAGAAATGTAAATGGTTCAAATAGGTTCTAGATTTGAAGCTTTCGTGACTGCAATGATTCATATTCTTAGGTTTTTTCGGTAAAGTCACGTAGGTAAAAACATTAAAAAGTAAAATAAAATAAAAATCACGACGTTTCGGTTGGAGAACCATTATATAAACGGAGTGGTAGCTCCTGCAATCTCTCATTTGCTTGATACAGCTGTCGTGGCTGTGACGGTACCACCTGAAGACGGAAGCTTGTGTTGCCTCCGAAACGTCGTGATATTTATTTTATTTTACTTTTTAATGTTTTTGCCTACGTGACTTTACCGAAAAAACCTAAGAATAGGTTAACATAGGCTTGGGCAGGGCCCGTTGATAGAAGAGATGATGCCCGGTGGTTGAGACTGGAGTGGCAGCCAAAGGGATGAATATGCCCAAGAGGACACCAGCCAGTGTGCTGAAGCTAGATGTATTATCACAGTCATTGACTCGTGTGGGATAACAATGTGCCACTTATAGACATGCTTCTTTTCTATCACTGCTAACATGGCGTCTGTTCCGGTGAACCTCAATCATTGATTCCTGCACCCCTTATGGAGGACTTGGTCTACCAGGCTGACTGTTTCATCTCATCCACACCATGTCCAGCCACCACGACACAATAGACTTTACCCTTTCTGACAATAAAACAGGTGTTAGATGTTCAAACACCAAATAGACACCTATTGCAAGGCATCAAGTCTGTATTAACCACACGTACATTCTGGCAAGACATGCAAATAAACGTGCTCTGATAATATATGCATTGTCTCTGAAACTGATTGACCTTGTCTCACTATTGTTAGAGCAGAGAACGCCAAAAGGCGAACAGGACAAACGCAATGCCAGTATATAAGTTGCAATTGTTCGAGTTGGTCCCATAGATACACTCTCATTCACCAAATCACTCACCCGCTCACCACACTGCAGGTCACAACAATTACATTTTCTGCATCTTTTCCTTGCACAGCTTTACTTTGGAATTCCCTCCACACATGTCGTTTGCTTTTTACCAAGCCATTGTGACCTTTCCCAATACAATAAGCATGTTACATATGTTCGATTTCAACGTTGATAATGGTTTCTGTCCGATGGAAGTTTAGTTTTTTTGGGCCTGTAATTAGCAATTGGCTTTAAAAAAAAAAGACCAGTGAAAATCATAATTTAGATGCAACATTTACCCCCTGCGCTATAGGCATTTTGGATTTCACTCGGTAATGCGCGCAAGTGGCACACTCGTATTGCATGCAAAGTTTTGGCCACAGTGTACAATGCACTTAATTTATATTGAAAACACCCATCCACTTGTATATATGTTGAATAAAAATGCTAATTAAGTCAGGAAAAATGTGCAGAGCACGAAGTTTGTACACCTCACTTTGGACAACAGTCTTGCCAATTGTGAAACAAAGTGTATTTCGTCGCCCGTTTACATTCACATGCTTCCATCAGCAATATGCAGCCGTCTATGACGCGCATTCGTCACTGCTGCATATAACTGTTAAGTATGGCCAAAGGATGCCATCTGTTATTCACAGGCTACTAAATTTGCGTAAATGCACTTAAGGATATGGAAAGACATTGAAGTGTAACACCTGTCATTTGGTGTTAAAGTCAAACCAGTGCCTTTCTCTAAAATAGTAATAATAACAATATTATTGCTATGTTTGACCAATTTCTTTCCTTTTGTAACACGGAGAATAAAAACGTAATATTTTGCCATACACTTTTAAAAACCACCTCCATCCTTTGTTATTACGGATTATGGAATGGTTCTGTGTGTACCTAATTCCACATGATTTGCACAGCTCTTTGCACATTCTGCAGAGCATAATGTAAAAAAGTCCAAACATGATTGGGACATAAGCATTTTACTGAATGTCAGTCTGTTTTTGTTGCAAATTGTGCTTTTTGCGAATTGGTTTGTATGTCAGTTTGTGTCATGAGATGGAAGCAGTGGATGAGAAATGCTGTTAAGGGCCAGAAGCTGAGAGTGTAGCAGATATTCTTGTTTCAATAAAGGTTAGCTGGCAAAAACATTTTTCTGGGCACAGTTGTAATGTTCGCATCACTTTGTTTTTTGTTGCCTACGGTTTATTTTTTGGATTTTTATGCTGAGTGTCATGAGTATGAGGTCACGTGCATACCTGCGTTGCGTTTTTGTTAAAATATGCTGAACAGTACCAATATTCCTGTTCTTTGCTGTTCCATCCGCAGGGCAGGAGGGGAGAAACAGGACCCCCGGGCAACGAGGGACCAAGGGGACCTCAGGTGAGATTGGGGTAACTCTTTCTTTTTGGTAAATTGACTCGATCAGGAGGCCACGTGTGATTGCATAGAGTGTGGGGTAATATAAACCCCTTCCATGACTTCTAGATTTGAAGTTTTCGTGACTGCAAGGATTCATACTCTTTGGTTTGTTCGGTAAAGTCACGTTAAGTAGAAAATTAAAATAAATTAAATCACGACGTTTCGGAAGCAACACACCCCTATGCTACAGCAATTTTACTGGAGCGGTTACACCTGATGACGGAAGCTTGTGTTGCTTCCGAAACTTCGTGATTTAATTTATTTTAATTTTTTATTTAAAGCTTTCGTGACTGCAGGGATCCATCTTCTTGGTTCTTTCGGTAAAGTCACGTAGGAGGGAAGTAATAAAATAATAAAAATAAAACATAATACAATTATTTTATTTTATAAAACATAATAGAATTATTTTATTTTATTATGTTTTATTTTTATTATTTTATTACTTCCCTCCTACGTGACTTTACCGAAAGAACCAAGAAGATTTAATTTTTTACCTACATGACATCTCGTATCAGTGGAAGAGTAGGCCAAATACCTTCTCGAGCACCCTCTAATTGGTGGCCCTTTGCCATTCGTGGCATGAGCAAGGCTGGCATTTAAAAAAAAATATGCTTAATACCTCAAATCATAATTTTGTCCACAGGTTCATACAATTTTTCTGCAAACGTTTATTCACATGTATAACAAATGTATTGTTTTCCATCTACGATAACTGTTAAGATACAATGTATACTTTGGAGCGCCGTGGCGCGGCGCTGAGATGTTAACTCCCTCACCTGGTATGAAGGAGGTTGTAGGTTTGATATCGACTCTGACGCCTGTATACTTGGAGTTTGCATGTTCTCCCCGTGGTCACATGGATTTTTTTCCGGGTACTCCGATATTTCCCTCCAGATGTAAAAACATGTTTTTGAGTATTTTACTGCAACAAATTCCGACGTGATAAGTCACTTTAATGAGCTATCATTTGTAGCGTGGTCGCTTTTGGAAAATAACTATTTAGCCCAGTGGGCCTTACCTGCTAAAATAAAAACATAGTTTATGGTTTATTTTTAGTTTCTTTTGTATGTAGATTTGAAGAATATTTAGATTATCATATTATAGCCAGGGGCAGTGGCAAATTGCTTTAATGCTGTACTTGGGAGACGTGGGTTGGATTGAATCCATCTGTGTGGAGCTTTGGACGTGAGCCCTTAATTTTCCAGTATAATCTAGTATTCTCCCACATGCCAACCACTCATGAATGGAAATCCGTACTTCCCTTCGCGTGAGTTAACGACCCAAGGAAGCAGACACCACAGAGGTAGCTCTTGAGTTCCCTTCAGGTGACCTCTAGCCCACGCCCACTGTGAACATAAAGCTGACCTGAAACACGGTAGGACAAACACCTCAGCCGTGGCAGATCACTGTTACAACTCAGTGGGCTCACATGATATTGACTTCTCCAAGACAGAGGTTCTCTGCAAGCCATCTGGCTATCATGAGAGATTCGTTCATGAGGCGATCCACATATACAAACACAGAGACAATTTTAACCGAGAAGATGGATTCTGGCTTAGCAATCATTGGAAGGACGTAATAAACCATTTCGACACACATTAGGGTGGGTAGAATAATACATAGTGTTATATTAAATGTATAAGATATAGGTTGGTTTACAGCAATACAGTATATAATTTAATGTTGGCAGTATATAGTACGGTATATGCTCGTGTGATGCAATAGAATAAAGTTTAGATGGAAGCATATTATATAATTTTTACGACGTAGAATTGTAATGTATTACTTGCTGTTAGTAACTCAGCTTAGTGTAGAGTATAGTAAGTATACTGATGGTGCTATGCTATTTATACTTTAGTTTTTTATGTAGTTTATACTTTAGTTTTCTACGTGGTGGTTGAGTAACTGCAGCTACATATCATTAATATTCCTTTCCTTTGTTACTGCTAATCCCTGCACCCCCCCTTGGTGCTGTTGATCCTGCATAATGCATGGGCATAATATGACTTTGAAACCCCCCCGCCCACCTCCTACGCATTTTCCATGAATATGCTAAATTCCTCTTCATATGCACATTCTTTTGTTAAGGCGCTCTTTCTTCCACCTCCAACGCAGCTTATATATAAGCTCCTAGCTTGGCATTGTCTCATTCTTCACCTGAAGACGGCTGCTTGCGTTGTAGCCGAAACGTCGTGAGAATTATTTTATTTTATTATGTTTTATTTTTTATTATTTTATTACTTCCCTTCTACGTGACTTTACCGAAAGAACCAAGAAGAGTCAAACCAATATTTGCAATTCTCAGAGCTGGAAATGAGCCAAATTTAAGTGAAGAACCAATTTGAATGTTACATGTTTTTTGCATGCATTAATTGATGACACAGTGCACTTGAGAACACAGTTTAATCGCAGGCTGCTTAATAAACGTAATATATACGTTTATTAATTTCTTGGCTGACTTAAAAAAACACATCTTTTTAGTTGGTCAATTGGCTTAGGGCGCTTAAGCCAGTCCAATAGTACGAAACCAGAATCACCGAGATCGTGGAGTGACCTCCTCAAGTAAGACAGATGTCTGCATTGTGAGTTCTATAGTTTCAGCATTTTCACAATTCACATAGAAATGCACCTTGGTTCTGCAAACAATTGGATTCATCGCAACTTTCAAAGGCACACTATGTGAGTGTGCATTTAATGGGGAGAGCCAATGTAACGGTGAGCACACTGCGTTAGAAACCCGGTGACCCAAGTGCGTTTCCCACTCATGGCCAACACAAGTGACTACTATTTGAACCAGTTCTGTGCCTTTCTTAGGTCGACTCAATCTCAAATGAGTACCTGGTGCAATGTGTATAAATTGCTATTTTTGAGACAAAAAGCACGTGGGAGTAGTGTTGGCTACCCACTCACGCGTGTACCATCCTGGGCTTCATACGTGCTCGCGAACAGCCCTTACCCCAATCGTCTGTTTAGGCTATATGGTGGATCTTTGTATTTTTGGAGAGCAGTGGCACAGCGGCTACCATGCATTGTGATTACGGTTGCCTGCGTTTGATTTCTGTGTACTGTATGTGTAGCATAAGTGGCAATTGAAGTTTTATCCTGCCCTGAGCCCGATTTAATGACTCAGCTTTAATATGGTTATCGGTTGCAATGTGTAAAAACGTTATCATTGAGGAAAGGTAGGTGACCAGACATGGCACTGGTCATACTACACTCCGGACCTTCGATTAGCAGGGTTGGCTGTACAGAGCGAAAGAGGTTCAACGTACGTGCATGCAACATACATACGAACAGCATTTGCCCCCAGCAGTTAATAGCACAGAATGAATGTTCGCTTTATATGCAGTACAGCGCATTGTCGGATACATACAACCATACCACGTATCTGCAGAGATGAAGGAATACTGTTGTTGTGTGGTTGTGGTAAAAGAGAGGGCTGACTGAAGAAGTATCGGAAAGTATTTCTACAAAGTCTCTTTTTTTTCAAGGGGCACATCCAAAGTTCACATAATGCTCTGCGCTTTGACATACATTAGCAACGTCGGGATATAATTACTCGAGGGAGAAATTCGAAGACATGTTTTAGAGAGCGAGAAAACAAATTCCAAAACCTCGCTTATGTCGATTGAGCCAAAATATTCGAATCGCCCATTGATTACAAAAAGCTGAACCAGTAACAGTGCAATTTTCATATAGAACTGTTCCATAAAAAAAAATCAGGAGTTGTTTGCAGTACCTGGCATTGGTTTTCAATTTCAGCTGGATGCTTAGAAAATAGGGTACCCTATTTGATCTATAATCGAAGACCAATCGAGACCTAAATAAAGGCCCTGATGGAGATCAATCAAATCAATGATCACTCAATTTGCTGACATTCATATGAAGATATGTGTGTGTGTGTGCAATGGGAGACACTTTACAAAGCATTGCTGGATAGTGCCTCGTACAACATGGACGAGCATTGTGTGCTGTCAATTGCGACAGGAATCATCCATGTCTTGAATCGGCACCAGCAGCTCCTTGAATCCGCGGTGTTAGACGGCCCCCCAGTGTTCACGTGTGTAACTGCAAACTAAAAATGTAATGGTTACAACTATTCAATGCGTACTGCAATTTACTAATTGCCACAGATTATAAGATAATTGTTTGGAATATTGCTTACGTGGCATTAATGAGCCAACATCATAATATATTTAGATATCACATTTAGTTTGTAGATTGAACACGGGAATAACACGAAAATTGTTCTGCCCCACATTGGGTTCGTGCAAGGTACAAACAAACACGCGTTATTAAATCGCTGTAATTACTTTGCGTCTACAGCAGTTTCGAATGTACAATTGTTATTGTAAGTGGCACATTATGAAGCTTACTGTATATTTAACACAAGCGGGAAATACAAGGCATTGCCCGGGCACTTGCGGCTATCTTTTGCGAATGTAGAGTGGCTAAATCGCTGTATTCAGAAGGAGGATGGGGTCAATGGCGTTACAGCAACTGTTAAGATATTGCCGTGCCATGGGGCCTGTAATACATTTTATAAAGCGTGCCCACAATGGGGTACACAACGATAAAGCGGAGATTTGTTTTGAAGAGTGAACGATGCCGTTTGTCTCACAGAGAGACTATGGTGGGCGTGCTCACGGAGTTTGACCGTTAATTGGAATCACCACCAACGGGGTTTTGGCTGCTAGAATCAACGGCAATTGTTAGGCTAACTTCATGGGCAGGATGGGGTCATTATGTAAGTGTGAGATTTGCGTGGCCAGGTTGATGCGTGCTGAGTTCGGGATGGTGCCATTACTGGGAGCGTGTGGGGTGCCCTTTCGGAGGCTCTGTGCACCCACATATAGAAGAATGTTGGCGCGCTATGTACTTCAGGTTTCCCGTGGGGTTTTCAAAGGCAACCCTGCCAAGTTTGGTGGCGATAGCTTTAACGGTGTGGCTTTGTATTCAGAACAGAAAGACATACTTTTATTTATATATATAAAAATGTTGTATAGTATATTACTTTTGATATCATCTAAGGAAAATGTATTTCCTAAATTAGATTTGAAGTTTTCGTGACTGCAGGGATCCATACTCTTTGGTTCTTTCGGTAAAGTCACGTCGGTATAAAATAGAATTTATTTTATTTTATACCTACGTGACTTTTTCGAAAGAACCAAAGAGTATTTTCCGATTGATTGATAGATTGTTATATTACATGAACAGATTTTCTTATACTGTATTGGATTATTATACAGTGTTGCAAATGAGTGACAATTACATTAATTGTTGTGCAGTATGTTATATATAGATGTTAGTGCGTGATGGTGCAAATGTATACGTATACATTTTGTGCAATATCATATTTTCTAATTATGCTGCAACACAAGCGTTCATTTTAATCACGTCATTAACATAGTCTAATGACAAAGTTAAATGCATTAGCGTAGTCTAATGACAAATTAATATTCTTAGAATTTGTAAGCAATTATATTTAATCTATTCAAAAATGTGAGGTTCGTATTATTTGATGAAAATGTATGTTGTTGAATGTGATTTTTTTTTGTGGGGGCTTATAATTGCCTCTTTCTCTTAATTCACACTAAGGCCCCAATTCACGTCTTCACTAATGTTCATTTTTATCCGATAACGAACTTGCTGATCCATACGGCATGAACAAAAGATGACCATTTAATTCAGATGTGAATCTGTCTTCGATGGTCTCCCTGCTCACAAGAGTGCAGAGCTCTGTTAGTAAAATGTGAAGGTGCAGCCCTGATATGCCTTGATCAAAAGGACCTCCACTTGTACCCACATATACGACTTACCATTCCCGTCCCAATGTATACGACTAACAATGACGTACCCATTTATATGACTAACCCTTCCCATACCCATATATACGCCTAACCAATCCATACCCATGTATATGACTAACCATCCCCATACCCATGTACGCGACTAACCATTCACGTACGTACCCATGGACACGCTGCTGGGAGGACAGGATTTAAGAAACTTGCACCATCGTTTCAACTGCCCCGCCGGGAATTCAAATCGAACCGGCGACCTCTGGATTGCAAGTGGGGTGTGTGCTGGCTGTCACACCAGGGCAGTCTCTCCTCCTCTGTTGGTAGAGACGAAAACAATCTGCATTCCTCCGGTGGTAACAACGCTTCCCGTAGGACAATCGTTTTTGACCCATGGTTGTGTATTGTGTGCTTAACGCCTGTATCCAAACATATAGGGACAATATTAATTGGTTCCGGTTGATTTTTATGAATCTGTGTGGAAAATAAAGTGTTCAATCATCTTAATACATGTTATGTTTTGCCCTGTGCATTGATTATTTTGCCGCACCAGCTAATGTCTCCGTTGTTTGTTTCACGTAGGGTCCCCCTGGCTTTCCTGGGCCCCCTGGTTTATCCGGTCCGATGGTATGCACACCCACGTGTTAACAATAACCCTTTCACACACGAAAGTCTTGTGATCTCTGCAGGGCATTTAAACGTTTTAATTTTCTTTAGTTTATGCATGCTCTCGCATTTATATAAAAAAAAATGGTGGTTGGTTAGCGCAACGATTGCATCATCACATCGGGAACATTTATTTAGCACCATTGAGGTCACGAGTTGAAAGGTGATAAGCCACATAGGTAAACTCAAGATTAGCATGCTTTCGTAATACATCACTGTTAACCCAGCACATGGGTAAATAACACCGTGGCCCCAATAAAATAATAGGTGTCATTTAGGCTTTGGCCCTTCTTCATCGCACACGAATAAAGAGACCAGACAGAGTGGATAATCACAGTTGGAGACGGCACTGGATTACATAGGACCTGATGATATTCTTTTTATTTCATGTTTTATGATGACCAATTTTATTTTTGTATTGTAATATGAATGGTGAACTAATGTTAGCTATTGGGTAACAGCCAAAGCCTTCAATTATTAAAAAGTATTTATGATGAAATCAACAATTTTGATTGAAGGCTAAATTATAAAAATGTTGCTGGCACATTGCATTGTGGGAACATGTGTTCCTGTAGGCATAGGGCAATATACACTTTGCATTGCATTGCTGGATTCAATCACCGTTTCTGGAGAAGGGCCATTGTCAAAAATGTCACCGATTATATGTTTTTACTCTCAAGAGCTTGTTATTGACGCATGTGTTGAGTGTTTTTTGTTAATTACGCTTGTGCTCTACGACCAACGCAGGACCACCACCCAATTTGTGCACTGTTAATATGTCGCTGAATTGATCAAATCATCTTTATATATTTATTACATACGTTGACAGAGCTGCATCGTGAACATGAACGTTTCAGTGATATATTCTTTACAGAACATAAACAGGCATGGCCTAGCATGTTGGGTAAGAGGGACAGTGTAATAGCCCAACTAAAATGAAGTTAATTTTTATTGAATTCTACAATTTTTCATCTTTACTATTCGAATAACACGATGCTAATTGCCATTGAAACACAGAATGCAGAGGTAATGCAGCTAGGTACATGCAGCTACTCGCAGCAGCTTTTGGCTCGCTATTGTAAAAAGACGGGCACTGCATCACGTGCTTTCAGATGTCCTTCCGCGGCTATCTGGAACGCTCTTCCTTCCGATATTAGGAAGCCACTGGAGCTATGCAATTTTAAATGATCTCGATTGAAAACTCATTTCTTTAGAACTGCTTTTGGTGTTTAGTTTGGTATCCTTCACCTGCACCTCCAATTAACACGGTTGGCTATGTACAGTGTGAAAGAAGTTCAACATAAATACATTCTTCCTCGGATATCTGAACCGGAGGAGCAAGCTATATGGTGCTCCCCACAATTGTTTCCTCTCCCTCCACCCTTGGCTAACCAATAGGTGCCCATAGCCTCCCATCTCTTTGGCTTCCAACTCATACCGAGAACATTTTTTATTTGGTTTCCTAAAAATAAAATAAAAACGTCGTTGTTTTTTTTACCTGGGAGTAAAAACTTCCAATCTGATAGCTATTTGCCAGCGTCGCATGGCACATGCTGTGCCTGGGACAATTACGGACAGAGCCAGAGTAATGCTACAAGACCATCACCACCACAATAACCACAACCACTATAACCATCAACAATGTTACCGCCGACACCCCTACCACCAACACCACCACCATCACCAGAAGTACAACCAAAAAATATAACACGAAAACAACGACCACCACCACGACCAATACCACCATCACCATTCATATTAATTACAACCATAACCAATACCACAACTACCTTGACCATCACCAATACCATACACATTATTATGCTCAACCACCACCACCACAATTACCACGACTATCAAAATCACTCCCAGCATCACACCACAACCATTACCACCACAAACATCAACAGCATCACCACAACCGTCACAATACTCAACACATTCAGCATGAGAGCAATACCTCTACAACCAGCAACCTCTATAGCCGGCTACGGCCATTATAACAACAACAACAACCGCAATTTGCCACTAAGTGGCGGTGACGTCACCACGACGCTTGTGCCAGGCCATTATAACCACACTACCACACCAACATCACAAAAACCACCATCACCCATTACTCGTTGGTTCTTTCGGTAAAGTAACGTAGAATTTAAATAAATAAATAAATTTTGATAAAACGACGTTTCTATTGCAACACAAGCAATCGTCATCAGGTAAGAAAGAATGAGAAAACAAACCTAGTAAACTTAGAAATATAATGCAATACAACACAGAGAGTCGGCTAACACAACAGTCAACACCCTACCTGGTTGATTACGTTCTTCCAAAGATTGCTAAATTTGAGAGAGAGACAAAACACAGACTCGGAGACACACAGACAGACACACAAGCAGAGCGAGACGACACAGAGACACACACAGAGAGAGATAAAACAAACTCAAATCCTCCCCGTAGAGGTGGTTCAAACGTGATTAACTTGTTTACCGTCACCATATTCACCAACAACAAGACACAGGAAGATGTTTGAACCTGGTTTCAAATCCACGTTACCCCATAAGCAGCCTTTCATGAGCCCCGATGCATGGTAATATAATTGCCCTTCACTTGCAAATTATTCCCGTGCTGCGAGTGTATGTGGCATATCACGATATCACAATGGTGATTGTTTCCATTGTATAGTGTTGTGTCATAGCTTGTTTATTGTAATTTATGTTCTCATATTGCGAGCTGTGTTTGTGTATGTTTTAATTTGTTTGAATTGCGTGATGCCCCCTTGTAGGGTTTCCCAGGAGAAACTGGCAAGCCGGGCATCCCAGGAAGTGCTGGACCACCGGTTAGTTCAATTTCATGCCAATTCAACTTGCGCTGTCTATTCATTGTGTCTGTGTACACATGTTGGGCGTGTGTGTGTGTGTGCTCTGGAGAGGCATGGCATAGTGGGTTAGAATTGCTATACAATGAACTCAGTGGCCTGACTTCAATTTCCAGCCACAGAATATCCTAGGGGCCGTCCATAAATGACGTCACGCACCTAGGCGGGGGGGGGGGGGGTCAGACATTTGTGACGATGTGTGACAAGGAGGGTGGGGGGGTTGAGAAATGTGACGTAACATCAAAATGCGCAACTTTAAATAAATATAGACAACACGTTCTACGTAATTAAATAGACTTATTAATAAATGCTTTCTCCTACAACATCAGAGTGCAGCACCACATTAAATAAGCACTACAATGACAATAGTTTAAAGAGATTTGAAGCATGTTTTATATGGGGGGGGGGGTGGGCAGAGCTTTGAGACGTCATATTTGAGAGGGGGTCTGACTTTTTGTGACGTCGTGTGACGAAGGGGGGGGGGGGGGTTAAAAAATCGTCCAAAATCGCGTGACGTCATTTATAGACGGCCCCCTACCCGTTTTCTACTGGCACATCTGAGCCTAATGCCAGCACGCGGCCCGCACAGTACTGGTGGTTTTCCACTGGATGTTTGTTAACATAAACTCGAACCAAACCGTGAATGTCTGTCCTCACAAGACATCTGAATCTAGCTCAGAGCTCAGCAGAGCCAGCGGGTACGGTTAATCGTTTTCGTCATACGCTGTGACTCGACCCGTTCATTGCGCATGACGTAAGTGGAGTGGAAAAACAACGTTGGTGGCAAGCGGTATGTGAACCTGTCTTAGTCTTCCCCTAGGTTGACTCGGCCTTAAATTAGTAAATGCGGGGTGGTATGCAAACATCAGCAGTGGAGAGACAAGGATGGATTGGCATGTTACTGTGTGCATGGCACATTTCCTTGTCTTGATGTCTGTTCACACACAGCACTCATGGTCATTGGTATTTGAAACTTGGCTTGAGTCTTCGTTAAACTTAGCCAAAAATGAGTCATTAAGTGCAGTATATGAACATCAGCTCTGTTCGTGGAAGCTATTGATATAAGACATCTTTAAAAGATAATTTAACGCTGACATTTAAGATACGCATGGCGAAGTGTGGTGCTGGACAGACCTCCCACTCACAGCAAAAGGTGTTTAGAACACCATTAACAGCCACTCGCAAACAGAAATTCCACGAACATTCCGCGTCGTATAAATTGTCCATCTTAATATTTGCCTCTGTGTGGATAGCACACTCTAAAATTCAAAGAGATTTCTGGGTCAAATGAGCATGTATGCTTTGCTCGTCTCCATTCTACAACCCTGAGACAATGGTGGAAATTCCACTTTCCTATGGCAGGGGAGAGTTTACCCATAGGAGACAACAACTGTTGACTTCCCCACGAAGTGGTACTCGTTTTATCGACCTCACGGAGATGATGGGCTGACTCGCAACCTTTCGCTTTGCGAGCCGCCTACTCTACCACAACCCCAAGTGTTTAGCCCTCATAAACGATTTGTAGTAATAATCCGTTTAAAATGCATATGCTGATTTTTCACTTCAGACTTACAGTGCAGACTATAATTAAATTCAACATGTTTGTCTTTTCTAGTTCCAGTTCATTTATGTACAGCAGTTGCCAAAAATCGTGAACACTTTGAACTTCAGGTAGAAAAAAATGTCTACTATGTCTGCTTACTAATTAACCGAGTAGCCTTTATCTGTGTCCATACATGCTCTAATTAAGCAGTAATGAGTTCCCTTGTTACAGGGACAGCCTGGCATGAGCGGAAGACCAGGAGATCACGGGGCACCTGGGATGAAGGTACTCCCCATAATGGGCACACAAAATCCCTCTTTTTTGTGGGCCTCAGTCGTTAATTTTATTTTGAACCTGTAATTTTGAGAATTACGTTTTTTGACAAAGCTTCCATTGTTTATCTCGATAGCATTAATATTCTGACCTGCTGCCCTGTCAGAAATGAATGTGCCCGTGATGTAAAAAAAAAATGTTTTTGTGTATACCTCAACATAATTACATTCCTTTGTTCTGTCAGAAAAGTCTGCCTTGCAGCGGTATTGTTCTGCACATGTAGGAAATGTTACAGTCTTAATGCATTTAAATTATTTTTAGTGTGTAATCTGTCTTCCAAATTGTTTGGCAAATGAAATACAAATTAGTCTCAACTTAAGCTGCTGTTTGGCATTGTTACGAATTGAGGTTGTGAACAGTCCCATCTGTGGAAACTGGTCAGATAAAATGGCTTTAAAGGAGAATTCGACACTATGAGGTTGGGTGGAGCAGTGGCACGTGCGTTTTCGCACTGCATGAGAAACCCAGTGACCCAAGTACAATTGCTGCCATAGCTAACCATAAGTGGTAAAGTTTTATCTTTACCGATGCTGGTCTCCCCACTTCACCAAGCCACACTGACGGGTGTGGTGAAGTATGGTCAAACAACCTCAATGAACAACACGGCATTGAGAGACCTTCATGAAGCAGATGATTCAAATAAGGCTTGAATTTTTGTGCATTTATGATTATCTAAAATACATGTAAAGCTTGTTTGAAATATGCGGACATACATTGAAGAAACTTTGAGCTGTAGGGAAATTATTTTTGTAAATGAGTCTGTGATATACAAACCTGTACAAGCTAAGAATGTGTTCGTCCAAAGACTGATGCAAAACATGTGTATTCGCTGATGTGTAATGCGTGAAATTTACCAGCTAAGGTGATTTCGATTCACTAACATCAACCACATCTGAATACTCTGTAAATGTCCTTATAATCAAGACACTTGATATCCACATTGTTGGAAAAAAAAACCAAGACGGTGGAACCAGCTTAATACGTGCTGCTTATTGTAATACAAAAATGCTGCGTAGTGGATAATAAGCACTGCTGACCATTGACATTTGGTTGCTAGGTAATATGAGGGTTAGAAACTGGCTTCCTCAATTTAAAGGTCAACAGTTAAATTCCGTCCTCCTCCCTGTGGCACACTAGCTCATTATAACAACGGCACAACTTAGTTTGTGTTATGTTGAAGCTCTAATTTTAAGAATCGTTCACCCCATGCTGAAAATAACATCTGTAAACAATCCTAACCCACTTAAGAAAATGACTTGTCCAATAGATTTTCACGTCCGCAGTTTGATATGTTTTGCTGAATGTAGTGGTGTTGAGCAGATTCCACTGAATGCTGAGTTTGTATTTTATTGTTTTTCGCTTATTTTTAACATTTGTTGTCTTCTTTTGTATGTGAGCGTGTTTCTTTTTTTCAGCTGCGATCTTTCGGCTTTGCCTTAGTGTTTTAATTTGCTTGCTTCTGTTGCAGTGCCACTATGCAGCTTGTATTCCTGCATGATTGAGTGACAAAAGGCAAAATGTTTTCTTGAATATATTCTGCACAAAATTCCAATCTGAAATGTAAATGTCAACTATAAACGTGACCAAATTGCGTATTTTTTAAATCTGTTTAAGTAACCCTTTCACCTGCAGTCATGTAAACACAACAGTGAAGTTGAATATTTTTTAGTAACAAGCTGAGAATACTTTGCAAAGGTTGTCGTGAACTAATAATGCCATTAACCGACTTGAAATTATACATGAGACCGATGTTGCTACCATTGACTCTTCTTGGAAACAGAAGTGGCATTGATTTGAAAATGTAGCATTTTCCCATTTCTTAACTGCCTTTAATTTTAATATAAGATTGAATGTTATGGATTATAGTGGTCTGGTGTTCAGTCTGTGTCTACACGACTGCCATTGAAGTCCCTGAACTTGTTTTTGGCCTCAGTATCATGTTTTACAATTAATTTCCCTGCACACCGATGCACAAGCTGCAGTCACAACCAGACGCCATCATAATCTCTGTGAGAATCTCCCACAGCAATTCAGAACAGTTCTTAAACCATTCAATGAAAAAAAGAACACATTTCATAGCATTGAAAATGACACGGTCACTATGTCCCCATCTGGTGAAAGGGTTAAAATAAAAATAAACAGCTAACAAAACAAAATAGATAAATAAAATATTGTAAACAGCATGGTCCTTGTCCTGTTTGTATGTCTTTCTAGGGTGAGGCAGGTCAGTCGGGGGCGGATGGTTTTCCTGGAAAACCTGGCTCAACGGTAACTACAGCAGTTCCTTACCCAGGCCGAATCGCAATGATAAATAGGAAATGTACAAAGCAAAAAAAAAGCTAAAGCCATGTTGGATAACACACCCAAACATGGCTTGTGTGCAGTAATACAACGCTTTTTTAATGCTTCTCTAGAAGCCCATGCATAAGAAATGCGTGCGTTGCTTTAGTTGGCTACATTTTTAATTGTTTCACACCCGCGGTGGCGTATTTACCGGGGATCGAGGTTGTGAGCCATCATTGTCACGATACCTCACACCCCCGTAACCTCTACTCCAGGGTGCCGTGCCTAAATTGAACCTGTCGGCAATCCACTTCCCCTCTTGCCCTATGAAAACCCCCTTCAGCCTGGTGATACAATCGGGGGTGGGTGGCTTCAACGCAGGGTTAAGACAAAATGCCAGCATTTTTTCAAATGAGCCGGTTACACCCTTTGCACGTGTGCACGTGTTAATGGCCCCAGATACGCTGCCGCTCGTGTGGCTTGCAAAGCTCTAATTAGAACGCTCGTCACGGTACATGTGCACGCGGTCCGATTGGAACACGGTTTCGGCTCATGCCATGCTGTGAGCACGCGGGAGAAGTCTGTGGTGCCTCCTGTCTCATCGCGTGTCGTTTACAATGTGGCAGGGAGAGACCGGTCAGGCTGGGAGGAATGGACTCCCAGGTGAGAAGGTGAGATGGGACCTCGACAGCACTCGATACTTTCGTGTTTTATTACATTATTGCTCTCAGGGTCTACCGGTCTTATATTTGATCTAGCAGCTATACGCTGCTACTTTATTAAAATGTACCCGACCTCCCGCAGTGAAAGTTGTGATACTTGATGAGTGGAGTGTGTGAGATGGTGTCACGATGTGAAGTATGAGTACGTGTGTGGTTGATGTGTGTGTGTGTGTGCACTTGAGCACACGTGTGTGCAGCTTGTGGATAAGTCGCTTTTAACCTGGTAAAATAAAAAAAAGGTTTAGTTTTGTGTGTGTGTCTGTTCTCCTACACACCAAAATCTAAACGTTTTATTTATTTTATCTTCACGTAGCAATTCAATGCAGCCATCACAACAGCACCAATTAACATGCTCTTATGCTGACATGAAGTCCATTCGATTGCTTCTCATTGCACATTGGCCCATGGGCTGGGGCTAACTTTCACTTTCCCATTGACTCTAAACTCCACTTGGAATGCATGTCAGGGGTGCAGCCAACGAGGAAGTCCGCACACCCGCGACATCTTTTGTTTAGATGTGGCCAAGAGACGCCGACAAAATAATGCGGCCCTGGTCAAGGATATGTTTAATAGGATTTGTCATGAATACATTAAGCATGGCAATAGTAACGAAATCATAGCATTTGCAAATAATGAGTCACTGCACATCCGGTGTGATCCAATCAATAATCACCGGGAACCATTCATTTCTCAAGTGTGGCTGTGCCCATGATGAACGTCAAAGCATCGCTTGGCCAGTTCACGCTTTGATCTCAGCACAGTTCAGGGTTTTTTTTTCTGATTGTTGTAGCGCAGCTTCATATTTAAAATGAATTTCACCCCAGCTGTATTTGGCCTTCGGAAACAAATCAGCATTTATGGACATGTTGGCATTCTATAAATGCATTGATTGCTTCTTGACTTAAAGCTTTCGTAACTGCAGGAATTACTATTCTTGGGTCTTTGGTAAAGTCACGTAGATAGGTTCAAAGGACATAACAAAAAATAAAAACTACGACGTTTCGATTGCAACACAAGCGGTCGTCTTGTATTGCGATCGACGATCGCTTGTGTTGCGATCGAAACGTCGTAGGTTTTGTTTTTTGGTTTTTTCTTTGAACCTATCTACGTGACTTTACTGAAAGACCCAAAGAATAAGCATTGATTACTCTTCTTTCTTTTGAATGCAATTTTTAAAAAAATGTCCGATAATCCTGACATGTTGGGGAGTTGGTTAGAGACGCAAGGTTTATAAAAATCAAATCATGAGTTTAACTCTCAACAGGGATCAACTTGGCCTATCATTTCCGTCACCAGATCTCGGATGGATAAAATGAGCACCACGTGGTGAGGCGCCAACGCTTGTGGGGATGCTCGTCGCATCTTTCCTCTTGAAGTTTTGACTTCAAACTTTCGTGACTGCAGGAATTCACATTATTGGTTCGTTCGGTAAAGTCACGTAGATAGAAAATTAAAATAACCATAAATAATATTAATAACCAAAAATGAAAACATTTTTTATTTTATTTTCTATCTACGTTACTTTATCGAAAGAAGAATCTCATTTGAGCATGAGATCTTTAACTTTTAAAAAAGTAATAAAAAGTACTTTAAATCATCCTGTGCTTGAATCCGAGGGTATGCTACTGCTTTTAAATTCTAGAAAAAAATAGAATTCTCTCCGCTTTTTTCAATATGATAATATTAACCTGTATTAAAGGTCGGCACCATATTGTGTTAAGATAGACTGTTCTCTCCCCAGGCGTTGCACTACGTTTAGGCCCCATCTTATTTCTTGCCCTGGGAGTGGAATGGTCTCTCTCTCTCTCATTAAAGTGGAGGTGTTATACGGCCTTTGATTCTTCCACCATCCTCATTCTATTAGCATAGAGAAGCACGTGATGAACACGTGGCCCAAATCTGATCCATTTCTCTGCTAAATTTTGATTTAAAACTTTCGTGACTGCAGGGATTCATATTCTTGGTTCTTTCTGTAAAGTCACATAGAAGGGAAATAATAAATAATAAAAATATCAAACAATAAAAATTCTCACGACGTTTCGACTGCAATACAAGCAATCATCATCAGGTGTGACATTTTCTTGCTGTGGATTTCACACCTGATGATGATTGCTTGTGTTGCAGTCGAAACGTCGTGAGAATTTTAATTGTTTTATATTTTTATTATTTTATTATTTCCCTTCTACGTGAATTTTCCGAAAGAACCAAGAATATACATTTCTCTGCTGTTTGATCTGGCCACATTTGTGATGGATGTTTGAATGTATCTACATTCCCAGAATTGTTCTTTATAGCTAAAGAGTGTGTGGTTAGTTTTGTTTATATCGTTTCATTGTATAATTATGCCCGAGTTACTTTTATCCTCAGGATTGATTTGTTTATTTTGCTTCCCTCATTATCACGGTTGTCTTAACCTTCTGACGGACCTACCTCACCAGATTAGAAGTAATGCTTCTGTAGTTGAGAAATGCACCGACATTTATATAGCTGTTAGATGTGCCTTCAAATAAATATGCTATGCCATGTTTGATTTATTTTCAGACAATTATACACGCAATAAAATGTGTGTGCGCATGTGCTACTGTGGTGTGTTAGCACACTGTGTTATGAAACAGGCGACCCGAATTCGATTCCCGCACACGGCCAACATCAGTGACAAATATATGAACATGTCCTGAGCCTTAAATGAGTGCTTCGTGCAGTGTACAATCATCAGCACTGGGAATACAAAGGCGGCCAGGCATGGTCCTGGCCACTTGCCCCTTCATGAATAGGTGCTCGTTAACAGCACTTGCCCCAACAGTATGTTAAAGGCTATACAGGGGATCTTTGCGTTTTTGTTTGTGTGGATCCTAACGGTTATGGCACTACTTACTAGATTGATTCCTGGCCAGACACATCATCACCCACCAATGGTAGTTTGATATCTTAACAGAATATGCACCTCTCCTATATTGAGTTAATATTTAATAGAGTTGTATGGTGGAAGGCAGCACGGGAGAGACAAAGGGGGCTAGGTAAGCTTTGGACTGACCATACCACCTCTTAATATGCCATGACAGTCTTAAAATTAGGCTTGCGGCAGAATCTTATTATAGACTACATCAGTATACAATATACATTCTCAGTATTTGACGATCATGACAATGTCAGTTTCCCATATTTGTAATTATATATAAAATTATTATTGTATTGTCTTTCTGATTTGCTGTACTTCCTGCTAAGAACAAACAGTTTAGCACGTAGGCTTTTGCGACCAATATCATTCATAATACAGGTTTTTTTGGGTTAGATTTCATAAATATATAAATGTCGTTAAAACCCGCCACCACCCAACACAGCCAACTAGTAAGGGTTGTCACGTAAACAGAACATGCCAATTCGTCACCAGTACAGCACACCGGTTGTGTTAGAGAGCCAAGCCACAACATTTACAATCTGAGTACAAGGTTTCGCCAGTAATTAAAACTAGCTTCATCAACAATTTCTACATAGTTCTTTCACTGCAGTTCACTAAGCATAAACCTGCCACGAGTCTTCCAATCATCGCACCTTTTAAAACAATACTGCATAACACTCACACACGCCGTCAGTTACTCGTACAATTCATCAATCGATTACATAAAATTAAAACACAATAACGTCGTATAACCAACACCCCATGAAATGTTTTTCCAAGCACTAATTTTATGGGTAAAGTAGCTATTTATTTAGACGTTTAATGACTTTATTTGTAATTTCATGAATACATGTTCGTCTAAAAACGAAAGGTACATTGAAACAAAAGAATGAGCAAAAATAATTATGATTTGGAAGTATGTTTGTTTGAAATATAACCAAACACTTTGGTTAACCGTGTACTTTTTATCGTACAATATATAGTCGTATCACCATATCGCAGCACGACCTCATAGACTGTGCTCATGGAAGATGCCCTGTGTGTGTGTTTAGGGAGAAAGGGGCATCACTGGAATCCCTGGAAGCCAGGGGATCACAGGAGAGAAGGGGGAACAGGTAAACTTTGCTGTTACATTGGTGGAGATTTTAGTTTCCTGTGGCAGGGGCAAGTCTACTCATAGGACTTTTCCACAAAGTGGTATTCGTTTATCGACCTCATAAAAAAACCTGCGGAGGGAGCTGGTAGGAACGTTGGGTTGCTCAGTCAATGGCCAGGGTCAACGGCGGCGTGGTGTATTAGGCAAATATGGCCGACTGTGAGGGCGGGCACAAGCCGGCGTGAGTAGGTTAAACGTTGAGTTTTATAAGGGCACCACGGGGTGACCAGCCCCACCCCTCCGACCCCCCACCCAGCCCCTCCCCACTCTCCTCACCCAGCCCCTCCCCACCCTCCCCTCTCCACCCAGCCCCACCCCTCCCATTTTTTGATGCACGACGGACAGACACAATAATCCCCTGTGTGCTGGTGGAACCAGGTGGTTCCTACCAGTATGATGGGCTGAATCAACTCTCACCCTGGCTTTGAATTCGCAACCTTTCTGATTGCAAGCTGTGAGCTCTATCATTGAGCCACCTGGCATAATAATAATAATAATTATATATTTTACACTGCTCTGTGATCTTTAACGATTGTTGTTGTTTTGTGTAACAGGGAGCCCCAGGATATGCAGGCCTTAAAGGGGACAAAGGGGACCGAGGAGAAAGGGTGAGGTTCTTTGCCCTATGCCCCATTGCCATTCACTCACACAACGCAAGACCACATTCCATTCGAATGTTCTTTACTGTTCGACATGAAGACGTACGTCATAATAACGATTGAATTGCGATTATTTACTCAATGCAATATTTGTATAAAAACAAAGATCCCCCAGCATAGCCTAGAGCAGACCATTGGGGCAAGTTCTGTTAGCGAGCAGCTACGAAGGCTGGCACGGCACACGATCATCTGGGTGGCCAGCACCATGCCCTGGCCACCTTTGTCTCCTTAGTGGCGATGATTTTACGCACCGCACGAGGTACTAATTTGAGGCTGAGTCGACTTAGGGGAGGCCCGTGACTGGTTCAGATAATCGTCACTTATGTTGGCCATGAGCGGGAATCGAACTTAGGTCGCCGGGTTTATAGTGCAGCGTGCTAACCGATGCACTACCGCTCCTCACATTATATGCAGTTATGCACACATACAGACTGTTGGCAAAAAAATGTCATTGTGAGGGACCGGTAAAATGTTTGAGAGAAGGCGTGAGACTCCTCAGGCTGTTGTGAAGCTTCTCTCTCTATCTCTCTCTCTTTTATTGAGAGCTGTAAAGTTTCTTACACAACTCTTCGTTATGACCATGACTGATGCCTACGTGGCTTTTTATTTTATAGAATACTGCTCCGAGGTACTTCACAATGGCTCTCCTTTATGGGTCTTTTCTTATGAGTTCATTACCAGGCTCCTCCATGGGGTTCTCATATGAGCTTCTTGTGTTTGTTGTCCCCTTCGATGTGACCCCCATAGGGGGGCTTTGACGCTTCTCTCCGAGAAGGCGCTGTCATTCCCCCTCTTTGAGAGTTCACCGCGAGGTTTCTTTACGAGGCTTCACTGTGCATCGCTCCGATGAGGATCCTCAGATATGATCTCCAATCAGACTCGTCTGTACGAATCCACTCTTCGAAGCTCTTCTATAATGAATGCCCTTTGAAGTTATTCTATGACGCTATTCTATGACTATACTATTGCCCGTGTGTATTCTGACATAAATCCACTCTGTGGAGATCTCCAATTAGGGGTTTTGTTGTTTAATTCTGCATAGCCTATCGGCTCTAAAGTCCAGCATGTTGGTATAACTCACAAATATTGCATCAGCTGTGATGTTCATGGGACATACATTTATAATGTGCTTGTAAATACTGTATTGGCAACACAATTACCATTACGAATTGTTGCCTGACAACATAGCTTTACATTATATGTGTATTGGTGCTGACAAATGAATTGCTAACAACATGTGACTAATCTTGCCCTGTAATTATATTTATTAGGGGGATGCGGGACCAAGAGGACCTCCAGGCTACCCAGGAATCGTGAGTGTTTAAAATTCACATTTAAATAATATTCTTTGCCTCGGGCACAGAATAGCTCTTGAGTCATAGTTATTGTTTATTTTCATATCCTCAGCACAGGGTTACATGGCTTGAAAACAATGATTTGCCACCGGGCTCATTTGTATGTGTTGAATCGTTCAAATCCGCTAATTGCTTAACAATGCGTTTATTAAGCAAGTGGAGGATAGCGTTCATTGGATAAATTGTCGTTGTCAAAGCTCATTATCTGCTGGGAAGTAAATGTAGCTGACCCTTTGCTGCCTTTCACAAAAGTTGGTCCTGTTCCTCTCATATCAGAGCCCCAATCCCACATTTTAAAGAAATACTGCAAACGAGTTAATAAGAATGTATTAATAACTAAATATGAATTTCCCGCTTCCCCCAGGCTTTCGTTTGGGAAAAAATGTCATATCATTAGGACCTAATATTAATAAAGGGAGATTATATTTCATATATGGATATTTTCATGCTTGCTGAATAACCTTTTTTTATATCCATTTTAATGTGTGCCCATTGTAAAGGGTATTTGTATGCCTTTATTCATACGTTGTGCGAGTGTTTCTTTTTGTTGCAAATGGGTTTGAGAACTATATTCTGGAAGATGTACTCTAATCTGTTCGCCTTAAGAGATGCTGCTCCCATGGCGTAATGGTCAGCACACTGGACATAACAATCCAGAGTTCACTGCTTCATTCTTTCGTGCGCACGGCAGTTAAAACAATGGGACAAACTTCTTAAATGCCCCTGCGTCTCTGTCTACTCAGCAGTACATACGGGTGGTTCACCACAGTGGGTCTACGGACAGGTCGCATGTGCTGCGGTGAAGTGTGGGTTCTCCCCACCCTCTTGAAAGATGTCTGGCCGGCATGGAAGAGCAATCCACGTACCCTCCAGAGAGACTCTGGAGAGCTGGCCAGTGGACGCCCCCTGGGCGACCAGTGGCTTGAGACAATCGGATGGCTGCACCTTTCCCTGAACCTCATTTGATCGAGTTGATGGCCTCAAGCATGGTCACAATGACTGCACAGAAATGCCACGATATTACATTTGGGAGTTTCACTTTATAGTTTGGCACGAAGTTTCGGCTCTCGGAAATAAATGAAAATAATTATTTTGTTTAATTTGGGTCACACATTCTAGATTTGAAGTTTTTGTGACTGCAAGGATCCATACTCTTTGTTTTTTTTCGGTAAAGTCACCGAAAAAAAACAAAGAGTTTGCGTCACATTTTCAGAGCATTAAAAGGTATACTGTACATGTCTGCCAACAGTGGTGTGAGCAAATAATGAGAGGCTTCCACCTTTACTCTTTCGCTTATTTTAAGTATTGCATTACCATACTTAGTGTCTGCATATTTTCCAAACTCAAGTGAAATGTATATTTTACGAACTTTATTTTTTATTGTTGTAATATATATAAAAAAATGTATCACATATTATGTGGCAATCTTTCAGAAAACGTAGATATCGATTACTAATCTCAAAACAATATCGATGTATTTGTTAACGAATCTAAAATTCAGTTGAAAGTCTATTATTTGTTGAAACATATCTGTGGATGTGATTCCGTGACACCAAGCTTTCGTTATGGAGTGGTTTTTTTATACCCGTTTACAACAATTATTGCCTTCAGGGAGACGGTTTAATGGCAAGCCACTTGGACGGTGGGATGCACGTAAGTAGCATTGATTTTTTAGTCCACAGAACCACCATAATATTTAAACAGTGTGTGCCCATACACTGGAATGCCAGTGTCCTTTGTAGTAGCAATACATCTTTAAACGTCTCGGTCCCTGAAGTGTTGGCCGACTTATCTTTGTTCATGCAAGTTGAGGTCTGAACATTTGTGTGTTTGTGGATGTGCCTACAAGAATATGGTAATCATTGTGCTCTTGAATTTATTTTCTCATATTTTATTTTAATTAAGCACTCAAACATAAGCCTATGGGGAGAATGCTGGCTCCGTCATTTGTGCACTGTGTTATGGGGTGCTCTGACCTGGAATACTAAACTAAAACGTGTATATTTTACCATGTAAGGCCCACTGAGCTATATCGTTTTTTTCATAAGGGACCTGGCCACAAATTATAGCTCAACAAAGTGTAAATGTATAGCAAGCAAATACTCTTCACGCATGTTTCTAAATGTGGAGGGGAAAAACGGAGGGCCTGGAGAAAAATCCTCGCCACCACGGGGAGAACATGCAAACTTCAAATATATAGGCATCGTCAGGGTCGGGATTGAGCAAACGGCTTCCTGTATACCAGGCAAGGGAGTTAACATCTCACCATCCCCCAATGCCTAAAAATATATTTCTGAGCATGGGGCGCCATAGTTATTGTTAGCATATAATGACATATTGATCAGTCCAGGCCACCACCTTCCTCTATCAGTTTACCGCGTAAGCTTTCATGGCCAATATTATTAATCATAAAAGGCTTTTTTGGGTTAGATCGCATAAATATAAATGTGTCGTTAGCCTGCCACCATCCGACACAGCCAATTAGCAAGGTTTGTCACGTAAACAAATTATGCCAATTAGTTACTGCTTCAGCACACTGGTGTGTTGGAGAGTAAACCCACAACATTAACAATTTGAGTACGACTTTTCGCTGGTGATTACAACCAGCTTCATGAATTGTGAAGAAGTCTTCCTGTTTTCTTGTTTCAGTCGTTAGTTTACGTGACAAACCTTACTAATTGGCTATGTCAGATGGTGGCGGTTTAATGACACATTCATATTTACGCAATCTAACCAAAGAAAACCTTAATTTTTCTTCCTCTTGACTAACCTGCACTGATCAGCCTGAAGTATTGTTCAACCACTCTGATGATCGACGTGGCATAGGGAAGCTTTCAACTGGCACCAAATTGCCAATTGGGTGACAATGATTATGTTAAATGGACTTAAATCAATTGGCCCGAAATGTAACCACCACGACATCAGGTTTTTATTGTAAACATTAATACATTTACTAGGCATATGATTATTTTACAGGTATTTATAATATATTTTTGTAGTTTTACAAATGCAGTGTCTCGTGTCATTTTCTCTCTCGCAGATTTACACGTATAATAGTTATGCTAATGACTTAGCTTAGCATGAAATACTTTTTAAGTAGAAGTAATCTAATGTTAAAGTTTGAAGGGTTTCAGTCGTGCACAATTTCACATACTCATTCGGCAGTGCCAACATTGAGGAGGCATTCATCCAGCACTGGATAGAGACTTAGTTAACGGGGGTAAATTGTAATTGCAAAGTCGGCACGCGAAGGCAAGTAGTAAGCATCTATTTCAAAGGCCATTATGTTTCCTCTTCTATACTCGTCTGAAACATGTGAATAGGTAAAAGTTCCCACATTTTGTGCCACCCAGTGATCTGTCCCAGATAGTTATACGTCCGGCCAGGTAACATTGTTTCGAGAGTACTTGACTCACAAATGTAAGGTTGTGTATTCAAATATAATTTATTTAATTTGTTCCACTAAGATTGATACAACTATCCCACTATGTTGTTCTATGAGGAGACTGGCTCCCACCATGGCAATGTGGAATTTCCACAATCTTTTCACAGCGATCACTCTCCATCGTTCAATATACGTTTGAGAAATGAGACATTTTTACTTTTTTTTAATCCTTTATTGGTCTAGGAAAGGCTCAATGAACCTCAAAACTTTTTTTAAAAGGCATCTCAAAACAGGAATTTTAAAAACTCATAGGATTGCCAGTACAGTATTAAAACATCCTATGTTACTTCCACCCACCACTCTATTGTATAATTATCACACGCCTGCTTAAAATTTTACTTCTATTTTAAAACAAATTGCACGTGTTGATTCAAAATTGTCTTAAATTCTGGAGTGTGACCTTTGTGCAATGGGATGCAGGGCGTGCCAGGCCTGAGGGGAGAGAAGGGGGATCGTGGGGAGCCAGGCGAGAGGGTAAGTAGAGCAGCAGCAGCAGCAGTACCCTGCCATCACCTCATGACATCACTGGTGTTTGCATACGCAAGGTCAATAAAAAAACAATAATAATAATGATGATGATGATTCATACTGAGCACTTAATCTCCCAATGTGATTTCACATTCAACATTTTTCTTCTTATAAAAACTGTGTTGGAATTCTGAGCGAGGACCCCGACAACTCTCAACCGCTGCACCTTTATGTCCCAGCCCAGGGTTGCCACCTCGGATTTAGGTACATTTTTTTATCAGCGAGTTTCATGAACTCGGCTTAGTTACCATTGATTGCACCCATAACACTGTGCAAAAATAGCATTGGCGTATATAATTAGGCTGTAGTCACGTTGTAGAATGAAATAAATAAAATAAAATATTCCAAGAAGCAGCGACGCGTAATTTATCGCAAGCTGGAAAGCTCGGCCAGTTTACGAGTGTCAGCTTTCAGGCTTGTTATCTGTCAAGGCGTGTTGCTGTGCTGTTGATGGGGGACTTCTTGTTATGCTAGTGACAAAATTGGTATATTATTAACGAAAGAAACCACGGAGCTTTACACTGCGTGTTAATAGAAAATGACAGTTTAGTGCGTCATTATTTTAACATTTTTTCTTGTTGTCTTATTGCTCTCAACACGTTAATTTACTGAAATGTTAAACACTGTAATGTAAATATAATGTGGCTAAGTGATGCCATGGGCATGACTCTCAACTTAAGAATTGAAAGGGTGTGAGTTCCTAATCAGAACGCAATTTCAGCCGAAGCTCTGGAGTTTGGGGGTTAGAAGGCCCCGGTTATGATCTTAGTTAAAGGTGTACTGTCCATCATGATTCTAAGATGGAGCCTTTGTGATAAGCCAGCATTGCATGTTTATGTATGATGTGTGTGTGTATATATATGTATTTACTATGCACGTATTATCGTGCAATGTTTTAGGGATATGCTGGAAGAGATGGTTCCCCTGGCATAATGGGCCCTGTTGGACCAAAGGTGAGAGCAGTGACACATTACAAAGCTCAGCATATCCATAAAAACGTCATGTATCACCTTGATTAAAAGCTTGCAATTGACCACTGATACCGATGATACTAAAGCATCTTCTCCCACAATGTGGTTTAGTTTTTATGCTTTATGAATGTAAGTTCGTGGATTATGAAGGTCATTTCAAGTGCACCCCTCCTAAATGCTGAGCGCGAGATTTTTTTCCTCCTCTTGAAAAATACCCATGGGCTGAAGGCTAAAGCGTTCCTTCTGTGTCAGGCTTTTGTTTAATCACTAAATAGACGACGATTGATTTCATTAGTGTCCTTGTAAGCCTCTGTGTGTGCAGTGGCTCCCCACCTCGCTTGCCCGTGCCTGAAAGCCCCTTGTGTTGAGATGTATCTGTTGCCGCCATGCTCCGAGTACGACGCAGCGTCGGTGCCACCTCCTGGTGACTTCACCGAAGAGTCGCGCGTGTCCCAAAGCGCACGTGCACTGCGCCGTGCTGACCTTCGTTGGAAGGAGCGGTGGTGTAGCGGTTAGCGCGCTGCGCTACGAACCTGGTGTCCCGAGTTCGATTCCCGCTCATTGCCAACAATCAGCGACGATTATCTGAACCGGTCCTGGGCCTCCCCTAGGTCGATTCAGCCTCAAATGAGTATCTGGTGCGGTGCGTAAAAACACTGCCACTGGGGAGACAAAGGTGGCGGGACGTGGTGCTGGTCACCCACCCCCCTCGTGTGTCGTTCTGGCCTTCGTTAGTTGCTCGCTCACAGCAACTTGCCCCGTAAGTTATTACAGTGGGCAAACGGAGATGTTAAAGCATTTAAAACCAAAACAATCTAAAACAAAAGGCGTTTAATAAGGACAGCAGAATAGCAGCAGTTTCCAAATAATAGGCAATCAAGGGTGTACACATTACGATATATTATGATGCTGGTGGTTTGTTCTTCTTTAAACACGTTTCTTTTCCCAGGGTGAAAGAGGAGAAGCAGGTGCTCCGGGTCTCCCTGGAGATAGAGGAGACATGGTGCGTGCTTTATTCTTCTTGCTCACGTTAGGATGGAAAGGCAAGAGTTGTGAAACATGTTATATAGTTGATCGTTAACTTTCGTAAACCGTTTCCATGAGGCAGCATTAGACGCTGTGCGGTTTGGACCTCATCGCAATCGCAGTTCGGCGATCCTTTAATCTCCCACGTTGCGTCCGAACGCGGTTTCCTGGATTTCAACCGATGACGTCGGGGAGTGGAGTTCTTGTAGGTCTCGTTGGAGCGGCAGAGTGACGATGTCCATAAATCTTGTGGTTACTCCCGGGTCGTCACGACATCGTGCCGGAATATCGGCCGGGGCGATGTTCACCGGCACCAGAAGCCACGGAAGTGGAGTGGACTTCAAGGCGCGCTGTTGACGATACGAAGTGCGGTGTTGATTTCGGGGTCGACGAGGTCTGTGTGAGAGCTGGCACTCCACACTGGGGCACGGTGCTTTGTCCGCGGTGGCGTGGATCAGGGCTTGCATCTGTATCTTCAATGTGCCGGTGTCACTTCCCCACGTAGTTGCTGTAATTTTCCAAATAATGTTCATTAGTGTGCTTAATTACACTGATAACATGAACTACATGCTCAAGAATAACTACTCAAGCATATACTTTGGCCGAGTCTGCATAAATATGGTACCGATTATAATAAGCAATGGCTCATCGAATGGTCATGATAGAAATTGTAATCAGCCAGCGAGATGTCCTGACACTATTGAACGCCTCTTGACCCCAAGTGCCATGTTGAAATACCTATCAGAGATAAATAACATGCCTTGAATTGGGTTGTGCTTGTGTATGGTTTCCTAATATCGGAAGGAAGAGCGTTTCAGACGGCCGCAGAAGCGCATCTGAAAGCACGCGATGCAGTGAACATCTTTGTTCAATGGCTTGTGTATTGCACAATCATACTATAGCTAGTGCTTAAATGGCTAACCTTGGCTGTCCCATGTCATCATTTTCGAGTTTACTTCATCTTGTGCTCCAATAAGTTTTGACCAAAATAATACACACAAAGTAGACTCCACAGCAGGGAGTCATAGAACTATAAGGCACATGGACAAGGCACGCATATGCATGGATTATGCAATGTTTCATCGACATCACCATAAGGCCATGATCATTCCACTGCTGGATGAAGGCCTCCCCGAGCTGTCGTCCTCCCCCATGGTCCCGCGGGCACTAAAGCCACCCAGCACATGCGCACGGGCTGATTTGGAATGCTTTCAGAAGTGTTTTATTTTCCACCTCATTATCATCATCACCATCATCGCAATCTAAGTCGTCGTCAAGGTACATAAGTGCACCTTGACAAACGAAAGAAGCACCAAGCTGGGCATGTTGCATTGTGCAATGGTACAGGAATGCATTGCATGCAAGTGTAAACTGACACAGGTGACACCATTGGTACCTCATTTGCCAGTAAAAAATATGATAATTGTTTTTTTACTCTGGCAACAAAACTGACACCTTTTTTTATACATTATCAGAGTTATGTTTTTTGTTTGCATTATGACTGCAGGTATTGTGGTCTATGCAAACATGACTCCTCGTAAAAAAGGTGTCAGTTTTGTTGCCAGATAAAAGGGTAAAAAAACAATTATGACACAGGTGAGTAGAGAAATTAGCGTGTTCGCCTCTTGGTGTCATGATCGGGAACCTCGTCGATGCCGGTGAATGTGAAAACATTTTTGGAAACTGCGTGAGTTCTCACAAATGCGTTGTCTGAGGTGTTCGCCGGGTTTTCAGTTTCATTTATTTGGTATAGCCCTGTGAGCCATTCGGCTCTTGAATCGGGTGCAACTGCAATAAACAAAAAACAAAAACATGAACAAGAAAACATATTTTATCAAGATTACAGTAAATTTAGTTGTGACGGTCCCACCTGATGACAGAGACTTGCGTTGCCTCCGAAACGTCGTGATTTATTATTTTATTTCTATTATCGTTTTTATTATTTTTATTATTTATTTTTATGTTTACCTACGTGACTTTACTTTCGTGCAGTCACAAAAGCTTGAAATCTAAAACATCTTTTGATGTGTGGGCACCGTGCTCATGGGGGACACCGTCCTCCTTTAGTCCACCGTGCTCTCACGCCCTTTACGAGTCACCCTCTCTTAATGAAGGTTTAGACAATGCCTTACGTATCCTCCACAGGCCAGGCGGTGATAAGGGTCTTCCTACCTTATTTAGAACAGGATCTCAAAAGCGTTTAATGTACACTGCAGCCCCTCGTCTAATGTTGGATGTTAACAATGAAGATTAGTTAAATGTATAGCTTAAAGATTCTGGTGACCTTTGGTTATGTGTTAGCTTTGCTTACAAAATAGTGATTCAGAGCCAGGACAGAGCTGGGTGGGTAGGACAGCAGAGATTCCAGTCATGAGCTCATGGGTTCAAGTGCTGGCATGGGTCAGTAAAATGATCACAGCCTGGCTCAGTGGTTGTCCCATGGAAGGCCTGTCCCTGCCACAATGACTTGGAATTCATACCAACAAACTCAAGAAAACGAATTGTAAAGAGTGCCGTTTTATGCTCACTTGAGCATGGAGGAACTTTGACTAAAGAAAAAAATTCCTTGCGTGGTCTAATGTGCATACCTGTCAACCGCTTATCAGTGCCTACCTTATTAAAGACCAATTCAGACCCCATTGGTCACCCCATGCTCTTATAAATATCAACGTTCACCCTACAGAGTCATATCACAAGGGAGAAACACAAACAAATAGACAAAAAAACATGTTTCCTGTATTGAAACGGCTGTATGCCGTATGGACCTGGAAACTAAATTTTCCTGTACAAGAAGCCGTATGGGTTGACATGTATGAATGTGTGGCATTTAAATACAATACTTGTTTTCATTAAAGCTGTGTCTGTGTTTGTTCAGGGTGTGCCAGGATCTCAGGGTCCAATGGGGCCTCCTGGTGTGCCTGGACCTCACGTGAGTGTCCCTTGCTCATATATTTGCATTTCGTATTTTCATTAGAAAGTGCACTGAATATGTAAGTTGTGAATAAATTACGCAGCGACCACAGCCTGACTCGTGCTTAGTTTAATGTCGCATTAAGTCGTACAGAAAAAAAGTCTAAGCTTAGATGCAATATCACCCTAAAGAATTATTTAGCCGTTATTTTGGTATGATTTGTCCAAGAGATAAACTGTCTCATGTAGCACTCCGCTTGTTTATACTTAATATATATACTATATTAATGTATACTTACATACATTTAATCACGATTCTTTCCTGTTCCATCAGATAAAATTACCATAATATATAGGCTGTACCTTTTTGTCTTTTTTTCTGAAAATATCTGTCTCTGATAAATAATAAAAATAATTGGGCAAATTATCAAGACAATGTTTTGCATTGGTTTTTATTTTATTATACGAAACTGGCCCATAGCCACTGGAACAAGAACACTTCATCGCTGCATTTTATATATAGTGCACAACACGAATGAGTCACAATTATAAACATACATTGTGTGGTGCTAACAGGCCTACGTTATATGCACATTTGTGTCTGCACATTCACACAAACGTGTCCTCTTTCTACAGAAAAGGCTAAGGCACTCGTGAGTTGCATGCGATCAGAACAGAGCGGAAGACGCACAACAGAGGAAACGGACACAGTTTGAGTCGAGTGAGGTCTGAAACTCGCTGGTTTGCATTCGTGTTGTTTTTTTTATCCCCAGGGTTTCCAGGGACCACAGGGACCAGCTGGACCTGCCGGACTGAAAGGAGACAAGGTGAGTTATTGAACCTCTCTCTCGTGCTATGCAACACACGTGCGTGTGGAGTGGTGGCACAATGAATTATTGCACTGAGCAATGAACTTGGTGACCTATGAACCTGGTGAGTTTCATTCAGTGATATCTAAACTGATCCTTGATCTCCTGCTTCACAAACCTGCACTGAGCAGCATGGTGAAGTATGGTTAAACACCCCCATGAACAATGTGGCTTGGGGAGGCATTCATTTATGAGAAGTGCATTGCGTGCATGCAAATATAGACGTGTGAATGAATGCGCATGTTGGTGCCAGTGTTTGAGTGTCTTTATGTGTGTGGAGCGGAAGCGTAGTGGTGAGCGCACTGCACCATGAACCCTCTGTCTCAAGTTTAATTCCTGTTCACGACCCATAAGAGTGGCAAATACAGTATTTGACCTGGTTCTGGGCCTCTCTTAAGTCGACTCAGCCTTAAATGAGTACTGTACTTGGAGCAGTGTCTAAACAACAGCACTGGGGAGAGAAGGGCAACCGGGCGTGTTGTCAACCTACTCCCACATGTGCTATGCTGGCCTCCTGTTAAAAGCTATAGGGGAGATCTTTGTGTGGGGAGCGGAGGCTTGTGGTTCGCAAAATATGCTGCGAACGTGGCCACGTGAGTTCGATTCCCAGCCATGTCTTACATCAGTCGCGATAATCTGAACCGGTCCTGCGACTCCTCTCGGTCGACCTCGCCCTCACTGAGTACTTGGTGTGGTGTACACACATCACCACTGTGGAGACGAAAAAAAAGAGCCAGGTATGGTGCTGACCACCCACCCTCTTGTGTGCCGTGCTGGCCTTAACAGGTGGTAACTAACAGTACTTTGCCCCAAAAATCTTATTAAGTCTATATGGGGCATCTTGTATTTCTCTTTGCTGTATGTGTCTGATAGTGTGCATGTGTGTGCATGCTGGTGTGTATCTCTGTATATCTCTGTGTATGTGTGTGAGCCTGTGTATCTACGTGTGTTTGTATTTGTGTGTATCTTGTGTTTTGCCTTCTTGTACAGGGGGACCGGGGTTTGGATGGATCCAGGGGAGACTCTGGAAGCAGAGGACCTCCTGGGCTTCCAGGAATGCAAGGCCCCATCGGAGAGGGGATTCAGGGATTGCCTGTGAGATTTTCTAACAAAGACACGATTGAGCAATTTATCACAAAATGTTGCTGCCTTCCTTTGAACCAGCGTAGAGAGTGGATAGATACGAATGGTCCGTGGGTGTAGGAGTGGGCTGTGTGCATTACCTCGTGTAGTCATTGGCCTGTTGTACACGGCAATTTATTCACCGAAATGCATAATTCCATTGTCAGACATGTGTAGGCAGTCACAGTTTTGGAGGTGTGGCCTACATGTTGTGTTTAACCTCAAATGAGTACACGCACTTACATTTTCGCCTCGTGTATTCAGGCTATCCATTTAGGCGGAGATAAGCTGCAATGCATTGGTTTTGTAAGCAAAAACCACTGGATTTTGTAGCAATGTTGTTGCTAACTACTGTTGCGAACCGTTATATCCCACAAAATGGCGAACGCTACATTTTACGGTAGCATTCGCCATCCCAGTGAGGGATACTTTTCAATGAGCGCTGCAGCTAAGCTGGTGTAGCTGCGCTCTCTCATTAACGTATGAGCCATGGCCTGAGTGATCTAATCAGATTCACTGATTACCCACGCTCTCAATCTTTGCTGCTGTGCATTTAAATGGCCAGAATATGCAGGAAATAGCTCAGAATTATTATCAATCAGTGATTAATATTCACAAGTGGCTGCAATTAGATTTTTGCTTTAAATGTAATAAGCAAAACCCTTCTCTTGACATTACAGGACTGGTGGTATCGTTTTTTTTAGATCTGCACAGATTTCATTCGCGGATATGTGCCTCGATGCCATAGATTTTAGGAAACCTTTTGAAAGCGTTCCGGCACATGCAATGTCAAGTGCAAGCCAGGGTTATGTGCTCAGCATAAAAATGTGATATCTTCCTGTTGTGTGTGTTTTTTACCCCCCTCTCTCATACTCTACGGTCAGAACATAAAGAACCACACCACTGAATGTAGGACAACACCGTTAGTCTCCTGTGAATACCTTTGATGATTACTCGTTGGCTTTTCTTTTCAGGGTGAGTCAGGAAAACAAGGCCCGTCTGGTGTCCCTGGAATGCCAGTAAGTGTCCATTTATTTTCTTCACTTCCTTCGGTCTCTCGTTACTTCCTTTTATAATGTATCAACAATAGAGGTTTTTGGGTTAGTGTTGTGGTGCAATGGTTCTGGGGTGTTGTGGTGCAGTGGTTCTGCACACTCAACTTGCAACGCAGTGGCAGCTGATTTATTCTCTCGGTGCCACAGTGGAAACAATGCCGCAGTTGAAACAATGCCAGTTGAAACAATGCCACAGTTGAAACAATGCCACATTGAAACAATGCCACAGTTGAAACAATGCCACAGTTGAAACAATGCCACAGTTGAAACAATGCCACAGTTGAAACAATGCCACATTGAAACAATGCCACAGTTGAAACAATGCCACAGTTGAAACAATGCCAGTTGAAACAATGCCACAGTTGAAACAATGCCACAGTTGAAACAATGCCACAGTTGAAACAATGCCACAGTTGAAACAATGCCACATTGAAACAATGCCACAGTTGAAACAATGCCACAGTTGAAACAATGCCACAGTTGAAACAATGCCACAGTTGAAACAATGCCACATTGAAACAATGCCACAGTTGAAACAATGCCACAGTTGAAACAATGCCACAGTTGAAACAATGCCACAGTTGAAACAATGCCACAGTTGAAACAATGCCACAGTTGAAACAATGCTACAGTTGAAACAATGCCACAGTTGAAACAATGCCACAGTTGAAACAATGCCACAGTTGAAACAATGCGGCGGGTATCTTAAATCCCCCCCTGCCCCCCACCTGCATTCACCCCTCCCCGCCATTGTCCATCTAACAGTATAAATAGTTACACCGCATAATAGAGTTTTTTGGGGGGTTAGATCTTGTAAATATAAATGTTTCGTTAAATCCGCCACCACTTGACATATACAATCAGTAAGGTTTGTCACGTCAACAGAACATGCCAATTCGTTACTAGTGTAGAGGTTATCGCCACTCACCATTCAGTAACCTGCAGTACCACTGAGTGTTACCTCCCTAGGAAAAGCCTGGGGTCAAACAGAGGTGAGAGCGGATCAAAACACCAATTCCTGCTAGGAGAAATTCCCGGGGTCAGAGAAGGTGAAAGCGGATCAAAACGACGGTTTGAGAAGGACCAATCAGAAGGTTCGGGAAGGACCAATCAGAAGGTTCCAAGAAGGGGCGTGGCTGGGACGGAGCCAGCCACGAACCTGCATAAAAGCCAGAGCGCTGAGAGCTCGAGTTAGTTCTCTCCACACGAAGACCGAAGCCCGGGCTGAAGATAGATAGGACCCTGGAACCAAGCCTTGCAGCCCTTCTAAGGCCTGAGGCTCAGTGTAACCAGTGGTCGGGACCCACAGACTCCGTGGTCGGGTCAATTAGCCTCCTCTAGGTCCCAGCCGGAGGACGTTAGGTTAGTGGGTAACCCGTGAGTAGGTCCCGCCAAGTCCGGAGGCCATACCTCCCTAGGTATCGGGTAAGGGGACCATATACCTCTTGTGTGTGTTAGGGACCGTGTCGGAAGAAAGACAATAAACAGAGTGAGCCTCATAAAGAAGTTTATTTGTCCGTGATTACAACACTACACTAGTACAGCACACCGGTGTGTTGGAGAGTAAACCCACAACATTTCCAATTCCAGTATGACGTTTTGCCAGTAATTACAACTAGCATCATCAGGCGACAGCCAGAGCTGTAGAGACATCTTCCTGTTTGGGTCTTAAATACATCGATAAATGTGATGTCATCACTTGTGAGCCAATCAGGTGTGAAGGCCAAAGGAGTGGGGAGGGGGGGGGTATGAATGTATGCATATAATTACAATAGATGTGCATTACTGGTTGGGTTATTCAGGGTAATCAACATACATTATGCATGCACATTGTGCATGCACACCATGAATGCAGTGTACGTGTTTTGCAATGTATGTGTTTTCATATATGTTAAATAGTGGCTAATATTTAACAATGCATCTATTAATGTATATCCTTAAACTCACAGAATTTGCATAAAATGGTATGCGCATGAACCTAACGTTTTCTATTTTATATGTTTCATGTAATGGGTTCACATCACCCCTGTAGCCATAAGCGGTGGCTACATTCGTTCTGTTCGTAATTGCTGCTGTATTTTAAAGTTATTATTTACTCCTCTTTAGGGAGAGAGAGGCCTCCCTGGTCTTTTGGGGCCCCCCGGCATGAAGGGTCCTCCTGGGATCGGTCGCGATGGCCAGCCGGTAAATCTCGGCTGATTATTTTCAGCATCTTTACATTATACTCGTATGACACAATCACGCAATGCACTGTGACTACATGGTGGGATAATGACGTTAGGCCAGATCTTGGAGATCGCGCATCTACTGATGAAGCAGCTGTAATGACGTGCAAAGTTGTGCTCACAAACAAACAAGGAGACACAACGTCCGTCGTGTTTTGCACTCATGTCATGCGATCACCACATCGCATGCACAGTACAATGGTCTCAGCCTTGTCCAGATCACCATTATCTTGAGTTGAATGTGTGGTCGTATTGTTGTTTGAGACCATCAACTCAAAGGGTTGAAAGACGTGGCCATCCCAAGAAGGCAGCAATGAATCAAAGAGGCCGTTTTCATCCCTCATTCGGACTCGTAAATATAGTTGCGATGACTTTTTTCATCATTTGCAAAAAGCGGTGCATTTGAACTGTGCAGCAACCGTGGGATCTGGCGGAGGGTAGGGAGAGTTGGCAACAAGGTGGCATCAGCAGCTTGGGCCACGATGACGATGTCGTTATTTTGAATGTCACGCATTGTTTAATTAATGTATGCCTGCCGTGTTGTTCTGATTTTTTTAACAGGGATCTAGTGGCTCACCTGGTTCGCAAGGACAAGAGGTCCTTAACATTTCCTATTTATTGTATTATTCGTGTATTTTACTCAATAAATTGCGTACTTCGTATTATTTATATATTTTCCCTCACAGGAAAAAAAACTCTTTTTTATTATTTGAAGAAACGGGAAAAAGTACATATTATTATTTTTTACGTCCAATGTTATACGTGAACATTTTACGTATGATATCACGTGTTGCTTGAGGAAGTAAAACAATCCCATGGTTAAAAATCACATGCATAAAGATTGCACTTTCTCTCACAAGCAAGCATGTATAACTGCAAATACATTTGAAGTCTACTGTACAGGTTTTTTCGGTTGCCCTGAACAGCTCTCCCCACGTATTGGGACGCCGCGGTGGTGAGATGTTATCTCCCTCGCCTGGTACGCAGGAGGTCGTGGGTTCGATCCCAACCCTGATGATGCCTATATATTTGGAGTTTGCATGTTCTTCCTGTGGTCACATGGATTTTCTCCGGGTCTTCCGGTTTTTCCCTCCACATTTGGAATCAACATCACGCGTTTAGAGTAGTTGACTGCTGTAAATTTCCACGTGATGATAAGTCACTTAGTTGAGTCATCATTTGTGACCAGGTCGCTTCTGCAAAAGAGCTCGATAGCTCAGTGGGCCTTGCTGGTAAAGTAGAAACGGTGTAGTTTTAAAACAGTGCTCGGGTTGCATTGCGCGTTCTTCGGTGCAACGTCCGGCAACTCGCCCCGTGTGCTGGGTGCTTCTCAAGGTGAAGTGAAACGTCGGGACACCATGCCGGACAGAACGCAGTGAAATCTGAACCACCTCTTTATCGCTTAATTTTGCTCCACATTCAATAATTGTCCCACGTTCACGGATTATCATATGTTATGCAGTTATGCGTCCCCCACCCAACAAATATCTTTATTCGTCAAGCAAGAGTGTACCCTTTGTCCGACTCCACTTTAGACCCTTGTGCTTAAATTGTTCATGAAGGTCGATGACAATAGAATAATTGATCATTTTCATGCCAGCAAACCGTTAAGCAAGCCATATTCAGAAAAGGCTTTTCTATCATCAGTCAAATGAATACAATTTCATGATTGAAAGTTCAAGTAAATGTCAAATACCATTATGCCCAGCTGTCACAAACGAAGGTCAAAATGAAAAAAATCTAAATAATAAAAACCACTTACAAGGGCCAGGTAGATACTTTGTGATTAAATGAAGAAAGAAACCCAAAAATGCATGTGATGAAAATGCATACACCCTAATTAAATATATCCTCGTTTCTGAGAACCTAAACATTTTGTTTTCCTTATATTTTTTTCAAAAACTGCATTTGGGATACAGTGAATGGGCCGGCAATCAATTTCAGGGCCACGCCAATATATTTTGCTTAGCGGGTATTCATGCAGTTTAACTCGCATATTCTCATGCTGTTTGTGCTACTCCTTAATAGAAACCTGGTACGTGCAATCTTGGTTGGTAGTGTTGCCTCATTAAATGCCACTGTAACATTCCACAGGGACCAAGAGGCTTTCCTGGGCCACCTGGGCCTCCCGGTCCTGCTGGGCAGAATGTGAGTGATATGTTCTCTTCCACACATTAGTGCATTCATTCACCCGAACCACCACTGTTACAAGTAGCCAATATCAGAGCACCACATCAAACCGTAACAAATATTGCCTTCACTGTTTCTGCCCAATAACATTGCTGGCACTCAGAGGTTGATGAACCAAAATTTAGTTTTTATGTGTTTATTTTGACCCAGTGAAACACCCCGCCTCTGTATTATTATTAAACCCAAACCAACATGATTTTCTGGAGTGCTCTAACTTTAAACGTCAGGTAGCCCAGCTGTACTTGTTTAACAGGCAAAACTTTGCTGATGAGACTTAGAAATTTGAAACTTCCCCGTGTTGCCTACTTAAACAAATGATTTAGCAAGCGCATAGGCTAATGAATGTAAATATATATTTTTTCTTGTTTATTTTATACCTTCATGGATTCCATGATGCAGCTCTTCGGTATTATAGTTAATTAAAATTTTAATCATTTTATGGCTCCGATTTATGAACTCTTAATCCCAGCGGAAACCTGAAACCAAAGGCAGCATACACATTCATGCTTTACTTGTTAGCGATGTGTTTTCTACTCAACATCTAGTAATTGATAACTGTTCATATGTTCATTCAAAACTGTTCATATGTTAGCATTCATCAAATTTCGACTTAAAGGCACCACCCTATAGAAGGATGTCTCCATGTCAGTCAATCTCTCTATTCTTTACATTGTTAGTCTTCAAAATATATTGTTTTATCTCATGAGGTACAGTAGTGTTAATGATGAACGTGGGTATTTTGGCTGCTATCATCCGAATCTCCACGCGAAGAATGTGAACTTTTCCATACCTAACATCAGCGATAGAGAAATACAACAACTAAGGTCCATTATGAATACCCACAGAGTAATGAAGGACACATTTAAATCTAACCTCTGAGACAAATAGAAAAGAAATACACGAATGAATGTGTATATAATATTTATCCAGGAAAGCCCCACTAAACTGTTTTTCAGGAGCATTCTGCATTGGTACATTTTGCCAACTCATGTATTAATATCGTATAACATGCCAGTATTCACCCGCAAAGGCACCAATCTTGTCTTCGAATCGCAACACATTGTAAAAAATATTGGCACATGAATAGTTTTCCAATATCTCAAATCAATTACATGTAGCAGACAGACATGAAATGTGTTGATGCTTTACAAATGAAATTAATTAGAGCTATTAAACGCTACTTGGAAATAAGAAGTGATGTAATTGTACCTATTGTAAAAAAGCCAAACAGCAATAAATAAAAGCAAAAAAAAATCTATAAACGTGAGTGCAGTGCATTTTGGGCGGCACATGCCCCTTTTTTAAAAGGGAACAGCCCAAGTCACATTAACGATCACGGATTCTCAATACATCTCGGGTAAACAAACAAAACAAGACATTCCGTCACCATTTCAAGTTCAGACCGTCTTAACGTTTGCTACCTTCTGGGTGGATTCTTCCCTAGGGCTCTCCTGGGCGGGATGGAAAACCTGGCCCTCCGGGCTCACCAGGGCCAAATGTAAGGACGCCATTGTCCATTAAGTACAATTCCGTTTGCTTTGTTAATGGTCCCATCTCCTTGCTGCGTCTGCTGCTACTGCTGCTTGCCATGATAGTATGTGTTAATTATTGAGAAAATGCAAGGCAATACAAAATGATGCTGAGATAGAAAATTATAGTTGGTTAATGTTACAGCTCATTGATTTTCATCAAAAACAAACTTTTAGTTTTTATCTTTCAGCAAATATTTAATTGTATGTCCTTTTTAAAATTTGCTAACAAAATTACATTGAAATAATATTCATTTTTTTAGAACTATATTTTTGCAACAAAGAAGTGATTCAATGAATATACAAAATGTAAATGTGTTATTTCCTTTGTTTTTAAGGCACCATATTCTACCACCACTCAACGGGAAATTCAAGATATGGTCAAAGTAAGTGTGGTTACAAGAAATACTGTCATTTTCTCAAACACCATCTTGATCTTAAATGTATGTCTTACATAAGCATTGTGAACAGGCATATTTGGTGCATTTTGGCTCTAATTTCGGAATGTTTGGTGAAAGTTCATAATAATAAAAATATATGCTGCGAAAAAAAGTGAGTCTTGTTTTAGTTGCTTATGAAAGACTAATCTGTTGGGAAGCCAAGTGGCTTTCCAATGGTGATATTGTCCCCTGACATAAAAATGTTGCATTTTTTTCCACCAACTAGCTCAGGGACGACGGTGGAGATGAGCACCACCACTCGGGGAAATCATCAAATATACGGTCACAGCTATGCTGAACTGCTTTGTAAAAAAATTAAACGGTACTATTGTGTAGGTTTTTGTGGTTGTGCTGCATAGCTGTCCAACGTGTGGCTCCACGTGCTGAAAGCTTCTTCAAGAACTTGGAGCGAAACGTCAGACATCGTGCCAAACAACACGAAAACACGTCGGAGAGATTAGCCATTCAGTCTAGCGCACATCAGAATCCTGCATCGAGACCTATCGAGAGTTAAACGCCTGTGACTAACACGCACTGACAGATGTGGGTCTGTGTCTGTCGTCATTCCCAGGGCATGTGCAACAAATGCGAGCCAGGCATGGCAGGTCATCCTGGCATCCCGGGTTATCCGGGCATGAAGGGAGACCGAGGGATGCCTGGCCCACTGGGCCCTCCGGGACGCGACGGATACAAGGTAAGACGAACAGCGCTGGCCACACCGTGGTGAACCCTGACCCAGAGCTGGCCCCGCTCTGATCGTTTTGTCCGCAACAGCCCTCGAATAACGTTGACTACAAACAGAGTTTACCGTTACCATACCAAAGGGCCGTTAATCTGGCACATTGCAGATGGGGTTGGTGATCACATCAGCATCACCATCATGAAGTATTATCATTATTATTTATACTATGCCTCCCATGCAGTACATCTCAAGGCGACAGGACAGAGAGGTATTTCAGATTATTACTCAGTGAGTGCAGATCAAATACAATGTTGAATAAGAATACGGTAGGGACATATACACAGCAAATGAGACTAAACTAAATTGAAAAGCTCAAATGTGCATGAGTCTATTATCCTTTTTTTTCACTTCATTTGAGTTATCACACAGTTCATCGTGTGCTTTGTACTCCCATAGGCACATGTGATACGTAGCTTGTATTAGACCAGCAAGTAAGTTGTTGACTGCTTTGTGTGAGTGTTTGAACATTATTTCCTATAATATGTGCTTGTTTTCTATCCAGCCACTCACATTATCTAACACGTGAAAATACCCAATGATAACATTGGCCAAATATCCTAAGCAAAGGCCTTATAAAACATAGGCTAGACAATCCTTTGAGACTGCCCGTGGAGCCAAAAAAAGACATGGATACTTTTTTTATTATGTGATTTTAAGAAACACATGATTTTGGAATGACAATGAATAGGTTTTGCAAATGCTCAAATGTGTTTCCTATGACAAAAAAGCATTTTCATGAATCCAGTAATTTTTTCAAAATCTGTGTTATTATTGTTTACAACACCTCTGAAATCTGGATAAGTTAAATAAATATATTCATAGGGGAAGATTGCAAATCACTCATTGCATTATAGAAAAAAGCCTACGTGTTAAACTCGTAAAAAAGGGTATTTGTTTAAAGACAAAAGCTTCAATAGACAGCTGGAATTCATGTCAGTATTGATGAGCATGTACATCATGGCATATGGTGCTTCTGCTTGGCTTGTTTTCAGCAAAACGAATCCACTGATATGCCCTACTATAAGAGCTGCCCAGGGGCTTCCTGCGGGCCCAAGGGAGAACGCCACATGGGCCCCCTTATTTCAACATTATTCCTCCATCCACGAGCCATTTGTGAGAACCTCTATATGTGTAAAGCCTCGGGAAAACCCACCCTTCGACCCCCCCTCCCCCTGCCATCTCCCCCTCTACCAGCCTTGCACACTATATATAGATCATGGGAAAGGCTACACAGTGGATATGATGTGATGCAACTTGATCATTTGCACTTTGCAGGGTGAATCAGGAGAAGCAGGTTCTCCAGGTGACCCAGGATCCTCGGGACCAAGTGTAAGATGGAAAAACAAAATAAAACGTTTACCCATGAACATGTATTGTTCTTGGTTCTTTCGGTAAAGTCACGTAGAAGGGAAATAATAATAAAATAATATAAATATAAAACAATACAAATTCTCAAACGTCGTGAGAATTTGTATTGTTTTATATTAATATTATTTTCTTATTTCCCTTCTACGTGACTTTACCGAAAGAACCAAAAATATAAATCCCTGCAGTCACGAAAGCTTTAAATCAAAATGCATTGTTCTGTCTACGAGCACACCCCATTGTCTTTGCTAATAGCACCTCCTGGTGGTGCAAATAAGTGGGCTTCTGCTCAGAGCAGCTCTTTACATGGGTAAATGTGAAGCCCCGCTCTGTTGTCCTTCCCCCGCACCTCCAATGAGCACAGTTGGCTACTTGCGGTGTGGAAAATTTTCTACATACATATAGTTGCACATTGTGTGTGTATGTGACTCGACGCTTCGCAACACGTTGTGCTTCCCATTGTTTCAACTGACTTCTCTATCAGTGAGAGCAGTCATCCTTAAGCTGATGAACATACTAATACTTGTTTTTTGCTAATTTTTATATTGTGTTATCTATGCCTTTGAATTCGTACGAATGCAGCTGACGGTACTCTTAATGCGGTATACATTGGTGTGATTGCCACGATGTAGAAATAAACTAATAATAAATATTTTTTAGTCGAGCAGCTTCACTTAATGATGCTAAATATTTCATAGCATGCGTTTGCCCTTCTCTTCAAATGACACCTCCTCCTCCCTTCTTAATCAGGGAGCCAAAGGTGAACGTGGAATGCCTGGGTCGCCTGCTAACAAGGGTGATCAAGTGAGTGCCTAATCACGAACATCATTCACACGCCGGTTGCCCTATTGTGGACTCGCTGCCGTGCGGCAGGCGTTGCTCTGCGCGAACCTCAACATTACCCTGCTCTAGACGTTATTATCGTACCTCTCCTCCGTTTAATGCATTTTTTACAATCACAAAAAAAAATCCTTCCATTGCGGTTCAGGGGTCTCGTCCTAATTAAACCACTCATATCACTTGACTGAAATAATGCGTGAAGGTGATTATCGGCGCATTCTCGCTGAGTGGTCGCAATAGAAATATCTTCGTGGCTAAGGGAAAAGGCCATTGTATGCTTTATTGTGGATGGACTTCGAATTAAGCACGGCTGGTGTGTCGTTCTTTTCACCCTTGGTACGTAAGATGGCGATTGTATGTCTCGCCAGCACCATGCCCAGGCATTACAGTTGCTTCCCAATGCCTGTAATTCTCACTTATGGTTAAGTTAACCGAACCATGCATGCATGGCTTAAAATGCTGGCTATTACGATATAACTACAATGTACGGACCACTGTGAAACGGAGCAGTGCTGTCTGCGGCATCATGCCTACGATGTCTATGCTTTCCCGAACATCAATCCGACCGTAAAAAAAACAATCATCTTCATCTGTTGTAATTATCATAAAGGTCAGTGTAAGGAATACCTTTCCTCCAGTCATGCAATTAACTTACAACCCACAGTTGAAAATTAAAATGTCAATCACGAACAACCTGAATGGTTAGTCATGTGATTTCCCCCCCCACCACCAACAAGAAAATATTGACCACTGTTTTAAATGTAATGATAATGACCTCTGTGTGTAATGGCTGTATTTAAATTTTAAAGAAATTACGCATACTTTTGTGAATTTGCTGATTTACAGAATTTCAGTGGTTACTTGGTCTAGCTATTTTATTATCCTATTTTGTGTGTACATATCATCCCTCGGTATTTTTCACGTATAATGGACTTTTTATGTAAGAATTCCCATCCATTATTTGATGCACGATTTAGTCACACTGAAGCAAGTATTTTGTTGAAACCGAGGGAAATGGGATTTTTTTCACCTAAATCACAAAGGAATGGAAAGGTTGGTGATTGAAAAAGGCCAGCGCTTGCTGGCAGTAATGTCCATTGGTTCAGACATTGACAAATGTGTATTGATCTCAATTAGGCAAGCTGTTAATTACTTTAACAACATATTGACATGGAGTGCCAGAGACTAATATAAGGCAACGGAATCTATTCTACTATCTCAATACAGCTATGTACACAATATGTGTACATGTACATACGTGATGTACAGTATGTGTGTGTAGTATAATAATATTTTGGTCGACAATAACAATACAAAACAGTTATTACGAGGATATTGTTAAGCGGAGCCTTACTGCAGAGACAGAGAAAAGCTATCATGTTCCTCTCTACTTTGTTCTGTTATCAGTAATGTCCAGCAACAACCAGGCTCCATAATAAACAAATGCATTTTGCCTGTTGAATTATTGATGCATGCTGCGGTGGTTCTTGTGTGTGCCTTCCACTTAGGGGTTGCCTGGTCAACCTGGGTACCCAGGTCCTCCAGGTCCATCTGGCTCATCTGTGAGTATCTAAATAATTTCTTGGTTTGGAAATGTCTAATATATAAGTATGAATTTCAAAACGCAATACATTCATAACTGAACGAAAGAGGATGTAGATATAATAGGATACATTTGAGGTAATGGCCTTGCTTCATAGCAGAGAGATGGATGGCAGTGAGATTGAGTGAAGCATAGTACGAGGCTGCACTATAGACCATGGGACCCTGATATAAATGCAGATTTAAGGACATAGCCAGAGGTGAACATACTTAAAGTGGAATTTGAACATTATTTGATATTGAGTACTAGACAAACTATTCAAAAGACAAACATTAATAAAAATTATCAAACGTTGCTGACATATCATCCTAGCAACCTACGATGCAGTGCTGTATCTACCGAAGAAAGAGAAATTGTATACTTAAAGGCCAATCATATACTTAACGGCCTTTCATATACTTCAATATATATAACCACTAGCCTACAGCTCGGTTGGCTGAGCAGCAGATAGACAAAAGTGAATTACCAATTTAAAATTCTGGCCACTTAGCCCATCATCTCCCTGGGGTAAGTAAAGTGAGCATACCTCGTGAAGCTGCACCACTTGATGGGAATTCAGCACTGTTTGTCTTCTGGAGATTCCAGTCCCTGTGGTAAAAAATGTAGTATGCCATATATTAAGGATCACCAACGGTGATGGGCCCTACGCAGCACTGTTGTCATGATTGGGAGATTTGTGCATATACAATCGGTGATATCCACAGTCATTGTATTAAATCTTGACTTAAAGCTTTCATTAGTGCAGGAATTCATATTCTTTGGGTCTTTCGGTAAAGATAGAAAAAAAAATATCACGACGTTGCGATCGCAACACAGGCAATCGTCATCATTATAAAGGTTTGAGATGGGTGTAGCCCAAGGGTCATAAGCAAAGTGGGCAGGGCTAGTGATAAAATTTGCATGTAAATGTAAGATCGGGTAAATCGGAGAGCCACATCCACGACGACGAAGCTGCGGAGTTGGCCATTGTATTGTGAGAGATTAGCATGTCAATGTAAGATCGTAGAGCCACCGCCAAATCGAGGAAAACGAGCAACGGTGGCTGTGTTGGTGAGACATTTATCCTGTTAATGTAAAAACATTTAACCTGTTAATGTAACACCAGAGAGTCGAAAATAACTACTAAACATCACAGCCAGTTATGACTTAAGCTGGTTAATAATGTCCTTCAAATGATTGCTCAGTTTGTACCCATCTTCTCGGTTGAAATTGTGTCTGTGTTTATATATCTGGATGGCTTCATGAACGAATCTTTGCTGATAGCCAGTGGGTTTGCATAGTACCGTCGTCTTGGAAAAATCTATTTCGTGTGAGCCCACCACATTAAAACAATGCTTAGCCACGGTTAAGGTATTGGTCCTACCGTGTTTCAGATCTGCCTTGTGTTCACGGACACGGTCCGAGTCATGTCGCTTAGTTTCCCCAATGTAACTACTGCCGCAGACACAGCTTAGTTTGCAGACACAGCTTAGTTTGTAGACGCCGGGGTATTGCATGTCAGGGATCACATCCTTCACAGATGGGATCGGATCACGAATTTTATATACTGTGTTGAATCGAACCCCGATCTTGTGTTTGCTCATGATTTTGGAAATCTTTTAGTGACCCCTGCTATGTATGGCAAGGTGATAGTTTTGATTGGGTCCTCAGATGGTTCTTTCCCAACGGCTGGGGTGATAGCTTTACAGATTGTGTAGTCTGAATATCCATTCATCTTGAGGGCTTGGTGTACGTATTCTAGTTCACTGGCTAGGTGGTGATGGTCGGAAAACATCGAGCTCTACGGTGTAGAGTTTTGATGAGGGAATTATTCTGGGATGGAGACATCCATATGGGTGGCTTTCCTGTAGACAGTGTCCCATTGAGCCATCTGGTTTCTTTTCGATTAAAACATCCAAGAATGGTAACTTGACATCCTTTACACCTCCATGGTGAATTTGATGGCTGGCTGTATGGAATTGATGTGGTTGAAGAATTGGTCCAGAGCTGGTAGGCCATGTGGCCAGATGACGAACGTGTCATCTATGTACCTCTTCCACAAGGAAGGATGTAAGGTGGATGCCTGGATGGCATCTGTCTCAAATTTTTCCATGAAAACATAGGCTACAACTGGAGATAAGGGAGAACCCATTGGGGTACCTTCAACTTGTTTGTAGAATGTTCCATTCCAGGTGAAGTAAGTGTTTGTTTGTGAGAGTATGTAACCAGGGCCGGTACATTAGAATGCAGTCCTTGTTGGACCAAATCTTCAATAATTGCAATGGTGTCAGGCACTTTGGTAACAAAGATACTACGTCTAAACTGACAAGCAAATCACATGGAGATAGTGAGATGTCCTTTATTAACGATATCAAGTGAGCTGAGTTAAGTACAGCTAAGGTTGTCTTACCAGGAAATGGTTGTAAGGTCTCAGACAGAAATCGGGCCAGTTGGTAGGTGGGTGAGTCAATGGTGGAGACGATGGGACGAAGTGGTGTACCTTCTTTGTGGATTTTTAGTAAGCCATAAAATTTGGGTGGTCTAGCAGTAGAGGGTTTTAAGGAAAGCCGCTTGGTTGGTTCGATTAAAGATGTCGAATCAGTGATGATATTGTTGTTTTTCGTAACCAGGCGGTTGGTGGGATCTCTATTGATTTTGGTATAGCTACCATCATTAAGTAGGTCCTGAATTGTGTTATTGTATGTGGTTTTGTCCATGATGACAGTGGCATTGCCCTTGTCGGCTCAGAGGATGACTCTGTCATCTCTCTTTTTCAGTTGAGAAAGCTCAAAGCGCTCATCCTTACTGATGTTGCTAATAGGTATTTTTTCACCTGATGACAATTACTTGTGTTGCGATCGAAACGTCATATTTTTTTTTCTATCTACGTTGGCTTTACCGAAAGACCCAAAGAATAATAATTGTATTGTTATATTATTATTTTTTTACGTCATGTGTCACTTTTTATATTTTCTATCCACCACTAGACGAAGGCCTTCGTCAATTATTTCCATTCCTTATCATCCTGTGCAACCACGATCAACATAAGCTTATCAAATCGCTGCTTCTCTTTGGTAGTCATTCTCTTAAGTGTATTTACTCATTTGGCTGCTATTCCATCACCAGTCTTGTTCATCTGATTTCCTTTCTAGTGAAGTGTCCTACTCAAGCACACTTAACTTTCTTAGCATTGAATATGAAGTCTGTCATTTGTGTTTGTTCTCTGATCCACGTGTTCCTTTTCGTGGTCTCTCTGTGTAATTCCCAGCACATGTCTCTCCATACTTCTTTGCACACTTTTAAGATTTTGCTCCGTATTTTTTTGTCCGATTTTAATGTCCATATGACATTGCTCATTTTTCTATTGGCACATTGGTATGTTATTTTTATATTTCAAAAAACACTCTACCCTCCTCTCACTCACCTCTTTATGTCATCATTTTGATCCTGGACTTAGTATTTACTCGAGAAATACAAACTCTTTTGTCATTCCAGTTAAATCCCTCTGACACCATATTTATTTTTATTCTGCCAACTTTTGTCCGTAACTTTTTGTCCGCTCATTTTATCTGTTGCGCAACTTTGCAGTATTTTTATTTATTTATTCCATCATGTCTTTTTCTTCGTTACTATTACTTGTGATGTGTCATCAGCGAATCTGAGATGGTCAAGACTTGCATATTGATGTCTTTATTTCTCCAAACCAATTTGTATTATCACTTAATAGACTAATAGGAAATACATTCTCACCAAAGCTATGTTCCAGCGACAATGGAAGTTAGTGATGGTAAGTGTATAAGGTCGATGGCTTTAACAAATATTAAACATTCTGTTTTTACAGGGAGCTAAAGGGGAAGCAGGAATTGTAGGACCTTCCGGAACTTCTGGTGATAAGGTAAAGGGTTGGAAAAATAACATACCTTAACACCACCGTTAATTAATGAGTCATTTCAACTGTGTTTCTGTGAGTGCAGTATCAGTGACATCTGTACAGAGCATGCAACTGTGATTCACATTTGACATATTTCTAGAAACCCAGTGTTTTGTTTGTATCACCTGGTTAAAACCAATGTCATATAGGCACACACATATGCACGATCCCGTGCTACGTGTATGTCTGCACGCATTTACAATTTTAAGTAAAGGGGCGGTGAAGTGGTTGAGGGGTAGAGTGAACGCTGCTCGTTTCAGAGGTTCATGGTTCAAATCCAGCGGCCACTCGATTGAATACTGCGGGCGTAATAACCCTAAAATCACTACTACGCTCTGTCTTCTTAACTATGGACATTATATATCCTATGACGTCAGTCGCAGCAGTAGGCCGTTGTGTGCAGGCATCATGGTTCAAATTTGAAAAATGACCTGCAAATTACTCAATTGGCATGGCACACAGCAAACTATCGCCCCCCCCCCCCCTCCTTACTGGCAGACCACAGAGCTTAGAAAATTGTTGGCATCAATTTCTGGCTGCTGCAGCTCATTGTAACCACTGAGGTTATCGCGGTTGTGCTGTACCACTCTCCAAAGCTTGTTTCGTTCGGATTTTACCGCACGCGTTGTTTGGCACGTCCGTCCGACGTTTCGCTCCGCGTGCTGGGAGCTTCGGCAGCCGCTCTTTTAGGGAGTTCTCAACACGTGGGGCGTAAACACCAGACATCGTGTCGAACGCCGCGCAGGGTACAACCTGGACACACGTCGGAGAGCTACACCGAGGTGATGCGTGTTTCCGTACTCTTGTCAGGGCAAAGATGGTTTTCCAGGAGCTAGAGGACCTCCGGGGCTCCCAGGCGCTCAGGTCAGCTAATCTATCAGTTTTCTGCATTCACGTCCGCACAAACATATGCACGTGTATAGTTGTGTGTCCCGAATGTATCAATAATACACTTTGTTCGTACAGGGTCCCCCTGGACTAGAGGGTGCTGATGGCAGAAAAGGTCCTCCGGGAGAGAAGGTACAGCTGCAATGAATTCTACTCTCGTATCTCTCTGGCTTGGTGGCATTGCAGTTCGCACGCTATGATCAGAATTGTAATGGTGTTTGTTCATATCCCCGCCTGGGATTGACTCAACCCATCATGTTAATTTTCCGGAGATGAAAAAGTTGGCACCATTTTGTGGGACGTCAAGAGTGGCTGTGCTGTGGAGAGATTGGTCATGCGTAGATGCCATCTGCATCCATTGAGGATTCATGGATGTACTGTATATATGTATCAAGTGTATATGTCTGTAATATAAATAATGATTTGTGGTCGTGGAGTATAGATATGGGTATGGATACCAGCAGACTTTGGCTTATTTCTCTACATATAAATACTTGAGTGTATCAGCCTATGGGCTTTCTAAAAGAATGTCATCCGACAGCATTTGTTCAAATAAGAAAACCCTGGGCCCACTCTCACCTTTTGGGTCTCATAAGCAAAGTCAGGTGTGTTATAATTGAATTCTTCAGATGTTATATCCAAGGACACTCCATCGTCAAGAAGGGCCCATGTTCCATACCGAACCAATACCGTATTATATAACGTTGTGAAGCAACCATGTTCTTGCAGAGCCGAATTAAATGTACACGAATGTGCACGCTTCTCATCATATCACATGTTTTATATTGCAGGGGCCTGCCGGTGCCCCAGGTGCTCCTGGGAAAGATGGCATCAAAGGATATCCGGTAGAGGAATCTTGTCTCGAACGTCGACAACACATACCACAGAGCCGTCCACGGTTTTACAACTATGGCACAGAGATAGAGAGAAATAAGGGTGCCACCCCATTTTTGAGTTGGCACCAAAGCATTGATGGCAGAGACTTTCGCAGTGTGACCCCCCCCCCCTACCCAGTTATACCATGCATCTTTCAAGAGGAGCGCACACAACTGAGGAGCCCTGTTGTTTCTTCAAGGCCACGTTCTCTTAATGCCGCGCTTCTCGGAGTATCTGTCATGGCCTGCAGCTCAGTATGCTCATGGATCAAAGACCTGCCCCCAAGTGTCGACCAAGCCTATCACTTGCATGCCTCAAAGCAAATCCTCCTGGTGCAGCAACAGATCTCCAGTGTTTTCCTCCCCATTGAAAAGCCTCCTTAATTTCGTAACTATATCTGTGTGGAAGCCTGACTTTCGTCCATGCAGGTTTTATTGCACAGCTGAATGCCTGAACCCGTGTGTGAGCTTGCTACAGAGCCATTACGTATGGATTCAATAGCTTGATTTCCACTACCATCTGGAAATTGCATTACGAGGAGTGTAACCATTTGCTCTAATTGGGGCAGAAGAAGAGTGTGACGGCAGCATGGATGGATGCATATCTGCGTGTATGTAGACAACGAGTATCCAATTAGAATGAAATCATGTCAGGGCAAGTGCTGTCAGCGAGCACTGAAGGTCAGTATGGTACAGATGTTGCCAGTTTGGCTACCATCATAACTGGCTACCTTTGTCTCCCCAATCCTAATATTAACCACTTGAGTCAACTTAGGCAGGGATTCGAGGTTTAGATTCCAATGTTTGTCATTGGAAGCTAAACCTGGAATATGATTTTAACCGGAAGATAATGTAAATAATAAAGCGGCGCATTTAACATCTATGTCATTACTGTATAAGTGAATTATACCTTCATATGTGTGTGTATACGCAATGCAACTCATACAACTATGCATCTTTAAGGTACTCGTCATTGCAGTGTATACCCAGGAGTCTATCCTGGGTATACACGTTCCTTGCTCCGAAGGTAAAAAAAGAAAATCGCGTGAAATTACCATCACGTGCCTCGCAGGTTCACTGACCTGACAAATTGCTCTGCCTCTTCAACAGGGTTACAAAGGCCACAAGGGTGAACCTGGAATGCCAGGCCCAATGGTAAGTGATGGCAATGATGGTGTTTTATTAGTCATTAAACCTAATGCTACACATTAGGGCCGTGTCGTAGTTCACAATAGGGTCCGCACGTTGCAGAGAGCACCAGGGGATCTGCTGACGCATGACCTCCGTGCATTCGATGAATTATGGAATGTAATTGGATATACTCCGCACATAAACCCTCACGTGTAGGCATTATGCAGCTTTTGTTGACCTTTAGTTCTCTACGGACACGCATGGGCAGAGATCTCCCATTTACCTTTGCTGTATAGATCATCCGGTTAAGAGATGTTAGTGAACGTCTGTTTAAGGCCAACACACAATGTTTTTAAGGGGCAGTGTGGATTATATCAAGATCTTGTGGCCGCTACACTGGAGCAAAAACTCAACTGTCCCAGAGTGAATTTCAGATAATAACAGCCACTAATGTTGTGCGTGGCATGAATTGGATTTGGGTAACCGGGATTAGATTTAAATGTCAATGCCATATAGGAAAATCCACCCACTCGTTCGTATTATCACATTGGATTTTTAAAGAAAACATACCTGTAACGGTGTTACTGAAAGAAACTGTAGGAATATAACTTACATTTAAATATGTCAAAATGTTGGTTCCGTAATAGACTTGGAACATTACTTTTAATCTATAAAATAGATTATGTAGATTGGCAGAAACATTCAGCTAAATCTATGCAATCGAAATTGCTGTCTATTGGAACCTCCTTTGCCAGTAGCAAAATATGAGAATTGTTTTTTTACCCTTTAATCTGGCAACAAAACTGACACCTTTTTTATTTCTCGAAATTACTGTCGTTGATTAATAGTTGATTGGTCCACACCCGAGACAGCTTTCCTTAGAGCCTAGTCTCACATGGGTTGAACCAGATGACGCCAAAAGGCGCATTTTTTCAACTTCAAGGACAGTGCACATTATCAGAGTTATGTTTTTTGTTTGCATTATGACTGCAGGTATTGTGGTCTATGCAAACATGACTCCTTGTAAAAAAGGTGTCAGTTTTGTTGCCAGATAGAAGGGTAAAAAAACCAATTATCATATTTTTTACTGGCAAATGAGGTTCCAATGGTGTAAAAACACGTAGCAAGTTGATGAACTGAAGGTGTTTTGTCCACACAGGGCCCTTCTGGAGTAAGGGGCATCACTGGCCGAGAAGGTCCTCCAGGGACAGATGTGAGTTTGGCAACAACATTCATGTCCTGTGCTCGTGAACTGCATTACATCTCAGAACAAATGCGCGTTAAAGTCACTTGGAGGAAAATGTGTATGTATGTGTGTTGAACTTCTTTCGCACCGAAAGTAACCAACCATGCTCATCGGGGGTAGAGAAGTTTAAATGATTGCGACGTTATTTTAATTAAGAAAATGAGGTAATGCACGAATACAGCCCTGTTGTCAATCGGCTGCCCATACTTCGCCACACTGATCAGTGCGGATTGTTGAAGGTGGGCAGCATATATGTAGGAGCATAGGCGTGCAGTACAACAATTGATGTTCTCTGCTGCCCATCACTTAGCTCCAAAAGCCCTGTGACAACCTGGCATGCATGGTGGTTACTCATCCAATAACTATTCGTGCTCAAGGTCCGCTTCATTTCCAGGATTCACGAGATAGGATGTATTCCGAGTGATTTGGTATTCGGAAAATGTAACTTAGTACAGACAGTAAAAGCATGACGGGCACATACGCGAGTGAATAACAGTGTGCTTGTGTGTATCACTACACACATTATTATTCACTCACAACATAGGGTAATATTAAATCGTAATGTATCTTAACACATTTTTATTCATAAGTGGTATATAACCCATTTTATTGATGGCATTTCTTTCCACTATGCTGAACATTTTTCTGTAAAAAAAAAACTTAACTTTTTAAAACAGAAGCCACCAGAATGCATCTCATCTACACTCTACATCACACGTGAGAGGCAACGCGTTGATAATGAACAATTCAAGATCCCTGCACAGTCTGACAACATCAATTCTCCAAACCAATTGCACAGCTGCATGTGCTTGTAACTGGTTTAAAAGCCTCTGCTTTAGAGCATTAATGTAACCATCCATCAAAACGTGTGAACAACATTGATGTTCATTCACAGTCGAGTGACTGCACCATGACAGATATACCATTTAATGTATCAACTTTGTTTTAACAAGGTCTTCTAAAGAACAATTCTATCATGACCAATAGCCCTGTGGCTGACTGTAATTTAATTGATATTAGAAATATTGGACTTTATTGGAAAGATAATCACACTCACGCATACTTATATTCTGCTGGTCACCTACCAAAAATTGCTTAAAGGCCTGTTACTGCTTAATGCCAACAGATGCATTTTTACTACCAACGCCGGTGGTAAAATTTCATCACCTGTGCTCTATCCACTGCTGTATGAAGATCTCAAGTCATTGTCATCTCTAGCTCCTGCCCATGGGCTGATTTCATTAGTCCATTTGTAAGGTGGTCATGCTTCCGCGTGTGTTCCCTCTTTCAACTGCTACTCCGCCGTGAGTCTCAACCATCCAACCATCGACCCTTATAGTGATGTGTCCTGACGCCAAGCCCTCTTGTTTTTCTTCAGGGTCGATATGATTCTACCAAGTTGCATTTATTCTGTGATCAGTGTGTTCTCCTCGCTGTCTCTCAGTGTAATTCCAGGCGCGTACCTCTCCACATTTACTTACATTGTGCACTCACTATTTTAATATGATCAAATTCAGTTTCTTTTTCAAAAGCACTGCTTATGTGGTACAGTCGCCTCGCGTTTTACGCATGTTTACGTAATGCGATTTTGAAATAGCGTGTTAGATTAATTTACACTTATTTTTGTTGTGCGCGCTCTATTTTTTAAATAACGTTCCCCAACGTGTTGGCCATGGTGTACGGAAAGCGCTGCGAGCTGATGGTTAGTCAGGAAGCAAACTACAGTAGCAATCCCTGAGGTGCAGTACAACAACCACAAGCGCGGGCAGCATCAGCATCTTCTTCTCGCACGCCATTGTGAAGATCGTGTCCGCGTGTACTTTGTCTTGTGCACAAATTTGCCGAATAATGTCTGGTAAGCATAATTTTTTAAATATTTTTTTACTTTCTTTCTTTGAATAAGCTGTTACTCTCTTTAATACATGTATGGTAGGATTGTAAATATAATACTAGCTGTACTACCCGGCTTCGCCCGGGACTTGTATCTACCACGGCCGGCCGCCTTTGTCTCCCCAGTGGCGATGTTAATACGCTACAGTAGTTAAGTTACTCGTTTGAGGCAGAGTCGACCTAGGGGAGGTTCAAATAATCGTCACCGGTGGTGGCCGTGAGCGGGAATCGAACTGGGTTTGCCGGGTTGGTAGCGCAGCGTAGCGTTAAGCACTACACCCACCGCTCCTCACACACCACACACGCACAGACACACACACAGACACACACACAGACACACGCAGACACACACAGACAGAAACCCACACACAGACAGCACGCTAACCACTACACTACCGCTCCCCACACACCACACACGCACACACACAGACACACACACAGACACACACACACAGACACAGGCAGCACGCTAAGCACTACACTACCGTTCCCCCTACACAACACACGCGCGCGCGTCCATAGGTACACATACACGCGCTTGCTGCAGACACACACGACTTTCAGGGTGCATACGGCAGTAAACGACTGAAATAATAAAGCGGCAATGCTGTGTAAGGAACGCCTTAGACCCGCATTATACATTTGTGTAATGCGAGCGTAAACACACAAACACACACAAACACATACACAATACACACACACATACATGCAGACACACAGACAGACACATACCACACATACATACACACACATACAAACACAGAAACACATACACACACATACATAGACACACACATACATACACACAAACACATCCACAGACGTACATACACACATACATACAGGCACGCAGACATACACATAAACACATACAAAAAAACCCACATACATACACACACACATACATACACACAAACACATGCACACACATACATACACACATGCATACAGACACACAGACATACACATAAACACATACACATGACCCGGCTTCGCCCGGGACTTGGATCCACCACGGCGGCAAAACCGACATACATACACACACAGACATACACACAAACACATACACACACATACATACACACATGCATACAGACACACAGACATACACATAAACACATACACATGACCCGGCTTCGCCCGGGACTTGGATCCACCACGGCGGCAAAACCGACATACATACACACACAGACATACACACAAACACATACAACAACAACAACAACAACCGCCATTCGCCACTAAGTGGCGGTGACGTCACCACGATGCTTGTGCCAGGCCAAGTGCACCTTGAGGCCACGTGAAGTGTCGAACGCCCGCTGGCAGGAGGTCACGGGGCAGACCCAGGTGCCAATGGTCGACTGACCGAGATGACCGAGATGACTGGCTGATGCACCACCTGTGCCCCCTACTGTACCAACTTGCTGTGCTTTAGCCACCCGGCGCTCCGCTCGTTGTTGTGAGCGTCGCTCCTCCGCCCTCCGTTGTTGTTGGAGGGCGACTGCCTCCAACTGCCCAGTAGCGTCCTTCACGAGCCTCCTCCACTGAGGCCGATCTTGACACCGCTGGTACCAGTCATCGGCAAGTCCACTCAGCTCCACGTCCTCCTGTACCACATCACTCCATCTCTTCTCCAGCCCGTGCCGCGCCCGTCTAGCCCCCTCGATCCGGCCGAACAAAAGCTGTTTAGGCATGCGGTGGCTGGGCATGCGGGCTACATGACCCAGCCAACGCAGCCTTGCCTGCCGGAGGAGCTCACTGATGGGACTTTGCCCAGATCTTTCAAGGATTTGTGAGCTCCTCACACAATCCAGCCTGGTTAAACCCAGGATGGATCGTAGGCAGGCCAGCCTAAATGTTTCCAACCGGCGAAGATGCTCCACCAGGGGGGTCCACGTCTCGCAAGCGTAGAGAAGGGAGGGAATGACCGTGGCCGAGAAGACCTGAAGCTTCGTGCGGAGCGACAGACCAGGTAGCTTCCACACAGCGTTACGCAGCCGATGAAAAGATATTGCCGCTCGACTGATTCGGAGTGAGACCTCTGCTGATAGACTGGAGCCGGTCATAAGCACACTGCCCAGGTATGGGAAACTCTCCACTCTCTCCACAACTGCCCCATCACCAATTGGGAGTTGTGGGGGTGGAGTGTCCGATGGTACAAAATACCCAGGCAGGTGCTTGGTTTTGGTGGGGCTGATGGTAAGGCCCCACCTCTTAGTGGCACGCTCCAGTCTCAGCAGCAGCGCCTCCAACTCCTCTTCTGAATGAGCAGCTATTACCAAATCATCGGCATACATAACGTGGTTGACCAATAGGGAGCCATCCCTTGATCGCACCCGGGCGTCGATCAGCCTCCCATTATATCTGTACCAAATGGAAATTCCCCCGGTACAGCTATTGAAGGCTTCACGAACTACGCGGTCAAAATAGATGTTAAATAATGTGGGAGCCAGAGGACATCCCTGTCGCACCCCAAGGTGTACAGGGAAAGGCTCCGACTCCCGGCCACGTAGTTTTACCCGGGCCCGCTCACCATCATGAAGGTCCTTAATGATCGTGAGCAGAGGGTCAGGGACTCCGAAAGCACGAAGAACAACCCAGAGCCCAGTCCTACTGATGGTATCATAGGCCTTGACCAGGTCAATAAAGCAGAGATGTAGGTCTTTTTGGAATTCCCTACACCTCTGCTGTAGCAGACGGACAGAAAATATGGCATCTGTGCAGGACCGCCCTTTCCTGAAACCGCATTGGGGCTCCGCAAGCCCCTCCTCAGCGTGCCTAGCAAGGCGATGTTGAATAATCCTTGCCAGGACCTTACCCGGCACACTGAGGAGTGAGATGCCCCTGTAGTTGTTACAGTCGGTACGGTCCCCCTTCTTAAAGAGGGGAACCACCAGGGCATCCTTCCAGTCCTGCGGAACCCGTCCAGTGGTCCAGACTGTTGTTATGATGTCATATAGGGCAGTCTGTGCACAAACGCCACCCTCCCTCAGCATTTCGCTTGGGAGATCATCTCTGCCCGGTGCCTTCCCTGGTCTCAGACTCCGGATCGCCCTCAGTACTTCCTCAACAGCTGGCACCTCAGCCAGCCACTCACAGGGGGTGACCTCTTCCAATATTTGAGGCACCGCAGCCTCAGCAGGGTTATCCCCACTTTGTGCCATGATGTTTTCCTGGCTGAGAGAATTTCCCTCCCCCAGGACCTCACAGAAATGCTCAGCAAATCTGCAAACACATACACACACATACATACACACATGCATACAGACACACAGACATACACATAAACACATACACATGACCCGGCTTCGCCCGGGACTTGGATCTACCACGCCCAGCCGCCTTTGTCTCCCAAGTGCCGATGTTAATACGCCACACCAGTTACTCGTTTGAGGCTGAGTGGACCTAGGGGAGGGCCAGGTCCGTTTCAAATAATCGTCAGCGGTGGTGGGCGTGAGTTGGAATCGAACTGGGGTCGCTCAAGCAGCTTAATGACTGTTTGTACAAAGAACATATAAAGAATCGATGATAATAACCAGGCAAGAGTCCACATTATAGACTGCCAGTACACGCACTCAGCTTCATAAGCAGGCTAGAGTGTACATGATAGAGTGGCAGTACGCTCACCGAGCTTAATAAGCAGGCTACAGTGTACATGATAGACTGGCAGTACGCTCACCCAGCTTAATGAGTATTTGTACAGTGAACATTAAAGTAATCGATTGTTGGCGCGTTGGGTTTAAAAGTAATATTAATAGCACACATTGTGGTGGGGGTGTAGTGAAGAGTAGGAAAAACTTTGATGAATTTACCTCAGAGTGGCGTGGTGGGTGTCGAGGCCTAGTAGCATGCAAAGCCTGCGGCCTCGCCTAAAATTGTCGGCTTGGAAGAGGCAGGGTACGGGTGGCGTTCCTTCCCCCCCCCCCCCTAGCGCTCCAACAATACTGTGTAATGGCTATTATTTAATTAAATACGGAGCTTATGAAAGTGGCGAAGGCGTGGCTAGCCGTTGGCAGGGGCAACCGCCGTCCAATGAAACTGCAGCCCTTGGCGAAGGCGTGGCTAGCCGTTGCCAGGTCCAATGAAAGCGGCGAAGGCGTGGCTAGCCGTTGCCAGGGGCAACCGCCGTCCAATGAAAGTGCGTATGGGCCAAAGTCCACACACACACACACAGACAGACAGACATGAACGATTTTATATATATAGACTAGCTGTACTACCCGGCTTCGCCCGGGACTTGTATCCACCACGGCCGGCCGCCTTTGTCTCCCCAGTGGCGATGTTAATACGCTACAGCAGTTACTCGTTTGAGGCAGAGTCGACCTAGGGGAGGTTCAAATAATCGTCACCGGTGGTGGCCGTGAGCGGGAATGGAACTGGGTTCGCCGGGTTGGTAGCGCAGCGTAGCGTTAAGCACTACACCCACCGCTCCTCACACACCACACACGCACAGACACACACACAGACACACACACAGACACACGCAGACACACACAGACAGACACACACACACACAGACAGCACCCTAACCACTACACTACCGCTCCCCACACACCACACACGCACACACACAGACACACACACACAGACACAGGCAGCACGCTAAGCACTACACTATCGTTCCCCCTACACAACACACGCGCGCGCGTCCATAGGTACACATACACGCGCTTGCTGCAGACACACACGACTTTCAGGGTGCGTACGGCAGTAAACGACTGAAATAATAAAGCGGCAATGCTGCGCAAGGAACGCCTTAGACCTGCAACACATTTGTGTAATGCGAGCATAAACACACAAACACATACAAACACATACACAATACACACACACATACATGCAGACACACAGACACATAACACACATGCATACACACACATACATACACAGAAACACATATACACACATACATAGACACACACATACATACACACAAGCACATGCACACACGTACATACACACATACATACAGACACGCAGAAATACACATAAAGACATAGAAAAAAACCCACATACATACACACACACACAAACACATACACACACATACATACACACATACATACAGACACACAGACATACACATAAACACATACACACATACACATGACCCGGCTTCGCCCGGGACTTGGATCCACGATGCCCGGCCGCCTTTGTCTCGCCAGTGACGATGTTCACACACGACAGCAGTTACGCGTTTGAGGCTGAGTGGACCTAGGGGAGGGCCAGGTCCGTTTCAAATAATCGTCTGCGGTGGTGGGCGTGAGTTGGAATCGAACTGGGGTCGCTCAACCAGCTTATTGACTATTTGTACAAAGAACATATAAAGAATCGATTATAATAACCAGGCTACAGTCCACATTATAGACTGCCAGTACACGCAGTCAGCTTCATAAGCAGGCTAGAGTGTACATGATAGAGTGGCAGTACGCTCACCGAGTTTAATAAGCAGGCTACAGTGTACATGATAGACTGGCAGTACGCTGACCCAGCTTAATGACTATTTGTACAGTGAACATTTAAGTAATCGATGTTTGGCGCGTTGGGATTTAAAAGTAATATTAATTGCACACATTGTGGTGGGGGTGGAGTGAAGAGTAGGAAAAACTTTGATGAATTTACCTCAGAGTGGCGTGGTGGGTGTCGAGGCCTAGTAGCGTGCAGAGCCTCCGGCCTGGCCTAAATTGCCCACCCGGCAGAGGCAGGGTACGGGTGGCGTGCCTTCCCCCCCCTTCAGCGCTCCAACAATACTGTGTAATGGCTATTATTTAATTATTTACGGAGCCTATGAAAGTGGCGAAGGCGTGGCTAGCCGTTGGCAGGGGCAACCGCCGTCCAATGAAACTGCAGCCCTTGGTGAAGGCGTGGCTAGCCGTTGCCAGGTCCAATGAAAGCGGCGAAGGCGTCGCTATCCGTTGCCAGGGGCAACCGCCGTCCAATGAAAGTGCGTATGGTCCGAAATCCACACACACACACACACAGAGAGACAGACATGCACGATTTTATATATATAGATATACTGTAACCAGTGAAATATGTAGACGTAAAAATGAGGTTCGGGAGCGTGTTCTCCCTAACCCCAACAATTTCCTTTATTTCTTATTGGAAAATTATGTTTAATTTATGCGATTTTGAGTGGTAGCCGTACATAATTGTAGCTGCCCTCGGGATACATACCATGATGTGTTTTCCAGTTGTGTTCCAACAACAAATATCTGCATTTTTTGCAAAATTTTTACACGGTTTTAGCTTTTCTCCTATTCATCTTGACCCCAACTTTCAACAATGTCCTGTAATTAATTTACATTAGTTGTTGGTATAACTATTTAATGGGCATATCCGAGATGGTGAATATTTTCTCCATCTAAATCTGTATCAATATTTATTCAATACATTATCAGAAGATATCTTATCATATCACTCTGGAAAACTTGCGCAAAGTGCGTATCTCCTTGCCTGACTTTTATTCTGATATATATATTGGTAATTTATTTATGCAATGTCAGTGCAGCTCTCATGAAATCATGAGACTTCTACACAACCGACCAATGTGCTTGTCAGGAGAAGCAAACCATCGGTCATGTCCTGTGATGCCCTGCAGCACCACAATGCACTCTTCAAGATTCGGCAATGCCAACACCAGAAGCGGTGGCCTGTGCAGAATATTGGGCAAAGACCATAGAGGTTGGACAGGAGACGCGACAAAGAAGATGTGTAGCTGTTTTATGCTTGTAGATGGTTTTGATAATCTTTAAATATGTTTTTTTTTATTTAGTCATTGATTTGTGAGAACTTGGATGACTATATCAATGTCCGCTGAGTCAAATGCGTTATCATAACTGACAAATACTAGGCACAATGGAAGTTCATATCTGTTCATCTTTTCTAAATCCAGCTTTCTCATGTGGTTGCTTGACCACTAAATGGTTAATTAGTCTGTTCCCAATGATCTTCATGAACAATCCATATCCTTGTGATACGAGGTTTATGAAGTGGACCAATATATTAAAAAATAAACTAACTTCTGAGTTTCGGAAAAAAAACATTATGCCAATAGTACAATCAGAATAACATCAGGGGAAATACAAATAAAAAACTTACATTTTAAGTGCTCAGTCTGGAATACAATCAGATGAGGCTTCCAGACACAATGTTAATTTTATATTTACAGCAGGAGCTTTGAAATCTTACCCTGCTGCAGATGGATATTCCTTTGACAACAAAATGGCACCAATTATTTTTTTCCCCATCGAACTACAAAATGGCAAGAGTGGAGACACCAGGTGTATAATTTGTCTCATATATCATTTTACGTCTAAGCCAATGATATTGATTTATATTTTGTTCTTTTCACCGCAGGGACGACCAGGGCCCCCTGGGCCACAGGGACCTTCAGGCACAAGAGGGGAGACGGTAATGGATTTAATAACGTTCAAGTGCAAGAGGAGGCCAAAGTGACACAGGTGGCCATTACCCATGCTATAGCGCTGAGGCAGTGCCATCAAATACCTGGGTTTTAATCCAGGTTTCAGCCACCAGTGTGAGCTAAAAAAAAAAACAGGTTCTGAAATCCTGGGATAGTTGATATTCTCAGCCTGGTCACCAATTACTGTGAGGAAAAAAAATACCCATTACATTAAATCAATTTGACATATTTCAGCCCCGAGCGATACGGATCTAAAAATATATTGGATGATTGACAGGAAAAAGGCCACGCTTCAGTGAGCATGAAGGAGCACCGGTCTCGTGTTAGAAAGGCCTCTTGAAGTGACTCCAGACATAGTTCTGTGGTGTCATTTTCTGGGGGCCATTATCTGACATGATGTGAGGGATAGGCTCTGCTGAATGTGAGATTTGCAGAAGGCTGTTTATTCCCTTCCATAACGTAGTTCTGGGACATCATTAGACTATTGATTTTGTATTATTGATTTTGTTTAAATTAGTTAATTATTGTTGTTATTTTCTGATTTAATTGTAAACACTGGAAGACTGAAATGTGCACGATATATATTGTGTGTGTTAGAATATGCAATGCATATGTGCAGTGCATAGCATAATGGGAAATTATAATACATGAGGCAAATCCTGGGGGCAGGGGGCTATGAAACGCTGTAGTTGGTGGGAGTGAAATCCCAGTTGTCAAGTTCATTCTATTAATGGGCATGGGAGGTTAACATGAGTTTCATCGACTGCCTCCTTGACTCGTGTCCAGTCATTTCAAATAGCACAAAGGAGATTCAATATCACCAGCAAACACAACCCTGCATTAATTTACATAGTCTGTGCAATACAAATCTATAAAGATATATAATTATTTAGCAATAATAGCTTAATAACAACAATAAAAATAAATATTCTACTGGTTTTAATAAAATAAATTAAAGTGTACTTTTAATTTCATATATTTCATTATATTAAATTCATTTAAATATAGGTTTGATACTCATTTGTATTCCATGGCCTCAGGCCATATATTTCACTTATGAATGCCCATCTCAGTTAATTAAACTGACGGAGTTGAGGGGTTTAAATAACAATAAAATGTATACTCAAAACTTTATTGAAAGGTTATAACATAATTCTATTTTATTGACCATATAAAAACACATCAAATTTTTCTATAGAGTGATAGATCAAGACCTCCCCATGCTGTGGTGTTTATGGTGTACCACAAAAATCCCACCATCTTAGCTGGTACCAATTTCTGGTCTTGCCCATCGCCTGACTGTAATGTTGTAAGAATTGATGGTGCTAAACGTTTTGGAAAAATGTTTGATTAATTGTGTTTGCTTTCTTATACACAGGGTCCTGTTGGTCCATCTGGAAGTAATGGGCTACCTGGGCCATCTGGGGAACCTGTAAGTGGAGGACACTTAATTTCACATGGCCTTTGAAAATTGTGCTTCCGACATCAGTTTCTGCACTCCTTTATCTGTGGGGTTCTTTTTGCCAATGTCAAGATATTGAATGGCTTTACCCTTTAAGTTATGATTACAAATGTTAAGGTGACTACGACGCATTCTGGCAGGGGACAGTACTATTCTAAAATTCACAGTGCATCTTTGGGTGTCTGTTCAATGAACCTACCTTTGAACATTGTATAGCCTGCTGTGCCACAGTTGGATATTGCATATACAGTATGGTCATCTTGTTGTATAGGCATGAAAATCCTACAATTATTATTTTATATAATACCCTCTTAGCACGAACAATCGTAGTGTTTGTGAGCACATATTAAGGTGAGTATAGCAGAGGGCAGAAAGACAAGCAAGGCTACTAGCAGTAATGGTGCCTGTTTCAAGCCTCATTTGTACCCTCCCCATAGAGGTTGGTTCATTTTATGTGGAGGCTCTCACAACCAATATTATGATTTGTAATTGTGTTTTTTGCGTTAGATCGTCGTGTAGATATAATGTTAATGTTTCAACTACAACCCTCCACCACTCGAAGCAAGCTTAATGTTGCCAATTTGGTACCACGTTTTACTGGCGATTACATCGAGGATTCTCGGGTGTTAACAAGAGCTACGCTCTCCTGTGATAGTTTTTTTTTTCAGGTGTTGGAGGGTTATAGTTTAGATTTCACATTATACCTACATGATCTATCCAAAAAGAAACCAATTATGAATCAGCCACATTTGTGTCCTGATACTCATGCAAAAAAGTAATATATGGAGTTGTTAAGGCTGAGTTGACATTCCGGTGGACCAGGCCATTTGAAAGAAAGCTCGTTTCTAACGATAGTTTTGCAAAGGTTTAAATCAAACATGGTTTTCTGTCCTAAAGAGGGAAAATATGTATATATATATACCAGCCGGTCTTTCCGGCACTGTTTCTTCTTCATAGCAGAGACATATTTGCCATCAGTGTGCTGTGAAGAATGCTAATTTGTCAAAATGTCGCCTGTTATATAAAATGGCATTATTTGTACTTGTGCACCACTGCCAATGCAGTATCACAAAACATGTTTTGTGATACTGCCAATGCAGTATCACAAAACATGTTTTGTTAGTTTTATGGAATTGCACTAATCACTATGCCACCAATTCCAATGAAGTAAAATCTCTCAATGCCCAACATGGTTTAACCAGAATCCAGAGTATAATGAATGTATTAGAATTGTTTTAATATTCTCATTATTCTCCCTACACAGACGTCGTCCAACCTATACACAAGATAACAGCATTGCAGATTTCTTGTCGAGATTTCTGCATTTTGCTTTGTCAATGCAGGGTGGAAAAGGTGAAAAGGGATCATCAGGTGACATTGGATTCCCTGGTCCCAGAGGAAGACCTGGAGAACCGGTGAGTAACTGAGACACTCACTCACCACCACTCACAGAGGACACTCACTCACCACCACTCACAGAGGACACTCACTCACCACCACTCACAGAGGACACTTACTCACCACCACTCACAGAGGACACTCACTCACCACCACTCACATAAGACACTCACTCACCACCACTCACAGAGGACACTCACTCACCACCACTCACAGAGGACACTCACTCACCATCACTCACAGAGGACACTCACTCACCACCACTCACAGAGGACACTCACTCACCACCACTCACAGAGGACACTCACTCACCACCACTCATAGAGGACACTCACTCACCACCACTCACATAAGACACTCACTCACCACCACTCACAGAGGACACTCACTCACCACCACTCACAGAGGACACTCACTCACCACCACTCACAGAGGACACTCACTCACCACCACTCACAGAGGACACTCACTCACCACCACTCACAGAGGACACTCACTCACCACCACTCACAGAGGACACTCACTCACCACCACTCACAGAGGACACTCACTCACCACCACTCACAGAGGACACTCACTCACCACCACTCACAGAGGACACTCACTCACCACCACTCACAGAGGACACTCACCACAGTAACGTTTTGACCTGCCTTTAAAGTACATCTGTGAAAAAGAGCTTCATTGATCGTGGGATTTCTCCAGGATATATAAAAATTCTGATTCTGAGAGTAAATTAACTTTGCACTGTACGAACATAGACACATTGGACCTTATAGTAATAGGTTTTTACCCTTTCAACTGGTACAAAAACTGACACCTTTATACAAGGCATCATGTTTGCAATAACCACAACACAAGCAGTCAAAATGCAAACAAAAATAAACAACTCTGATGATGAAAATGATATGCACTGTCCTTGAAGTTGATTGGTCCACATCTGAGACAGCTTTTCGTAGAGCCTAGTCTCCATTGGTGTTGGACCAGATGACGCCAAAAGGGTAAAAACCTATTTATTTAGCCACTGGTAAAGGAGGTCTCATAGTGTACAGTGGAACCTTACTCTAAAGAACACATTCATGTAAAGATGCAGACATTTCCAAAATAGTTATTCTTCACAAAAGGTATTTGCTAATAATGCTGTGATGTTCTCTTACAGGGCCCTGGTGGCTTTGATGGTCAAGCAGGAAAAGATGTAAGATCAATTGTGTTTTGCTGTCAATTCAATGAACATATTTTTGTGTTGATTTTGAAATGTCATTAAAGGGCTTTTTTATTTTTTTTATTCAAAATTTTTACCAAGGTAACATTTAGCAAATTCATCTCGATGCCAAAGATTTAATACTTAAAATAAATACCCTATATTATGACAATATCCCTCACGTGTGTGTTTTAAAGTTGTGATGATGGTCATAGCCTGATCTATGTTTAAGCTGCTGAATGATATCATGGGCAGTGCATTTTACTCAGAGTTACTCTATGGTGGAGTCCACATTTCAGTTCCTGCCATTCTCAAAACATTCATTTTGTGCAGTTGACGTCTACTACTGCTAGGTCTTTAAAGATATATTAAATGCATCACCTGAAAAAATAGGTCAACTATAGCCCAAATCCCAAATGCGGATAAAACCCACAAAAACACGTCACAGTACATAAATTGTAGCTGTCTCGCTATAACGTGGTATTTACATTTACCCAAATCTTTCTCACAAGAGGTAATGTATTTGATTAGGCTGTCAAATATTATTTTTAAAACACCTGTCATTGTCATATTACAACCGCATTGGCATTTACAATGTGTAGGCCATGTGTGCCAGTGTGCCGGTACAAAATGTGAAAAAAAAATGACTCGTAAATTACCTCATTGGGTGCTGCTTCATAGCAGCATTGCTCCCCTCCTGTGAGACAGCTGCAAACTATCATCGTCTCTGCGACATAACGCCCCCCCCCCCCCCCCCCGTAATAACAGTGCGCCAGAAGAATGGCACAGAGAGCAAGTGTGCTCGTGATTTCTATTATAATAACAAACTCGACAAATGATGTGTGTTTGATGATTAAAAATGCGTTGTATTTTGATCGCGACATTATTTTCGCAACTTCTCATGTGATATTGATGTCATGATTTTTTTTTTATCACGTGTATTGGAAATTGCGCAACACTTTTTGTTGCGTTTATTTTTATGTTATATTCCCGTTTGTGTTTTTTATTAGGGTTTACCAGGAAAGTCTGGTGAAAAGGGGTCTAAAGGAGACCAGGTCAGTATCACCTGATTGACACAATGCACGTGGTGTTGTTATGCGCTATATATATTACGAAACACAGCATCTCACGCTTACCTGTAAGAGGCACTCGCATTCTATTCATTTCACATCCAACTGCAACATTTGCTCGGGGGTGGATAGGGGTTCACAATCAAATGTTCATTTTCTCTAATTTCATTCCTCGGGATGTTCAGCCATAACCTTAATACATACTTTGCATTGGCAATGACTCATGATACCCCTAGAAAACACACACAATATGAGGAGATACTGTGTCCAACATTGACACAGGTCAGGTGAAAGAACCCATTGCTGTAGTGGCTCTCACATGCTGCCTTACAGCCTTACGAGTTAGCCTTACACACAACGAGTACACAAACTTTGCCTACATAGTGCCCAGGTTACGGTGTGTGATGCTGCCACCATGGCGTCATGCTTATTACCATTGGACGTGCAATCTAGAGGTCGCCGGTTCGATCTCCTGGCGCTTCACTTTAAACAATGGGACACGTTTCTTAAACTATGCTCACCCAACAGCATATATGGATACACCGCAGTGACTAATTTGGAAGATCATTTGTAGTGGGGTAAAGCCTGGGTAGTGACACTTCTTCGAAGATGTCTGGCCAGCATGAAAGAGTAGGCCAAAACATCATCCACAGGGCCTTTTTATAGCTATCTCTAGTGGAGCCCCCTATACCAGCAGTGGCGTGAGCAAGAAATGACAGGGTTACACCATTCCATTTGACCGTTTTGCAAACGTGTGGTTATGCTCATGTGGTTACGTGCGTGAATGAGCTTGCTTTGTGTGCATTTCAATTGTGCAGGGTGAACAAGGCGTAGCAGGAGTAAAGGGCACATCTGGAGAAAGGGGATTGCCCGGACCGCCTGGGAATTCTGGTTGGAAGGGCTTTGAGGGCATGAGCGGACCCAGGGGACTTCCAGGAGAAAGAGGATTCCCAGGACCAGCAGGAGCCGCAGGGACACCAGGCAGCCCTGGACCACAGGTGCTGCCTTAGTCGTTTGCCTCGCAGTGGTAGAACACCAGGGGCGGTTTCTTCATTAGGGCGATTGGGCGACGCACCACCAATGTCATTGAACCACAGAGTTACACGAGCCGTTACTGTGCCTCTGGATATAGTCCAATCAGCGTCATGTCACGTTCTGTGGAGTACCGCCTCTTTTTGGGCGATTTCACTCTGGCTGAGAATCGCCCCGAGTGTTCCCATAGACTTACATTCAAAGATGTTTTTTTTCGAACGGCGGGCGCTCCAATGCATTCTCTATGGCTTCCGGGAGGGCTCGCACTAACGTGCTTACGTCATCATACATAATCTTTGATAAAAGAAACTGAGTAGATTGTAATAATAATGAGTATAGAAACAAACAAGATGTATTGTAAGAGTCACTTTATTTTTCATTAATATTAAAGAAGTGAAGTTGCCTTTACATGCTTAAGCTGTTAATTTATCCATTGCATGGGTGGACCTTATCCTTATCAGTCATCCAGACATTTGCCCCCCCTGAGAGATTTTGCAGGAGCCGCCACTGTAGAACACTCTGTGACTTCACTTTGCAATATGTGTGCCAATTTTAACGTGTATTATTTAACATGTCATCATCGTCATCATCAGCCTTTGTCAATGTCTCCCATATGTGGAGTGAATGAACAAGTGCTGCCCTCCTACTGTGTGGGCCAGAGGTCACTTAAAGGGATCTCATAAAGTGGCTCTGTGATATCTACTTGCATTCGCCACTCTCTAGCAAGAAGAGTTGCATTGCTGACCTCGACATCCAAATGGAAACTTGATCTCATGATGTGACACGTAACAAGATCAGCATAAAATTAGGGATAAACAAATATGAGTCAAACTTTGGCATTTGTTATAATTGTCAATAAGATATACATGTGATCTTTATCATCTTTGTAGCATTCTGTTTTTTCACGTGTTAATTAAACTTTTCAAACACCAATACATGTTAGACCACTTGACATTGCAAATCATCCGTATCATTCATCATGAGCATCCATATCCTCTCTCTATTACACCTCCGATTAGCGCAGTTGGCTATGCATGGTGCGAAAGGAGTTCAACAGACACACGCAAAATAATACGTTACGAAAAAGCATTCAAACAAACGTCCTAAACGTGTGATATACATTGTTTTATACGTCGAATTAAAAATGTGGCTATGTTCAGGTATAAAATTTGGTGACGTAAATTATGCATTACCTCTAAATGGATACGAATTATTATTCACGGATTCTGTATAATTCAAACGTGATTGACATGTTCATCATTGGGTTCCCCTGCCCCCCCCCCTTCCTCCCCTGCTTCTCAACTATGATCTTTGCCAGGGTGAAGCGCCATCGTTTGATGAAATAAAGCGATTCATTGTGGATGAAATTGCAAGGCAGCTTGACGGTAGGTTTTTCTGCCGGAGAATTATAGACACTCCGACCCTCGTGAGACCTGATGTTACTGTTATTATATTTTTTGATTTTCATTCACATTAACTGTCTGTCCAGTAGTTTCTCCTAAAAATATAAATGGCACTCATTAAAAGTCTTGCTTCATACTTAAAAAAACTATGCAATAATCGTACACTCTAAATATGCACGACAGATGAAACGCTGAGGGGAACTGATTGAACTTGAACAAATTAATTGCTGCGATGATTTTGCTACTTTTTAGAATTGCGTCTATTTAAATAGTGGTGTTGTTTCACTTGTGGCATTTGATGAATAAATATGGCAAAGGCAATCATCGTAATGCTGAAACACATCATCATAAAAGACGAGCATATTTATCATATAACACGTAAGGTTTTATATGGTTATTCTCACCAAAATGGATGGATTTTTAAATCCTTTATATTAAGTTCACTTGCTTGCTTGCTTATGACCGTGCAAATCTTTTGGTCGTTTTTAAACCACTTCCCCTGATCCAATCGAGCTGACATTTTGCACACAGACTCGTTGTGCGTGACAATGTGATTTCGTGAAAAAAAAATCCTAAATTTTACACTTTTTAGGAAAAAATAAATTATATTTAATTACCAATTGCTTAATGGTGGCAGCCATTCATCTGACCCATAGGTGGCAGCCATCTCAAGCCAGAGGACGAGAGGACTCTAGCCGCCACGCATATAAAGGATTTATAGTGAAAAACTTTGTTTTTACGGGTTATTTTTTTAACAATTGTTTAGATACCTGTCAAGTTTTAAGTGCCTGCCAACTCAACACACAGTGGGTAGCTAACATAACCGTGAACACTTTATGACAAATATCCTAGACTGAGAAGGAGTGCACATTTTTAACACAAAAGATTACGCAATATAACAGTTTATCTTTGCAGAACTGCAACTATAAACACAATGAAAGCATCGGATATTTCACATGTAATTTGTACATTTTTCTGTCAACCTATTTAAGTGTGGAAATGTTCAGGTCACACCATGCGTAACTTTATTGCAAATTTGGCCAATTGGGGGTCTTATTAAAATATTGCAAAAATTGTTCATGACACAGCTGCAAATAACGTCAAATAAGACAACATTACTAACATTGTCGCATTACACCCTTGCAGTTATGGAACATTCAACTTTATTAAGTGCTCAAAAGAGTACACGGCGTGTGTGGTTTGTCTTTCTCATCCGCCATGCCCTTTCTGCTCCTCCTAAAGGAGTGAAATGTTGAATCGTGAGGTGAATGGGTGGCTCGTGGACCAGAGTACCGCAGCCAGGACTGCTGAGAACATGGGTTTGATGGGTTTGAGTTGTTGCTGTGGCAGAAATCGTTCTGTAATAGCGTCGTTGCCACAGGATGTTCTGTAAGAACGTGCTGCCTGAGTGCTCCAAATGGACAGACACGTCATCTTATGGCATGATGCTGATGGGAGAACTGAAATAAACCTTAGAGAGAGGGAAAAAAAGCACCTGTTAACTCTCAGAGGAAGAGCTTTATCAACATTTGAGCGTTTATATAAGCCATACATTACAACCATCTATCAAAAAAATCATAAGCCTCCCTCTATATCTAACCAGCCCATTAATGTTTCACCGGACCAATAGGTTATACACCATTTCAGCATCAGAATATCTGAACCAAACCGAGAAATAATTTGGGATCCGGTTCCTTCATTGTTATCACCCACTTGTAGTGGACACCAATCCTCTGAGTTGATATTACATCAGAGCACCTCCCAAAACCAAACTTCCCTCCTTGCCCCACTCCCCGTGATTCGCTTTGAATCCTGCCTAAGTCACAAGTGCCTAAGAGACAGGAGCTCCACTTACGATCGGGTGGGTGAACTTTATGATATGTACAATATACCCTTGCCTTCAACTTCAACATTGATACCACCTTGTGATGTCACCATTGTGCTGTGTATGCTAATCAAGATTATAATTAAATAACACGACAACACGCGCAACACTTTGTTTCCCGCCCACGTTGTACTTGTGAAACGATCGCTAAACAGACCACACCACACGGTCTCCTGAGTGGTGGTGTCCACTTGTCATCCAAGGGAGTCTAAGTCTCCGTGTGTCCCTACTCTCAGGCCGGCTAAACCAGCTGCTGGCTCGCATCCCCGCACCGCCTGTCGTGGCTCCATCTCCGGGGAGACCCGGACCCCCGGGTTCCCCTGGCAAGGATGGCAACGCAGGCCGGCCAGGACCTCCCGGCATGCCCGGCCCTCAGGGCCCCTTTGGCAGAGAGGGGCGGCCAGGCCCTCCTGGACACAAAGGTATACATTATGTGTGTGCCTGTGTTGAACTTATTTCGCACCGTCCGTAGCCAACTGCGCTAATTGGAGGTGCGGCGGAAGGACAAGAAACTAAACACAAAAAGCAGTTCTCAAGAAGTGAGTTTTCAATCTCGAATTAAAAGTGCATAGCTCCAGTGGCTTCCTCATATCGGAAGGAAGAGTGTTCCAGATGGCCCGCAGAAGTTCATCTGAAAGCGCGTGATGCAGTGACCGTCTTTGTTTGATGGCTAGCCAAGATGACCAGAGTTTGCATGATGGTTTATACTCCTTAACGAAATCAGCAAAGTATGGTGGTTCATTTGTGGCAGGTACTTTGTGTGGAATGAGTATGACCTTATTATCATGAGTGTCCCCCCACTTGCGTTGCACATCATCAAGTGATCCCTTTATTGAGGCTCTGCAAAGTTTATAACCCGACACGGGAATGAACTGGCATCAGCCTGCATAGAAGGCAATTGGGCTGCGCCTCACTGCGTTCGAGTATCACACGGCAGCTGTGGCTATCTCCTTCACAAAGGGATGATGAGAGAGCCACCCTTTTGTGAATCTGGTGAAGTGCACACTGCTATTCACGTAAATCGACCGCTGCCCTTTGTACACAAACAGGAGGTACGAACGCTATATATTAAGCAAGTTCTGAAGCTATCGAATGGATTTATCAAACTCAACATATGGCGATCATGTTTTGTGTCAGTTGCTTTTCAATTTCCATTTGAATTAAGAAAGATAGGTTGGAAGCTGCGCTGCTGATGATGATGATGATAATTAACATGAGGCTCAAGGTCATGGCACAGGGAGTATGATCTCGGAGTAACTTGCGTGGGTATTTCTGCATCTTGAGCGTATGTGTATCTACACACAGTGTTGGTGTCAGCCTCTGAACTGTTGGTGAGTGGTAGTGCAGTCGCCGCTTGTTGTGAAGGTTCCCGGTTGGAGACCAACGATGTGATTCTCTTCAAAAACGATTAGACCGCACGCGTGTGTGCGTGTGTGCGTGCGTGTGTGTGTTGGGGAGCGGTAGTGTAGCGGTTAGTGCGCTGCGCTACAAAACTGGCGACCCGGGTTCGATTCCATGTTCAAGACCAACACCAGTGACGATTATCTGAACCGGTCCTGGGCCTCCCCTAGGTCGACTCAGCCTCAAATGAGTACCTGGTGCGATGTGTAAACATCGCCACTGGGGAGACAAAGGCGGCTGGGCGTGGTGTTGGTCACCCACCCCCTCGTCTGCCATGCCGGCCTTTGTAGGCGCTCACTAACAGCACTTGACCCTACAGTCTGTTAAGGCTATACGGGGGATCTTTGTCTTTTTTGTGTGCGCGTGTCCAAGTTTGGCAAATTTGGTAAAGCAACTTCAAACATGCGCCCTGCTGTAAAACTATTGCAGATTGTCATTTGGCTGTGAAACACAATGCCTTTTTCGTATACTTTGCGTGATGAGAATGGCATTAATCCCAAATGTAATCGTGATTTGTATGTATTTTTAATTTCTTTCACGTCATACGCAGCCAACCGTGCTTATCGGAGGTGCAAAGTACAAAATGCCATGCAAAATGAAACAAAAATCGTATCTCCAACAGGTGAGCCAGGTACGAATGGAGAAAGGGGGTCACCTGGACAGAGCATCATTGGAGAACCGGGCCCTGCTGGCCCACCTGGTAAGGCAGACGTGGAATTAGTTACTCATATGAGATGTTACTGATTAAACAGAAGCATATCAAGGGTATTATTAAATCAGTAATACATTAATAATATTACATGCAACATTACTGCATCTGTGTGTGTTTGCCAATTCATCTTACAATGGTAATATGCTGTTCACGCTTTCAATCGGTACACTTTTGGCATACTTCGATGTTGGATTCCCATGTGATGGTTGGTGCTAGTGGTGGTAGTACACGTCTGTGCCGGCATCAAAGTGGTGGTGCAGTGGTTCCCGCACTGCGCTATAAACCCGGTGCCAGGAGCTCAAGTCCCACTCATGGCTAACACCAGTGACGATTCTCTGAACCGATTGTTGGCCTTCCCTAGGTCGACTCAGCCTAAAATGATGACCTGGACCTGGTGTGGTTAAAATATTGTGAATAGGAAAATAAAGAAGTCAGGGGTGGTGCTGGCCACCCACCCCCTTGTGTACCGTGCTGGCCTTCATATGTGACCACTAAAAGCAGTTGCCCTAACAGTCTGTTGAAGGATATTTGGAGGATATTTGTCTTTGTTTGGTGTTGCTGATGGTGGTGATGTTGTTGGTAATGGCAATGGTGGTGATGGTGATGTGTTGCTGGTGGTGGTGATGATGGTGATGGTGCCGGTGGTAAATGAGCAACACACACATGTTGAGAATGTATATTTTCTATGGGGCCAGCGCGTGGGTACTCACGTCTGGTGTCTCTGCCTTATAATTTCAGGTCCAGCAGGGCCTCCAGGCTACGGAAAAAGTGGAGAGCCGGGCTCCATGGGGCCTCAAGGCAACCCGGGAGTCCCTGGGGCGACAGGTTCTAAAGGGCCCTCTGGCCGCGACGGGCAGTGCGCCCCTCACCAATGCTTCCACCACGGGGGCCACGTGGACATGGGCATGTCTCAGAAGAACGTGAAGGGACCTTGAGCTTGGTCGAAAGGGACCGCGGCGTCATCAGCAGAGCAAGGGACATAGGCGAAGGCCACACTTTCAGGCCAGGGGTTGAGTTAGCAGGGCACGCTGTCGACAGATTTCATTACAGCTTCATAGTACCCCTTCAGTTATCAGTTGCAGTGTGGCAATCATTTTAAGTTCAGTTTATGCTTAGATAATTTGTATTCAATATATAGAAATTATACACTTACTATCCATAATATTAAATCTGCCTCTTCTTGAACCAAGAAGATGAATCCCTGCAGTCACGAAAGCTTTAAATCGAAAATTAAAGCTGCCTTTTTACTTGGATAAAATATGTAATATGTTCACGTAATTCTCTCAGTGGCTTTTCATCAGAGCAGAGAGAGATAGGGTTTATAGAAGATTGTGACTTGCGCTGGAGAAAGCATTTCTTTATAGTTGGTGTGGGAAAAACTTAATCATCGTTAGAGGCAAGATTTTACAATATCATTTTTTTTCTAAAACTAATGTGCATTACATTATCCCGCGTAAGAGTAAAGTACTATGATGTGAGTATGACAAAGAATAAGGCAGACATGATGTTCAACATGAATATACATGTTCACTCACTGCTCATCTAACATTTATTGGGTAAATGCTACTAAAATAACGCACTATAGTATTTGACTGGAGACCTTTTTCAAAGTGAATTAATGGTGTGCTAGCCCAGTCTTGAAGGAAAAAATCCATGTTCCTGGGTGCCTGGGTCGTTTACACCAGACCACACATTGATTTTAGTGGTCTCTTTGTTTCCCCTGTACAGTAGTTAAGACATCATATCAACTATCCCATGCTTAGCCACTTGCACCAGAGCCTGTACAAATATGTAGATCCGAAGGGAGTTTCTGTGCAGGAGTTTATTCGGGGATGTCACCGTGTGTAGTCAAGATTTAAGATATCACTTTTCAACTTGGTATGTGTGGCTCCGCAGCCATTCGCTAAAAGTGGCCATTGACTATCTGATAGAGATGAAGCAAGTGACGTGGACAGTTCATACAAATGGTAATATTGTTGGATTATATTATAACAAGAACATTCTAAAAAAAATACTTAATTGACATTTATTTTAAATCTGTACCTTTTCATCTTCAGTATAGATTAAAAATGTTAAAGTAATTCTTGGTAGGGTTTACAATAAAGACAAATAATGCCATAACAGCACATGGAACTAATATCGATGGCTATCTCTGGACGCATGCTCGCCATTACTTAAGTTGGTCTAAATATGTGTTATCGCGAACTCTTATGACTCCAGTCCATCACAGAACACATCACAATGTCACACGCTCAACAGCACCTACTTCTGTGTCCTGATAAGTTAAGCTCTTGAGTTGAAGGAGAAGAGAGTGTATTAACTTTACCAAAGGTGTCCCCTCAAGTGAGCAGTAGTCATTTTGGCTTTGTTCAACATACATACAACACATTCCTTCATATGTTTTATATTCAGTATTTTTATATATATATATTCTGATACTTTAACATTTCTAGTAGACCACTTTGTATGTTATAGGCCTCGTAAGGGAATGTCTGATAAACGCATTTTTTTACAATTGTGTCCATGGATTAAGTTAGAATTTAACAACGGTAGTGATTTAAAAAAAGCATTTGACTCTATACTTATGTTGTGGCAATACTATCGAGCATTATGTTTTGAAAAAAAAACAAGAGCAGGGAATAATGTAAATATAACAAATATCTACGTAATACGCTTTAACATGCTTGTTAAGCTCTTAAATTTTAACCCATTTGGCAGTTGCTCACATTAGTCTGAATTACATAGATATAAACAGCGCTTCCTAAAATCGTCACGCTTATTATATTTTAATGGGGTTTGTTGTCATCGTCATCATCGTTATTCAATCCTGCACAAGAGGCAGACTGAGACACCGTGGTAATCGTTGTACCTTGAGCCCCCCGTTGTGCAACGCATTTTCATTCCGTGCAGAAATACACCACAGCGAATGTGCAATTGCTGAACGAATGGCCGCGGTGCCCTGCGTACGGTGACCACCATTACATTGTGAAACAATATTATTTCATTCACGGTTTTAGCATTACATGTCCGCTTTGGTGCTTTCTAATATAAACTTCGATGGCAAATGAAACGTGTGCTAACAAGTGTTGTCTTGGGTTATATTTGTTTGATCTGTGACCTACAGTTTCAGTTCTGTAGTTAAAACAACACAATACAAAACGTCCCTATAATCATGCGTTATATTCTGAAATGGCGAGCATTGAATTGTGCTACTTTCAAGACATTACATTTCTTGCTGTCCATCGCTTTGTCTATCAGGACTTATTCGATTATTTTACGTTTTGTTTTCGTTAAGGCTTCTCTATTCTAATATTGCTCTTCGCAGTTCACGCACACATGCTTGTGAATTGCAGTCCAAACGTTTTTGAGAACACGACACTAAAGAGTCACAACAAGCTAATGTTGGGCTTATTTTGAAGCCTGTTCCCACTTCACTACTCATGTACTCCGTACGAGTAAGCACACATATGGCAACAATTGCCCATCATCGGTGTTTGTTTCTGTGCAAGACGTAAACAATCCTGAACTCACCGCATCTTGAGCTGCCCCTGTAAGCCATGCAACGACTAGAGTAAGGGCTAGGTTCAAGTGTTGGTATAATCGAATTTTCCACTGATCTATGATGAGAAAGTGACCGATCGGCAGAAAATAACACTTGTATGCAATATTTTGGCGTAAAACTGACATTCCGTTAACACATGAACTTAAGTGAATATCGATACATTTATTTCGACCCCCCCCCCCCTTTATATTGACGTGAAGTCACTTAACCAAAGTGTCTCTTTCAACCTTTAATGTCACACACTCGCGCGTTGTTAAATCCCAACAAAGTATAGTAGAAAGAAAAAGTGCACACATTGACCGGCACCATTGTATGAGTCTCTTTTTCTATCGGATTTCAAGTCTTGTCTGATCCACAACTTGCTACCGCACTTAAACCAACTCGTCGCTCTTGAACAGGTCCAAGATCGAAGGGAACTAAATGTGCCACGTGCATTTGCCCTCCATCTGATCACAGAATGTTCCACTTAACGTGCCTCTTTGTGCTCGGCTGGGCTTAACCAAACACAATGTCAATAGGCAGGGAAGTGAATGCTATTACAAACAATCACTGTTAAGTTCATTTGATTGCGGTGTGAAATGCCAATTCGCTTCTGCCTTCATGATACATGCCCGAACACATGTACATGTCATCCCACAGCCATGAATATTGTCACACTTATGAGTGTACCAATTGTTGTCCTGTGGCTCACTTCACTACACACGTGTCATTTTAAAGGGACCATTTAAAACAGCTGATGCCATATGCCAGTGTACTACAAATCCTAGGCGATCGTGACAACATGATGGAATAAATCAAACGTATCCCAGATTAATATCGAGAAGATGGGACTTTAGAGCAGTGTGCATTTTTTTTAGATCACTGTCAAAACTGTATGTATGTATGTTGAACTTATTCCCTGCCGTACGTAGCCAACCACGCTCAAAAGTGCGAGGGGAAGGACAACAAACTAAACACAAAAAGCAGTTCTAAAGAAATGAGTTTCTCATCTCTCAACAAATCATGAACAGTTATTTGCTTATTGGATGCCCTGTAATTTATGAATTCGAGTTCGGGTGGGGGGCAATGGTTAGGCATGAGCGGCTGAGCCGTCATTGCACCACGTCTTGCTGTTTCCAAAAATCTGTCCATTGAAATGTAAAAGATATGCAGTATTTATTGTGCTTTGCATGCTTTAGCATTAACATTTTGCACCGTATTCATACGTTGTTACTGTTATCATTGTTTTACGTGTTCCATATTCCAAGTTAGTTGCCACAAGTAACACGTACTTTTGTGTAAACATTTGAAATGGTGCTATTCAAAGTATGTTTTAATTATTTCGATCAATAATATTGTTCAGTTTATGCATTTTGTATTTTTGCGTGTATTTTTCATAAAACTTTGATGTGTTCAGGTGTGCTTTTTAAAATTTATCTTCAAATATTGCACGTGCCATGGGTCATTACTTTGTATGCCTTAATATGTCCAATGTAAGGTTCATATTTTCAGAAAAGTTTTTTTCAGATCACAGTGAGATCTGCTCGTATCAATTAATTGGACCAGGGCAAGTGGTGGAAGTTCTTCTGTCCTCATGACAGGGACACGTCTCTCCACAATACAACCATTGTGCATGCTCCTTTAAATGGTGCTAAATTCTGGTTATTCTAGCAGGATGATTGGGCTTAGTTGACCGAAGCTGGGACTTAAACTCTCACCGCCCTTGGTACTGCAACAGTGATATGGCTATAATCAGCCTGGATTGTGTAACATTGGTAATAACAGACCATGAATTATGCTACTCTGACCATACCGCTGTAGTTAATTAACTTATTTGAATCTCCACTCATGCATTTTAAAATCATAATTATAATCGGCGACAATGTACTGATTTAAAAACTGAGTAAATGTAAGCTGCAGTTTTTTTATCAGTTTGATTTTTTTTTATTCAAAATAGAATACCGAATGGCCGTCGCAAAAAATAAATAAACCTTGCATACAACTTAAAATACGAATTTCTGTAAGGTCAAAGGGACACCGAAAGGTAAAAATTCAGGTCAACTGTTTTAATCCAAAATAACAATGTAACTTGGTCAAATCGCAGTTGTGAATCCGTGGCGTTATGTTGCTCAGTAATCACAGCAGTAACAACAAGCACATCGATAATTATCATGCTTCTACAGATTTCTAAAGCGACAAATTGCTACTCAGCGTTTCCACTTTCATTCATATTATTCATGCGAAAGGACCACAATTGTGTCGAGATCGACATTAGATCCAATGTACTCACCTTCATTCTGTCACTTCATAGTGCTCTCTGGAAAATATCTACTCTTCACCAGAAGATGGTGGTATAAGCCTTTAAGAAAGAGACCCATCAAATACAAGACACCACACTTGAAAATCACTGCGGCTATAGCTGGCTACTTGTTGAAACATCAAGACACATTAGGCGTCATATAAAGAGCAGTGTGCCTTCTGTACATGTATTAAAGCTAGCTGCAACTGGCACATTGGACAAAGGCTGCTCACACTTTACCCCACCACAAAGCTACGTGGCTGTTGACTCCCTGCAGGTTTTTTTACACATTGGGCTGACATATCCAGGACCAGATAATTAAGCTTGCCCAATATTTAATCTGCTTAGACAACCATGAGCTTTTGGAAATGTGGCTAATGGAATTGTAAAATGAATGACCAAAGTTGCGTGGCCAATTTTACATTAGACCGACATTTTATGGTTTGACAATTTCTGCAATGACTGTAAAATTAAAAAAACTTTCCTAAATGTAAGTTTTGCAATGACTCAAATGAGAGCATATATGATATCACACAAGTACTGATAGATATGCATGATCTCTCAGAAACTACTGTGCTGGAAACAGTTGACAACAAATAAAAAACACGTGACTTCTTTTTTCAACGAATACACTTTTACAAAATAAAGACGAGCTCACATATAACACAGTTGTACTTATTTAAACACAGCCGAAAGAGTCAGAGTGATGCCTTATTCAAATGAGCATTACGGCGGTGCTCATCCGCTCACATCCCTCAGTTAAGTGGTGGACATTCATATGGCAGGGGTGAGTCTATATGAAGCACAAACAATGTTAACGTCTCCCACAAAGCGGTACTCATTGAATTGAGTACAGCGGGATGATGGGTCAAGCCAACCAACTAACCAGGTTTTGAACTTTGCAGCCTTCCGATTGCGAGCTGTTCCCTCCACAGCTGAGCCACCTGGTCAGTCTTAACACTGCTTTCTAAAATACTGTGGAGTGTTCGTTAACAAATCAAACACTTGTCCTTGTTTGCTGAAATTCCAGCTGCAATACAATCTGACAAAGTAGCAATATTCAGCATGCATATCGTGGCATGTGTACGCGGTGAACACATTTTAAAATAGCGTTCGTCCAATGGTGCACAGCTTGTTTGCAACGTGAGGCCGTGTCACCTTGTAAAGACACAATTCCTCCTCCCGGTACTGTTAAGCCATGGAATGAGCTGTGCTTTAACAAAGGCACATTCAACAGTTATGCCCGACTGAAGACGGATTGGAATTTTTAATCAACGACGCCCTGCTGCTTCGGGCGGGTACAGCTCGCTCCTGCCATCTCAAACCCACGTTTATCTTGGTGCACGTCATGCCTCTCCGTGCAGTGGGACGCCTGTGGGGCACGATGCATGGATGGTTCACTTATTTTGCACCGTACGTCGCCAACCGTGATAATCGGAGGTTTGGGGAAAGGACGACAAACTAAAGACAAAAAAGCAGTTCTAAAGAAATGAGATTTCAATCGACATGTAAAGGTGCATTGTTCCAGTGGCTTCTTAATATCGGAGGGAAGAGCGTTCCAGACGGCTGCAGAAGCGCATCTGAAAGTGCGCAATGCAGTGTCCGTCTTTGTTCGATGACTAGACAAAATCCGCTGCGAGAGTGACCGGAGTTCGTATGATGGTTTATGATCTTTGACGAGATCAACAAGGTATTGTGGTTCACAAAACACCAAATCTAATACTGTCTAAACCAGGTATGTCATACAGGTAAGCGAGCCTCGGCCTACTTTGCAAAGTTAACCGCTTATTTTTGGGGCTTTAACAATGGCCAATGGGAATCCAGTACGGTATAGCCATGATGTGGTGTATCAGCTGACCGTCCCAACTGAGATCATGTGAGAGACGCTTCCATGCCGGGCACAATGTAGGACAGGACAACAATTATCCGTCATGATATGGGGACCAATATTGTGGATCCTATTTTCCGTGGGGTTATTCGCAACTACACTACTTGTCCATGGGGAAAAGACAATCCGCTGATAATAAGCAGGTAATTGGACATCATTCCATCATTGAAATTGCGGATGATGGTGCATAATAAGAAGATTATGGGCACGGGTAACATAAGTTTTTGCAGAACTCAATGCTTCCTCATATTCTAATATTCTCCCAAAATTTTCAAGGGTATATGAATCCGTTGTGTGTGTGATTGAAATGATTGGAAATACATTTGAATACATCTGGTTAGAATAAGTGGGAATTCCCACGAAGAAACCATTGCTTTGCGAAATGTTTTTTTGCTATTCAACAGAAATCCATAACCTCACAGCTGCTGGCTATCGAACCTCTTGTATTATTTAGACCCCATTAAAATCGACTTTCCGCCTCCATTTCGAGAGCCACTCACGGTGATTCATATCAGAACTTTCTGCAGCATTGGTTGACCTTTAGAGATAACAGCCCCTGACATAGAAATGTGGAATTTTCGCTACTTTCTCAAGGCTGTCATGGGAAATAAAGTAACGCCTGTTGTCTGAGCATGGATACCATTTACGCTTTGGTTTTCTCGTCAGCAACTAGCTCCTAAACTGCGGCAGGCACGCCCCCACATTATGGATATCATTTTAAGTCAACATACACGACTGTATGCTAGAGGGCAGTTTATTTAAACAATGCAATTGCCCAAGTAATAATAATGCATGTTTTCGATTTAAAGCTTTCGTGACTGCAGGGATTCATCTTCTTGGTTCTTTCGGTAAAGTCACGTAGAAGGGAAGCAATTAAATAATAAAATAAAGCATAAAAAATATTAAAAAATAAATGTTTTTATTATTATTTTGTATTACTTTATTATTTCCCTTCTACTTGACTTTACCGAAAGAACCAAGAAGAAGAATAATTGAGTTTTATTTTATTTTGTTACCCGCATGATACCGTTTCGCCAGTTCCCTGGCAATGTTACACGTGAGATGCGTGGTGCGTGAGCTCAGTGGCAGCAACAAAGCGCAAAGGCAACAAACGTCGACATTGCAGAGAATGAGTGCAGGCTCCTGAATCAACAATGCAGCTGCACAAACCCAAGAACGCCAATGTTGTTATACGAGTTCATCCTCTTTGGTTCTTTCGGTAAAGTCGCGTAGGTGAAAAAATAATAAAGTAATAAAATAAAAATAAACAAATAAGAATAAAATTAAATTAAAAATAACCCTTTTTTATTTTATTCTTATTTTTCCCCATTATTTTTTAATTATTTTTTCACCTACGTGACTTTACCGAAAGAACCAAAGAGTATGGATCCTTGCGTTCACGAAAACTTCAAATCTGGAATGATACGAGTTCCTTTATTGTTTGTTATTTTGCAGAAGCATTAAACATCGTTGGCTGATATGATAATCAGGAGGTGATGTCATTGGTGTGAAAGTTGAGCTTTGGCTCAGTAAGCAGGCTCAAGCTTCCATGGTGTAGGCCAGGATCCCTCTTCAAAGACCTGCAGTCTGGACAGGTACTTGTGAGCACTTGTTCTGCCTCTAAACTCAATTACCCTAAAGAGCAAAACGAGGATTAAATTATTCATTCCAAGCATCAGCTTATTTCCACTGACCTCCAAAAAGTCAAATTAATTTCCCATTCAAATGAGTATTGGGCCGTACTCATCTCTTATTTATAGCCCTCAGTCAGCGGTGCAAACTTCACATTCCTATGATGGGTTCAGACGAGCTGTTCACAGGACAAGCAATGTTTAGCCCTCACAAGGTGGTAATACTCATTTTATTAACCCTGCAAAGAACTGAGGGGACCCCTGACTGCGAGACGAATTTGTAACCTGATCACAAGAAATATACATGTAATGGCATAATCAGTGTGTTTACAATGTAGACATTTAATGTGTGGTTGCTTCAGTGGCGCCATAAAGAAGGTGAATGCATCGCAATGAACGTTTGGTTGTATAAAAGAGAATCTTCTTTATTGAAAACCCACACGACATCACATGATGCATCACTACAGTTCAATGCAAAACACGGTCACAACAACACACTACCACTCCATCTGTGACACATGAGGACTCAAACTCATCGTGAACAAAGCAGTAATGTGTTTTCTTATGAGCTGTTATATACCTTAAATAATAAATACAGCATAGTATACAAGCATCAGCTCGTTCATGTATAATGCATCCTAATTGTAAATCTATTTCTAAGTGTTCACCTAATTTTCCAAAGTCCCCTTCAATGTGTTACGTTATGAGTAATAGAAAATCGGGATACGTTCACGCGGCTTGTGTTTGCATATATTATCAGTGTGTTTTTTGTTTGCGTTCTGACCACAAGCATTGTGGTTAATGCAGACATGATTCCTTGTAAAAGGTTTCAGTTGGTGTTTTAACATCTTAACACCTGTTTTGTTGCCAGAAAAAAGGGGAAAACCTATCATCATAGTTTGGTACTGGCAGAAAAGGTCCCATGATGTATACTGATTTGTTGAAATTGAGAAGGTATGAACGTTTACCAGGAGTGTTAATTATGCACACACACAAACACGTTTTTGTTATTTTCACTAATGATTGCTACAAATAAACTACATATATGTTGCGCTATTCATCATTACAAATTTAGTAGAAAGAAGTTTGTTTTAATATGATTAAAATTAAACACGTTTTGTACAAACCTTAAAATGGAGGCATGGGAGTTTAAAAAGTAATCCCTTCCCCCCAAAAACCTTTTGTAATCTCGCCCTTAAATTAAAAGAAGCGTGGATTGTGTAAGGATATCATGTGAACCATAAGAATCTGGGCAAGACGTACGTGAACTCCTTGGAAAGCAAGGCTGGATTGGCAGGCTCATGTTAACCATGCGCCCAATCACTGCACACTTCAGCAGCTTTTACGTATGTACATGTTAAGGGGGGATAAACGGGCACTGCCTAGAGCTCAAGTGGCCTTTCCACTGGCTGGTACCAGCAGTGTCAGAGAAAAGGCTTCTGTGGAGGTGGTTTATGCGAGATGCTACCGGGCAGCTTGCAATAGCCATTATTTAGTAACAGGAGGCAGGGAGCAATGCTCACAAGCAATGAGCAGTGTCGACAAGTTTCTGACGCCCGATGTATATTTGGAGTTGGCATGTTCACTCCGTGGTCGCTTGCATTGTTCTCGGATCCTCTGGATTTTTTTCCCCCTCCACATTTAGAAACGTGCGCTGAGGGTATTTGGCTGCTATAAATTTCCACGTGATAAGCCACTTCATTGAACTATCATTTGTGGCCAGGTCGCTTCGTTAAAATAGCTATATAGCTCAGTGGACCTTTCCTGGTAAAAAATAATAAGTATAACCCGTAAAAACAAAGTTTTTCACTCTAAATCCTTTATATGCGTGGCGGCCACCTATGGGTCAGATGATTGTCTGCAGTATTAAACAATTGGTAATTAAATATTTAATTTGTTTTCCCTAAACAGTGTAAAATTTTTGAAAACAATTTTCACGAACATTAATTGTCTCGCACAACGAGTCTGTGTGCAAAATGTCAGCTCGATTGGATCACGGGAAGTGGGTTAAAAAACGACCGAAAGGTTTGCATGGTCGTAAGCAAGCAAGCACGCAAGCAAGCGAACTTAATATAAAGGATGAAAAAATAGTAGTTACGAGCATGGAGCGCCGATAATGCATTTGCCAGTAACCTCCGTTATTCAATAACATCTATTTGTGTCTCTTTACTCCTGTAAGTGACCCTTTCTTTTGCATTTGGCTTCAAAGTATAGCTATCCTGGTATAAGCACCATGGGGCATCACCGGCACTTATTGGTAAATTGCAGCCACTGCTGTTGCTGTTGTCACTCATACACCATTTGTATTCAAGTGAAAAGCGCATTCCCTTCACACAAAGCCCGTTGATGATGCTGGTGGTGGCCGTGTCTCTAGGGCCCCGTGCCTCCAGGCCCCTTCACGCTGCCAAGTTTGCCCATGACGATGTGCGGTGGCGCCTGTGGGATGCACCCCGAGTTGTCGCAGACCCCAGGAGAGCCCACGGCCCCTGTGGAACCAAGCCGGCCGGCAGAGCCCGGCAACCCCCAATCCCCGTGAGACCCGTCTGTCCCTGGTCGACTCTCCCCAGTCGGACCAGGTGTACCTGAGAGTACAAATTATTACGAAAAAATATAATTAGCTGGACAGTAAAACTCTTCTTTTCCACCACCCCATTACCTGTGACTTAAATTATCCACAGGCACCAATCAAGATCAAATCAATATAAGACCTATAGATCTTCTTGGTTCTTTCGGTAAAGTCACGTAGAAGGGAAATAATAAAAGAATAAAAATTAAATATAATAAAATACAATTCTCACGACGTTTCGGCCACAACGCAAGCAGCCGTCCTCAGGTGAAGAACAGGTCTGTCGGAAAGACAGCGTCTGAATGTCTGTCCGATAGCCCTGTTCTTCACCTGAGGACGGCTGCTTGCGCTGTGGCCGAAACGTCGTGAGAATTGTATTTTATTATGTTAAATTTTTATTATTTTATTATTTCCTTTCTACGTGACTTTACCGAAAGAACTAAGAAGATGAATCCCTGCAGTCACGAAAGCTTTAAATCGAAAGACCTATAGAGTCTGTGAAAACTCTTGTTATCCGTGATGATTTGCAGTTTGTCCCATCCTGCACAACTTTTCCACGGATAGGTGGATTCGTGCAGCAAATTCAGTGGAGTCAATGCAGATAAGATTTCAAATCGGGTGTTTGTCCCCTTTATTTTGTTTTGTCACATTAAGTGTCAACAACAACTAAATGTGATTGTTGCATGTGCGGTGGTCATTGGTGACCACCAGGTTGAGACTATCAACTTTCTACACTTGTGAATCCAGTATAATCATCATAAGCACCCCAGATTGGAACCCACGGTGTCAGCAGTGGCAGCTATATATCTGTGACCCATGAGCCACTGGCCCACCTCAAAACTAAAACATTTGACCCCGTAATTAAATACACAATGTGAGCACATACCAGCAATACGATGTATATCCCAGTGGAAGGATTTATGTCAAGGTATTTAGGAAGGAAGATCTTGTACCTTTTGGCCCTGGCACACCAATGTAGCCCAAGCGAGCCCTCCCTTGAGAGCCCTTGTCTCCTTTATCCCCAAGAAAACCTAAACAACAGCAAAACATAATTGTCAAGCCGGGTCTGTGACGGACCTGAGCATCACACCCAACAGGAGCATATCCCAATAACGAACCAAGATTTGCCTTGAATTTTACTCCTTCCATTTGTGTAAATGCTTGGTGTGAGATGCTCTACACAATGGCAGGTAAGCACATTTCCACGAAACTAAACTATTTTAATTTTATCAGGTAAGGACCACTGAGCTATGTAGCTCGTTTTCAGAAGTGACCTAGCCAAAAATGATAGCTCAACGAAGTGGCTTATCATGTGGAAATCTTACAGAGCCAAATACTCTAAACGCATATTTATAGATGTGGAGGGAAAACCCGGAGGACCCAGAGAAAAATCCACGCGACCACAGGGAGAACATGCAAACTCCACATATACAGGCGTCATCAGGGTCGGTATCGAACTCACAACCTCCTGTATACCAGGCGAGGTAGTTCACATCTTGCCACTGTGGTGTCGCCCAATGATGCAAATTATACATTAGTATCGTTGCAAATTAAATTGTATTTATGAAACAGTGTTTTGTTTTGGTGAGACCTAATTTTGAAGAGTTTATTGGAATTACAGTACTGTACTTTAGTACAACATTAAAACTCATACTTTGATAGTTACGTGAACCAATTCTGTAATTTACACTAAAGTAAATTTTGTTATTATTTGAAGGTTGAGTCCTTTAGGTACCAAGAGCAGACTGCAGCATATCATCCGCACTGCTGAGAAGGTGATTGGCTGTAATCTACCAACCCTTGAGGACCTGCACACTTTGAGGACCCTGAGGCGAGCGAGGAAGATTGCGGACGATTCTTCGCACCCTGGATACTCTCTGTTCCAGCTACTCCCCTCCGGCAGAAGGCTGCGGTCCATCAAGACCAAAACCTCACGTCATAAAAACAGTTTTTTCCCATCTGCTGTTGGCCTCCTCAACAAGGCCAAGGGCTTAAAATGACTTTTACACTTAAACTGACTGTTACACTTACTATAACATTTTATCTACATAATTACACCTTTCCATACTTACAACGTGTAATCTTATTTGTATTTTTGTATTTTAAGATTGTTTAATATGGCTAATTAACATTTTACATTTCGCATTTTATAAGGTCTACTTATTCATAATTTTAAAGATTTTAGCCCTTTAGTATTACTTATACTTTATAACGTTAGTATAGTTAGAGTGTATACCTTTTATATAAGTTAAGATTCCTACTTGTTCAATGTATGCACCGTCCCGCCATAGTGAATTCCTTGTCTGTGCAAACTTACATGGCGATAAAAACCGTTTCTGATTCTGATTCTGAAGTACAATCCACAGAACATTTAAAAAACGCAGTAACTGCTCAAAGCAGATGGAGAAAAAAATATTAAATCTTTCAGAGGAATAGTCCAGTGCACCAGGTGAAGTGCATCTTCTTGAACATGTAAATACTGGCATTGATATTATTGTCACAACACAGCTAACATTACCTAGATCTTTCTTGCAAAACGGACAGACAATCTCAATTCCCTGGTAAATGAGCGAAGTTACATTTAATTAAACAAATCACAGCATTGAAATTAACAATATATTTCGTGAGCTCCCCAGTGTGTCTTTGGCTTGTACCACACGTGGTTGTTTCAGCATAATATCTGATATTTCGCTCCGCATGCTCGGAAACTTCTTCAGTTCGCTCGTGCAGAGAAGCGTCAGCCATCATGCTGAACAACACACGGTACAACCTGGAAACGAATCGCAGAGCTCGACTGAACAACCACAAAAACCTGCGCAGGTCATCATGGACATATTGTTGCATGGACATAGACTAAATGAAGCAATGCAGTTATCTACTGACCTTTTGGTCCAGTTTCACCCATGACTCCGTAGGATCCTTCAAAGCCCTGAGGGCCACGCACCCCTCGCATACCAAACAGCCCAGTGGCCCCTGGAGGGCCTGGAGGGCCCGGGGGCCCTGGAGGGCCTGGGAGGTGAGAAGTGCCCCGACTCTGGCGCCGCATGCTGAGAGCAATCTGGTTCACCTGTTCTGAAAGTGCAACAACACAAACGCTTATTCCGCTGACATTGTCAAGGTCAATAGGTCATCACAGCCACTGCCATTGATGCTGCCATGCCTCACCAGGACTCATTTTATTATGCTCGAGTCTTCAGCTCCTGCAAAGTCAACGGCTGACCCCCAAGGTGTGTTCTTACCGTGTCCCACCAACTGATATACCCCCCCCCCCACCCCCATAGAGGTCACCGACATCTGGGTGCTCACTCCAATGTCTGCAACCGCATGGTATGGGCAGGCCCTCATACAGTAATGCATTGTTCCAGGGCTTTTACATATAATTGGGCTTGAGCAGAGCACATTGCTAGATGTGAAGAATAGTGGAGACTGCTGATGGAATGGCAGCTAAAGGAGGGAATATGCCAGGCAGATAATGGAGACATGAGATTAGATCATGTGCAGGAGTAAGATTGACCCTGAGGGATGGTGGCAGCATGGGGAGGCCTTCAGCCTGCAAGGCTCAAATTTATTTTGTGTAACTAGGTGAGAAATCAAGAGATCAGGATAGGTGTCGCAGTTGCAAGAGGACCCTGGGGCATTAGTCTGCCAGTAGGTGGTGATGATCGCTACGCCTAGCGCAAATTGAATAAGTTGTGGGTAATTTTTGAATTTTTTAAATGTTGCCTGTGAATCTGGCACACAATGGTCTGCTATTGCGGATAACGTCAGTGGATCATTAACATCCACTATGAAGCAGATGGCGTGCGGTGGTAGTATTATTATTGCACACCGCAGTATTAATCGGTGGTAATATTGTTATTGCACACCGCAGTATTAATGGAACCGTGAAGCTCTGCAACAAGCAGTGAACACAGCACTGCAGCTGGGCCGCGTCGCCGCAGCAGTGGATAGAAAATGGCTGTTGATGCCGATGCACGTTTGGTGTTGCACAGTCGTACAGTTGTCAATGTGGTGAATCATATACGAGATTACGTAACAATGCAATTGAGTATTTTTCAAAATTAAATCACCTGTTATCATGTCGGTACACAGTTCACGGATGTGCAGTTCACTTGCCCGCTTCCCCTGTTCAAATGGAAAATTGTAAGATACATCGTTAGCTACTGTCTAAGATTATTAAATATTTAGCAATGCTGTATCGTATTCCATGTACACATCGTAGCCAGCACATTCTTCATAGTGACACATGATGAAACGTAATTTTCAATGTTTGTTTTACTGTACAAAGTTTAATTCTGCAGGTCTAGTTAGTAGGGTTCTGTGTTGAGAGTCAATCTGATTGTATTCCTTTGTTATGTGGGAGGAAACTAAGGGCCCAGAGTAAACTTGCAATAAGCAAGGGGGTAACTCTCAGAAATTAATCCCATTTACTGTGCTGCCTCATAGAGGCAAGTCATTCCACTGCAGGTTAATGTTATAGATATAGCCCATTCCTCTGTGATCCACTAAGGTTGCCACCTGCCCTGGTTTTCCAAAGATCCTCCTCTTTTGGAGGGACATTGAAACTTTCCTGGTGTTTGTCAGTTGCTTCTCTTCCAGTATTGTGAGATACTGTGTCTTTCCTAACATTGTCCCTGATATTTTCTGTACCTCAGAGGTGGCAACCCTATCACCCACCCTTCCTCCAAGCTTCCAAGCTTCTGGATTTCAGGACGTGGTCCACCACACCTGGTGAAGCGATTCATTCACTCAAGTTCATGACGCGTCGTTCACATTATCCACAGAGTTTAACATGTAGGCTTTCGCGACCAATTTCATCCCCCCCCCCCCCCCCCACTTTGCACAACTAGTGCAGAAGTGTGGTAACCACATCTACGCCTCTAAATATGGAACGAAATAAGTGGACTTCTCCACAAATATAGCTGTCGCCTGAAGAAGCTAGTTGTAATTACTGGCGAAACGTCGTACTCAGATTGTAAATGTTGTAGCTTGGCTCTCCAACACACCGGTGTGCTGTACTAGTGACGAATTGGCATGTTCTGTTTTCGTGACAACCCTTACTAGTTGGCTGTGTCTGGTGGTGGCGGCTTTAACGACGCATTTATATATTTACGTGATCTAACTCTCCAAAAAAGCCCCCTCTATTATGAATTACCCACAGAGTTCATCTCCAATGAAGGCAGAGAATGTCCCTCCCCCAACCCCCATTTCCATGCCTTACCAGGGGGCCTGGGCGGCCGGAGATACCAGGGGCCCCCGACTCTCCCTCCTCCCCCACCACTCCCCTGGGCCCCGGCAGCCCGAGCTGCCCCGACTCGCCCCCTGTGGCCCGCTCTGCCTGGGGCGCCCACGTCCCCGCGGGCACCGACCTACACGCGCAACGCAACCGCGGCAAGCGCGCATGCCGGGGTTCAAGGACGTACAGACGATTCAAGGGAGTACAATTCAGACGAGCTTTCCCGTGAAAATGAATACCGTCCCTTTGCTTTTGATGTATTCTGCTTATTTTGTATTTACTACTTAACCTTTCTTATGTTGTTCGTTTGTGCACGGCTTGATTTGATCTTGCGCGCGGTGGCAATTTACTTCGCTCGGTCGGTGTTAGCCGCTGAGGGCTCTCTGCCCCCAGTACCGTTCCCGTTCCTTTGCAATGTGCACTGATGCCTCCTTCATTGTGGGCGATATTGGCACGTAAAATAAGGATTGATTGACCGACTGAGATGAGCAGCACTGCGCTCAGCACTTACACACGTAACTCTAAGGGACCTGTGGATAGCACTTCTAGATCGTATTTGACCTACTCTTCACGCTGGGCACACATCATTGAAGTGGTGGGACTACCCACACTTTACTCCACCACACGTGACTTGCACAGGCTGGGTTGTGGTGTGCACATTTCTACTGCTTGGGTGGACAGAGGAGGGGATTCAGGAAACTCGCGTCACTGTTTCAATTGTCACACCAGGAGAGTGGATCGAACCGACGACCTCCGGATTGCAAGTCAATTATGCTCCCCATTACACCACTGTGGCAGCATCATTGCTCTATTGCACTAAGTGGAATTCATTATTATTAATCCAGGAGGGAAGGATTATAGGCTAAGTATATTGTGGGAGACCATATATTATTGCGTCTCATATTGCATATGTATGATAATTTTTTCTTTTTGAAATCTGCTTCTTTGTCACTTAGCAGCAGTCAATGCTGTGGTAAAATACTTGAAAATCTCTTAATATACAGAGCGAGGCATATGTTACTTGCGCCACATGGCTCTGATGTTATATAATAATAAATACATTTTGACATAAAACTTTCGTGACTGCAGGAATTCATGTTATTTGGTTCTTTATGTAAAGTCACGTAGATAGAACAAAAGAACAATACAATAAAAAAAATATGGTTTCTATTTATGTGACTTTACCAAATAACCAAAGAATAATAATAAATACCACCAAAATCCAGGCTTTAAACATTGTTTCCACTTATAGTGGCGATAAATGTGAATTCGTGAAGACTGGTTGCAAACTATTTTTTTACGTGAATTTAAATGCACACACACACCTGCCATCAGTATGCAGCATAGATAACTGAATTTGAATCACCCCTGAGCCGCTCCTGTATAAACTTGGGTGCTCTCCGCACATAAGGTTCTCATTTAGATTGTTATTTTGTAATCACTTGTATACATTTCAATTTTAAAAAATGTGAAAGTTGGAAACGTTAATGTAGATGTTTTTTTCTCTCCATTCAAATGTCCATTTTATTCGTATGTTTTATAAGTGGGTGAGTTTTTTTTTTCCACGGGGAAATAACTGAAGCTATTATTCATTATATTAAATGTGTATGTCGTGAGGACGTGCGACTGGACAGTGAAGCACAATGCAAGTCAGAAGCGCCACAACAGTCATTGAATTCCGGAGACCTAGAGAGAAAAGCTTGCGTGTAAACAAATGCATCTGTGTAATTTGTCATGCCAAGTCACAGCGCAACGTGACACCTGGCATTGGGTCAAATTAGTTTCACCGATTTAAATGCCCCCCTTTTTGCATGCATGAGACCCCGACAGCGTGGTGTTAAGTGGGTTCTGCTTGTGCAGTTAATTGGTTTCAAAAAGGGTCGCGTGGCAATTATACTCACTTCTCCTTTTGATCCCTTGCTTCCAGCAAAACCCTGTCAAAAGTATGGGTGGGAGAGAGGGGTGCAGTGGTTACACCGTTGTTATCCATCATAATCCAAATGTAGTTTTATCCAATATATAACCAGGCGATTCTTTCCCTCCCCCATTGTTGCTACTACAGTTGCTATTTTTAAGCCATTTAATATTTTATAAGCAGGCCTAATTCATTGTGGACATCTGCATAATTTAGTACATTGACACAATCTGTTTGAGATTTAGCAAATGTGACAATAGACATACTTAGTATATCGTAGGTATGTAATGATTATTCACCTCCCCTGTGATTTCATGAATCAAATATGTTTTCTCTTGTTTGTGCCATCTCATTTGTATTTGTCTGTGCCGTTAATTCTATCCCAGTTGTCCCATTGGCCTAAATATACAATTTATATACGATTTCTATACATTGTAAATAATGTAATTTTGCACACATTACTTGATAGATTTATAGTACAAATAAGAATCCATTTTATTCCATGAATCGCTACATGCACAGTATAGAAAACACATATTCTGAATTACAAATCTATTTTTTTAATGAAAGATTCGTATTTTTAATTGAATACTTTAGCCAGTTTTTTGTTCACAAGCACTCATTACAAGTCTTGGTTTCTTACACAGTTGTCAAAGTATATTGCTCCAGGTCAAGGATAAAAGCCCGCATTAACAAACTGTCTTTTTTCAAGGAAAAATCATAAATTATGCAGCTTCGTGCATTAACAATCAAGACAATGTGATACACCGGGAATTAAAAGAGATAATTAAAATGCAATGCCAGCCTAAATGTGTCAACGATTTTGTCAATGTCAGTGTCTCCCTGCTTAGACAAGTGAGGAATGATGGCCGCAGTGAACCATACATCAGAGAGATACGAATCCTTTATGTTGAACCAGCAGTCCCCTTTTAAGAGAAGATCTGCGTCACGGAGGCAATGTAATATGGCAAAACCATTAATAATTAAAACGATAGCTATCCTAAAAACGTGACACTGCGTCTGCTGCACGCAATGCGATACCGTGTCTCCTCTCTCCCCCGTGATGCCACCTTCACCAACTGGGCCCTGGTGAGAAAAACAAGTACAGCGCAGTTAATGTGACCTACCACAATGTGGAACGCTATTTGTTGAATTGAGCATCCTCTCAATCATGAAATCATCACGCACAGTCAGCGAAGGACCGTTGCGCCAAACGTGTGACCTCTTGCGACAGCATTCGCATGAACTTCTGTTGCTGCCATACACCGGCGTCTCGCGTAATTTGTGTGACCACAGGGGTGGGGCCATTCCTTTGAGCGTCGCGGTCCAATTCTGATGTCGACCGCCAACTGAAGTGCACAATTCCTCGCAGCAGGGAGGAATTGTGATTTTTTTTTTGCACCGTACGGAGCCAACTGTGCTAATCGAAGGTGCGGGTTAATGCTGGAGCTCTGGGGGCTTCATCCCCTCAGAGCCTTTGATTTTGAGGGGTTCTCAAAATATGTACCGTGTTATAATAAATAAATTATTAACGATAAAAGTGATTTGGTGCTTAAACTAGAATTGAGGCAGTGCTCATCTTCTATTTACAGCCTTCAGCCAGTGGTGGACATCCCAGATTCCTATAGAAGGGGCCAACCACTGTTAATTTTCCCACAAAGTGGTACTCACTTTATCAACCCCAGAGGGTTGATGAGTTGAGTCAACAACCAACCAGGAATCCACTTGCTCGACCTCTGAGCCACATGGCCAGCTTTATAATGGTTGAAACGCAATCCTGTAGCAATGTGATATAAACCCCATGGGTAATTAAAGCCACGGTATCACTCCCAATTATGTGCCGAACCAAAAAAAAGTCCATTTTAACTTTTAGCTTTACAATTCGTCTATCACGCAACAAAAAAACTCAGGGTAGAATTTATGTAGCTGAATGACAATGCAGTGTTTGGCAGCAGGCATGGGTGGTGGTGGAGCGGTAAATGGGGGGGGGGGGCGCACACATATTTCTGCCCTGGCCTGCCCCATCAAACGTAATCTGGCGCTGTCTGTAAGAGTCTGCAACACTCACGGGAACTCCTCTGCGTCCACGCTTCCCGGCTGTGCCCTATTCACGCAGAAAAAAAACATTCACAGGAACAAATAAACGCCTGTTTCCTGAAAGATGGCTTTTGACTTAAAGCATATTAGTTGCAGTTGAAAGGTAACTTTGACACAACAGGTTTTTTTTCTTTATTCATGCTAATGTCAACAATACGTGTATTATTACATTTTACTTGGCCTATGCTACCTGCTGTCCTAGGTGATGTACAGTCAAATTAAACGAGGTGTATACCACGTAAGTGCTTAGTCCATGTAGGTGCAAGGCATGATTTGTAAGTCGCTGAAGTTTAAGTCCAAATCTTTTTACATCCTTATATTGTCAGTATGCAGATGGAACTTAACTGTATTGCAAACGTGAACAAATGTGGTATTTAACACCATTATGGCACTGCGAATATATATTTTATTTTTTTCGCCACAAGATTGATATGAAATTACGAACTTCTGGCATGAGTAATTATCACAATATTATCGATATAGAGGGGTAGATATGATGACAACACTTGTGTGCTCTTCTCGGAGGATTTCTCCACAAATCTGCCTGTCGCCTGATGAAGCTAGTTGTAATTACTGATGAAACGTCGTACACAGATAGTAAATGTTGTGGCTTTGCTCTCTAACACAGCAGTGTGCTGTACTAGTGACGAATTGGCATGTTCTGTTTACGTGACAACCCTTACTAGTTGGCTGTGTCGGGTGGTAGCGGGTTTAACGACACATTTACGCGATCTAACCCAAAATATCTTTATTATGGATGATATTGGTCGCGAAAGCCTATGTGTTAAACTCACAATGGCAATGTTGTGACTTTTTTCTTATTTCTACTTTTCATCGACGAGTATGAGATAGAAATGTTTGCACTGCATGACCATCGTGAGGAATATGAAAAGTGTTTTAGTTTCTGAAAATGTGAATATTCAGAGAATGTGCATACCAGCATCTGGTGCCACTGTGTGCTAATCTCATGACCCGAATTTACAAAAAAAGGTAGGAAACACTCACGAGTTGTACATTTACAACATAACACAGCACAGTGCCCCATACACGACTCGCTGGGGACCGAGGTATCGGCAGATACGTGAAAAGGTCAGATACGTGAACATACATAGAAAATTGCGGTCACACCACTGTTCACAAATAGCTTATCAAACGAATCACAAGCCGGTTTAAGCACAAGAAATTGCTTTACTGCACTTTGGAGGTAGGCAAATGTATGCGAGATGAAGACGACGAGGGCTGCGTGTGTGAAAAGGGTGGATTTGGCAACACCTATAGACCATGACAGTTACACTCTGCACAAATGCCACACTGGGTGTGGGAGGTTAATTGGTCAGGACAGATGTGTGACGGTCAGATGTGTGGCATTGTATTGAGCTGTAATTCCACGTCAACTTGCCTTGGCAATGGCCAGTTGATAAAAACGTGATGAACATTACCGCTCACCGTTTATGAATCCCTTCTTCATCACTATTCTATCCCTACTTCTTCTAACCCTACTTCTTTGCGAACGTAAATTTTAATCGTTGAATTCCTCCACCCACGTTGAGGACTTGGTCTGCCAGAATGTTCTTTCTCATCCCATACTTTGTGTTTCAACCGCTACACTGGAGGTCAAACCACAACTCGTTCTGCTACTTCCCTCCTGCTGCTCGCCTTTGGAATTCCCATCCTCATCGTCTCTTTTCCAAGCTCCCATACATAGCCTTGCTCATTGCAAGCAACTTTTATCCAATGCAACCTTGATAGTGCTGTTGGTTGCTATCCCGTGGACACGTGTGGCTTTAGGGCCGGTGCTTTGTGTTTTAGCTGCGTTTTGTTTAAACTTCTGTGCTCAAACAAGGCACTTGGCGAGGAAGTGGTGTGGCAGTCTCGCGGCAACACACCCCCGTGGGCGCTGGAGGCATGTGCTCAGCTGGCAGCGCTGGACGCGTGTTTGATGAAGCGTTGGGGGGGGGGCGGCCGACGAGGCGTTGGGCTCTTACCCGGTGCCCCTTCTCTCCAGTGTGACCAGGGGCGCCCGGAAGCCCCCCAGCGCCCACGTGACCCCTAGGCCCCTGCAACAAAGAGACTCGGGTTACAGCGTAATGACAAGGGGTGGGTGGGTGGGGGGTGCCAGTTCCGCTGCCGGTTCGAAGCTAGCAAAAACATCCCGTGGATTGCAATTTGAACTTGGTGTTGCCAACTTGCTTGTGATTTGTGTGAGTGGCAGATGACGTTCATAGTGGGCGGAGGCACTCACTGGCTTTCCTTGCTGTCCAGGGGTCCCGATCGGGCCCTCTCCGCCCAGTTTCCCCTGCGAAAGCACAACTTGTCTTATTGCTGAAGCGTAATCCGATGGAACATTAATTAGTACGTTCTTGCGCACACGTACGCATGTCTTGCATGCAAATGTTATATATGGATGTGTTATAAAGCACATGCTATGAATGTAACCAGATGTTTGCATTATACACAATTTTGTATTCATAATATGTTGCACCAATCCACTGAAAGCCCATACATGTATATATGCATGGAATGTATATTGAGTGTTTGATATTTGGTGAAAAATATGGAATGCAAAATTACACAAAATCATGTCTATTAAAACATTTAGATGCATATTTATATTGTTTGCATATTTATTAATTTTTTAACAATGTATTACATAGTGTACATATGAAGTCATAGGTGCGTGTGGAAGTCCTGCCAATGATTGATATTTGATAGTTTTATCTTCATGAATTGATTAACCAAAATTAAGAAAAATACAATTATAAAAATTCATCCTGACATCCCAACACAATAGACCGATTAAAACCTCAATGTGTCGTCCTTAGCTGCTTCATCTTAACCTTGTAATCAGCCCAACTAGCATTAAAAAAATGTCACAAGAAAACATCAGAATAATTTGGAGGAAAAGTAACTAAGCCTGCCTTTCCTCCACAAAAAAATATCTAAACGTTGTTAGTGGAAAGTTTCACAAAAGGCTTATTTATTTCACTGACTCTGCTGTTAATAGTGATGCATGGACACATGCAATGTGTCTCGTATAATCTCTTATTTAACATAGTCGCACATTCACTTTTACATTTTTTTTACCCATAGGCATATAGTCGTGTCAAATAAAAGCTCCATCTTACAGATTGTCAGTGATTTTGTGAGCTTATGAACTTCAAAAGTTGTAAAATAAGGATTCATTTCCAAAAGCTCATTTTTTTACTTTCTTTTATTTGTCAAATAAAAATACAGGATGTAATTTAACTACGATGTGTTTCCCCCTGATCTGTTAAAGTTTGCATGTTTATGCTTGTATTGCCCATGCAAATATGACAGTTATCAACCCTGAAATATTGAAACAGAGGTGTGTATAGCTTTTTGTCTCATGATTGTACACTGAATGTCAGAGCTATTAGAAACCCATTGAAGGACATGCAGTAAAAATTAACCCGTAAAAACAAAGTTTTTCACTATAAATCCTTTATATGCGTGGCTGCTAGAGTCCTCTCCTCCTCTGGCTTGAGATGGCTGCCACCTATGGGTCAGATGATTGCCGGCCAGCATTAAGCAATTGGTAATTAAATATTTTAAAAAAAATCCCTAAACAGTGTAAAATTTTGGAAACATTTTTTCACGAAAATTAATTGTCACGCACAACGAGTCTGTGTGCAAAATGTCAGCTCGATTGGATCACGTGAAGTGGGTTAAAAAACGACCGAAAGATTTGCACGGTCGTAAGCAAGCAAGCACGCAAGCAAGCAAGCGAACTTAATATAAAGGATTTAAAAATGGCTCGAATTATGTTCGTCCACTGGAGAGACTGCACCATACCATAAGGATATGGAATTTCAACCGTTGGCTTTTTGCTGTTAACAAAGATACTCCTTGGATCATAGAGATACTTTATTTTGTCTTTCTTAATGTTTAACTAGTTTATTTGTTTGAAGCAAAATTGTAGTTTTGCTTTTACGGCTGCACTAATGTAACGCAGCTTGTAACACAAAACACTGTGTGCTTGTGTGAGACCCAATGCTCTTTGGCCAAACAAATGGTATTTGTGCATCACCTTGCTCCTGAAATGAGCATAAAGACTTCAGTCTTTTGTGCACAACCATCCAGTCACTTACAGACCCAGATTAATTTCACAGAGTTGAAAACGAAAGCACAAGAAGCATTCCATTCACTGTTTCCTCAATCGTGTTTGCAAACCTGCACTGATGGCAAAATCAACACTAATCAATGCCAGATAGCAGTCTCACAAAGGTGGATTTTTCCTGAGTATGGGGAATAAGTGATGGGTCATACTTATTTTATTTATCACCAAAAGTAAGGTTATTAAACAGAAATCCTAGAGTTTCCGCTGAAGAAGACGAAAAAAGAGATTTAATCCAAGTTTTCTGAAGGTTCTTTGTGTGAGAAGCCCTTGTCCATTTGACACATTAGCCTCCCAAGTCCAATGAGATTAGATCAGTATGGCTAGAGCTTTGAAATGAAAGTCCTGCAAATGAAGCCGTATGCAGCCACTATCCACATCAGGCAGGCTTTCCCATCCTTATGGGTGCTACTCAGAGATCAACTAACATTCCAAAGGCTATTCCGTGGGTATTTTCGTTGGGAATAGGAGATTTCATCTTTGGCTGCTCAGTCATTCAACATATGCTGTTCCTGCCACAGTCTGGTCAAGTCACCCCTTGTAATTGTTGTGCATTTTGTTTTAATCAGAACTCACGATAGGGCCCCGCAAACCTTCAAGGCCCTTCTCGCCAGCATTGCCTTGGTCTCCCTGTGGGGCAATGAGAATTTGATCACTTGACGAAGATATCCGCGTAATGTGAGACATACTCACCAAATAACCTCAGACTAAAGTAAACAGCATAATACGTGATTAGTACATTTTCGGTAATTGAACAAAGTGAAAACATACAGTTATTCCTTTTGGACCATCTGGTCCTCTTGATCCCTCTGCTCCAGTACTTCCCTTGACATCAAAAAAATAGAATGCAGTCGCGTGTTAAATAATAATAAGAATGTAACATGCAAATAATTATGAATAATAGTTTTATTGATTTTAAGTGACGCACCCTTTCTCCGATCGAGCCTTTCATTCCCGGTGTCCCGGGTATGCCCTGCAGAGAAAGCAAGGCACAGATATGTTTATCCTTTTAAGTTTGCCAATCAATAGCACATGTGCAATCGGAACAACAACATAACGCACATTAAAGGGAGTACTTACTTTTAAACGAGTTAATACAAAACGATATATGAATGTTCGAAATGCATAATTGTACAAAAAATACGTACTTTTCTTAACATGTCTTAAAATGGGAACTTTTTAATGCATGCTCTGTCGTGGAACAAACTTCACTTTGCATGCATATGAGCACAGGAGTAGTTATTCTCCCCAAGGAATCGTGCAACTTTGTTCTCCAAGCTTCGTTCAAGCCATAAAAACAACGGTCAAATTATCCTTGATGGTAAAACTCACGGGCAAACCTTCCAAACCTCGGTGACCCAGAAAGCCTGGCTTAGCAGCTTCACCCTGGAATATCACACGCACAGTTCAGCCAAGGCGGTAAGGTGGTGCAGTGGCAACACCTGTGCCTCACAAAAACAAGGACCTGGGTTCGATTCCTGACTCGTGTGCCGTTATGTGCAGAGTATGTATGCTCTCCCCTTGTTCTCCATGGGTTTCCTCCAGGTTATCTGGTTTCTTCCCGAGGCTAAAACATCCAAGGTCATTGGTGGTGGCCAAATATTCCAGTGGAGGACCTTTTATAAAAATGGTCATTGGACTTTGTGTGACTTCCCTGGGTGATTAAACCATTATTATTATTAGAGACCAAGCCGCAAGGTACACATTTTAGGCTGAGTTGACCTAGGAGAGTTTCATTCCAGATTCTGATACCAATTTCCACATTGTGTTCATTCATAGCCAGGGATTACATATTAAAGTTGTTTGCCATACGTATCTCAAATTCTAATGATACTGTTTTCATTTCCACAACTAGATTCCATTTCAGAGACTTCATTGCAGTAGGATGGAAGCACATACTGAAGTTACTTTACCATCTCGTCAGTGTTAGCAAAGTCTGATGACGGTGTTGAGCGGTATTCAGTCTGTGACTATCTTGTGAATCGTGTATAATGAGCTAAGGGATTTGGAAATGCGAAACAATACAACCATTGTCTAAAACTGTATTTATTATATGTTTTGTGATTACAAGGCCAGTGTTCATATCCCACAGTCTGACTTCGATATCATCCTCAAAGAACCGAGCGTGCAATGCCTTTAATCAACCTCTGACAGCTGAGGGCCTCTCCGTCTCAAAGAGAGCACCCGCTGCTGTATATTTAAGAGTTGGGAAAGGAAACAGGTGGCTGAGAGTGGTCAGCCACCCACTCATGTACTCGCTTGGACACTAAACACGCACTCTAGTATTGCCTGGCCATGCACTCATTGAAATGCCTTTTGTAGAGATGTCCTTTTACCACTGAATCTGCTCTGCAGTGAAAGCAACCTTCACATGAGCATAAACAGGAGAATGAACCATCATGTGAACTCCGGTCATCCTCGCAGCACTTTTTAGCTAGCCATCGAGCAAATAAGGTGCGTGCTTTCAGATGTGCTTCTGCGGCCGTCTGGAACGCTCTTCTGATATGAGGAAACCACTGGATAAATGCACTTTAAATCTATATTGAAAACATTTTTAAAACTGCCTTTTGTGTTTAGTTTGTTGTCTTTCCCCCACACCACGTATTAGCACAGTTGGCTACATACGGTGGCGAAAGAAGTTCAAACGTGCGGAGTTCATACACGTTTCCAGGAATTATTCCATGAGATTAACAATAACGTTATTTTCTCATTCTTTTAAACTATCAATGTGTGACCCCTGTTGCCTGGATGTGATAAAAAAAAACATACTTTGCTGAATTAACTTCAATTAACTCTTACATTCACGATCACTACATTAGATTGTATGTGTAAGAATTGAGTGAACTAGACAAACGCTGTCCCAAGGAAATTGAACAATTAACACATTTAATCAATGAGATAATAATGAATTGTTAAATTGAATCGTAACACAACATACTGACAATGCATCACATTGCCTGCGTAATCGGGATGAGTTTGTGACTTCATTGATTCAGATATGGATTTTTTTTTTACTTTAGAATGAATTTCAATTCCGATTTCAAATAAAAAAACTTGTAATGAAATATATTTAAATAGCTTTCATTGTTTTTGTACCAAATATTATCTTTTTATATGTGTATGTTTTGCATTAATCACTGAATGACATTTTTTACATTCGGTTCCAACTGAAATTATAATTCTAACGTGAATATATTTTAATACTATATTTGAAGCTTTCGTGACTGCAAGGATTCATATTCTTAGGTTTTTTCGGTAAAGTCACGTAGGTAAAAAATTAAAATTAATAAAAGTAAAATAAAAATAAAATAAAAATCACGACGTTTCGGAGGCAACACAAGTCTCCGTCATCAGGTGGGACCGTCACAGCTAGATTTGCTGTATCACTTGATATATTTTGATATATTTTAATAATTTAAGCAAAAGTGACATTACGTGATGGTAACTATGGTGGAAAAAGTAAGAATGTGATGTCACTTTCTGTGACGTCACATTTTCAGGTCAATGCGAAATGGTAGAAACTTTCATATCTAGGCCCTGTTATAAAAAAAAAATGTCAGAATAAATTGAACATTTGGAACAGATCCCCAAATGGTTATACAGCTGTAGGTGTCCATGTTTTGGTTGAGCGCATTAATGCATGCATGTGCATGAAATGTGTGATTCACCGTTTCTCCCGGAGGACCGTCCAGACCTCCACGCCCATTTGATCCAAAGTCTCCCTGTGGAGAAGGACATTTTAAGTCTGTTTTAGTTTGCTTTACTAGAATTACCATGTAATTAGTATGCAGTTCACGTGAAACTTTCCAGTGGGTTCACTCGGGGACCTTACTTCAGTATGGAATAGGTTCACATGCTTTTGTCTTCGTGCCGTGATTAGGTTTAAAATAATTGCTCCAGTATTAACGTGTCTCCACATTCAATTGTGAGTTGGGTGGAGCTCACCGCCATTTAGTGGCCACAAAACTGTAATATAAAATTCCATATTCCTGTGACAGAGAAATCCCTGATGATAATAATAAATGACTTTAAGTGGTTTGGTAGTATGATATTTCACTATGGATATGTATTAAGTAAAATAGCATGTAATGTATGGGAACGAAAATGCACTTTGTTTAAAATATTGTTGACAATGTATCACCTGTGATTATTACTTACGGATTCTCCCTTGACACCCTTAATACCAATAATTCCCATCAGGCCATGTTCTCCCTATAGAGAAAAATGGGAGTACGTGATCAAGCACAGTCTAGAAATTATTTCAAAGCTCGCTGATAATGTTAAAACAGCATAGCAGCTACACGGAGCAACAACAGATGTTATTTCAGCAGCTAATCTGTGACAACAAAAATAATGACAAAACCATGTCTACGGTATGTTACTTAATGTTAGCATTATTATCCAAGTGGCCTCAGTTAATGTTTGTATCATTTAATGCACCACTAGAGAGTATATTGAAATGAAATCTCATTAGCAAGAGTTTATTTTGCACAAATGTGTTGCCAACATACTGTTTGTTTCTTTCGGTGAAACACGTAGGTAGAAATAAAATATAATAAAACAAATCACGACGTTTCGATCGCAACACAAGTGATCCTCATCAGGTGGAACACCCACGGCAAGAAAATGCTGAGGTAGGCCAACATACCTTGTCGCCTCTGTGTCCTGGCAATCCCATAAAACCCTTTGGTCCTTCTTTTCCCTGTGAAATTTATACAGTCATCATCATGATCACCATGAGGTATGATCTATCCACTGCTGGATGAAGGCCTCCACGCCATCACTGTCTCTCACATCTGACAACAATAATCGATCTCGCCCCTTCACGGGAGATGATTCCATAGCTCCATCTCCATTATTCGCATCCTATCGATTGTGGTGAAATGTTAACTAACTCGCCTGGCATACAAGAGATCGTGGGTTCGATCCCGACCCTAACGCTTGTATATTTGGAGTTTGCGTGTTCTCCCCGTGGTCGTGTGGATTCTTCTCCGAGTCCTCCAGTTTTTCCCTCCACATTTATAACAATTAATTTATAATATTTGGCTGCAATACATTTCCAAATGATAAGCCGCTTCATTGCGCTATCTTTTGTGGCCTGGTCACTTCTGATGAAACACTTTATAGCTCAGTGGGCCTTAACTGGCAAAATAAAAAATAGTTTCGTTTCGTAAAAGAAAACTCCATCATTAGTCAAGATCACCGATCGTCATCTCTTCTCGTAACGTGTCCCAAAAATGTGTTAACAAAGATTTTGTGACCAAGCAAATGTACACTGCTGATTGCACTATGTTGGGGAGGGCCCCAGATTGTCCTGTACCTCTATGGGCTGACATCAGAGGTTGTACATTTATCCCCTGATAAACGGTCACAAATGATTGCACAATTCACAAAGATTGTCCATAATTCCACTGCGTACTTGCTTGTTGGATTTGTACACCTTTCAGTATGCGTCAGTTTACCGAGTGACACTGAGAGCTCCAAATATCGCAGTACTCTGTATTGAGCAATGCTTGTCAGATTCTGCATGGTTCCCAACTGATATTCTACTGTACTCATACTGTCGGAGAATACAGCACACACAAACATAGCAAAATATTAGTGTATTGTTAGTTTCATAATTATTTTCGAATTTTCATGTTTTGAACCCATTATTTCACGTTTTAAGTATTGTTTCGTAATTGTTCAATACATTGCTTAACATTGTTAATGTTGATATTTGATTTCGTATTACTTTGTCAAGTTTAAAAACGCATTTCTTAACATCACGTTCCCACGGGGTATTTTCATATTTCGGATAGATTACATCCATATGACGATAAGAATATATATATTTGGTACTGCTGTTTTTGGCCACTGACATGCTTGTTTGCCGAGGTTTGTGGCTCAAAGCCAACAAACTGCCCTGGTTATTACTGTGGATCTATTAACAATAAAAAATGCACCATCTGCTTCAGAGTGGACATGAAATATCCTCTGATGCTTACAAAAGAGTAGGCCATTGTTTACTAGTGTAAAAATCACTATTTGCCAAATTGACCCGCAAATGACTCATTTGTGATTCCACAGCAATTATCGCCACCTGCTCATGCCCACTTGCAGGCCAGGTTCTGGGTCAGTTTATGCCTCACAGGAACAGCTGCCACTGTGGGTAACCCTTTCAAATGTTTGAGATGAGATATCAATTCATGATACAAAAAATACTTACAGATCTTCCCAGGGGTCCCATAGGACCTGGCTGCCCAGGCTGCCCAGTAGGACCCTGTAACAAACACAGTCAGATTCAACCATCACATGGCAGTGTTGATGCAGCGTTCAGAGTGAATAAATATCATTTCCAGGGATGCCTTTGAAAAAAAACAGTCAGTAGGTTTTGCTATTACATAGAATATTGTCAGGGTTCAATTTATCACCTGATTTTTTTTCCGGAACACTACTAGGTGGGCTTGGATTATGGATCACCAGCGCAAGGCACTGCCACTAGAGTACAAGATACACTACACATAACCGTAATTGATTGTACCCTCATTGCCTATAATCCTATAAACAGGTTTATAAATGCTATTGACCAAAATAAAGCGAGATGGATGTGGCATGCCAAGATCACTTACAGAACAGAATCCCTGAACTGTCCCATCTTAAATAATTTCCTTCGTATTATTCAAAATGTTTATGTGCATACACATGTGCATGTGCCGGTTGTAGGGAGCGGTAGTGGAGTGGTTAGCTCATGACCAATATCAGTGACAAATATTTTGAACTCATCCTGTGCCTTCCCTAGGTCGACTAGGCCTTAAATGAGTACCTGCTGCAATATGTAAACATCAGCACTTGGAAGACAAAGGGGGTCAGGCGTGGTACTAGCCACCCACCTTTTTCATTTGCCATTCCGGCATTCAGACGTGCAAGTTATCAGCACTTGCCCCATCAGTAAGTCTAAATTGTGGATATTTTTATTCGTATTTGTGCATGTACATGCCTTTGTGGAAAGCAATAGCGGGTTGGTGGTAAGTCATCTCTACAAATGGGTTACGCACATCTATAGTATGTACATTTGCAGTTTGTCGGTTTATATCTGTACTTGGCACGGGCCACCTCCAAGTCAACTCACACTAAAGAGATCACCTGGATCAGTGTTGTCAACGTAAGCACTGGGCAGAGGAGGGGTGGTAAGCTAGGTTCTGGCTGCAACAGCCACTTCATATATTGCGGCGGTCTTAATAGGTGCTTCCGATTGACACTTGCCTTCAACACTCTTATCCTTGTTAATTAACGTTAGTTCTTAAGTACCAACCATGGAAACCCATGTTATGTTGCAGTATTTTGTACTACATTCCTGATAAATAGTGAATCTGCATTTAGATATACTCTACACCATCAACGCTGAGCAGGTGTCCAAAGTGGATAACAGCAAACATCACTTTTGAAGGTGTAATAGATGAGGGCTAATATTGTTCTTGAATTGAGCAAGGTTATACGAACTTGGGAAAGGAGGTAATGAGAATAGGAGGGAAGTATAAAGAGGAATGTTTTGAGCTGCAGTGTGGTGGTTGAACATAGGGTGGATGAGATGAGACATTCAGTCTGGGAGACTGAGTCCTCAGCATGGGTGGAGGAACCGATAGAGTAAAGTTAAGGAACCGATAGAGTAAAGTTAATGAAAAAAATAACCATGGCAGCAGCAATGTAAGAGTGATGAGGAGCGGACTGACCTTGACTGCTAGGCCATCAATCGACCTGACAAATGGGGTCTGACTAACGCGATCGACTGACACTAACGAACATTATATATTGTGCACGAACAACACGTTGGCTGATGTAAACACGGCCTGGAATTGCATGATGGGATACCCACGCGTTCGCCTGCAGGGCCAGCTTCTCCTTGGGGCCCTCGAAGGCCTCTGCCACCCTGCACACAAGACGGTGTGCAAAACGTTCCCAAGTCAACGAACCACACGCCTCAATGACTTCACAGTACTCGGAGATCACGCGTCAGTGTCCATAGCAGTGTACCAAGACAGATCACTTTAATTTGTATTGATGATAATCCTCAATAATATTTGCCACATATTCAAATTCAAAATGTTTCATTTGCACCCTTACATGTGCAGCAACCCACGCACTCATTCATGGGCGATGCGACCGTTTGACTGATTTTACCAGGGGGTGGCTAACTGCAGGGTGAGGGTGGCATGCGGGGGGCAGTCCTGGGGCCGAGACGTGGGTGAGTGCCGAGATAGCGTTTCGTGATTCTCAGTGAATTTAAGAAGAGAAACATCAGCACCCACTTCGTGGAGCATAAACCACCACGCGAACTCCGGTCATCCTCACAGCAGTGGTTTTTGGTTAACCGTCGAATAAAGACGGGCACTGCATTGCGTGATTTCAGGTGTGCTTTTGCGGCCGTCTGGAATGCTCTTTCTGTAAAGTCACGTAGGTATAAAATAAAATAAATCACGACGTTTGGAGCGCAACACAAGCGTCCATCATCAGGTGGGAAAGCATGGTCTGCTGCTGAGGCTACACCCAATTCAAACCTTTTAAAATAGCCTGCCCCAGCAGCAGATAATGCTTTCCCACCTGATGACAGATGCTTGTGTTGCGCCCAAAACGTCGTGATTTATTTTATTTTATACCTACGTGACTTTACCGAAAGAACCAAAGAGTTTGGATTCCTGCAGTCACGAAAGCTTCAAATCAAGAATGCTCTTTCTTTCAATATTAGGGAGCCACTGGAGCTATGGACTTAAACATCTCGATTGAAAACGTATTTCTTGAGAACTGGCCTTCATCTTTAGTTTGTTGTCCTTCCCCCGCAACTCCGATTAGCATGGTTGGCTACGCACGGTGCGAAAGACGTTCAACATACATACATGCAGGAGCGAGGCAATAGAACTCTCACTTTGAAGCTTCCTCTAACAGGTTTCAATCTTCGGCTCAGATAACACTTCGATCGCATAACCTGCGACCTCGGCAACAGCATCTGTCCACCGAGTCAAGCTGTTTTGAACCCAAATAATATGTGCTACATTACGTTTCTAACGTACTACGGTATAACTTTCACTTTCCTTCAGAGTTGAATTAAGTCAAGTGGCTCCTTTGTCCATGTCCACATGGTATTTTCTATTAGCTGAATGAAGTCTGTTGGTCACCCTGCGGTGCAATGAATAGCAACTCCGTGTTAGGTAGCGGCTGTCACTTTGCTATATTTAAGCACAATAGAACTTCCTAACTACATTGTATTAGCGATGTACCCACTGACCCTTCCTCGACTGGGTTCACGCACGCGCGTCCGAGTTAGACGGTTGGTAGGATCACGGTTTTTACCTGAAAACCCACGGTGCCTTGTTCCCCCGTTACCCCTGCGGGGCCAGTGTCGCCCTGGAAAAATCAGACGTTCGGTGAAGTTATCGCCACCCATTGTCCTTCTGTGCACTTTACCTGTTCACCAACTTCCATGAGGCACACAGAGCTATTTCATCAGGGACACTGTGTTAAAAAAAAGCAACAGTGGGTCCATTCAACTGCTGCCCTTCGTTCGTGGATCTTGATTTCAGCTGAGCCAGGGTCTTTAAGCGAACAAGACGAAAGAGAATTGACAGGGGCGAGTAGCAACCGCTTCGTGTACGTTCTGAAGTTATTTATTGTCTGTATTCTCCAGATTCTAAGACGCCCCGTAAAGGAAGATGAACGTGAACCTTGCGCCCGGTATCAAGTCCAACAGATATAGTCACCCTCATGCACTGCGAACAAATTAAAAGACTCACCCCCAACTTTTGCCTAAAAGCACAAGGGGGAAGTGTGTCTTCTAATCCTGAGATAATGGTACGTATATGTTTTATAAAATAATATTGGGAGAAATATATTCATTAGCATTACGCCCTTCACGTAGAATTATATTCATGATTGTGTATCCAGTACTGTAAAATATACTGGATGTAGTATTTATTTAATTAATATGAACCAAAACCCTGTTTACAGCAACCAAAATTGTGAGGAAGATATTAAATGCTGTTCAGGAATAGCTAGTCATGAAAACCTTCAGGAAAAATTTCCTTTTCAGGAGCAAATGAAACTCTCACCTTGTTACCCATCTTACCATCTTCACCAACTTCGCCCTTGTGGCCCTTGTGCCCCTGAGAAACACAACACACCGATACATGTCTTTTGCCTTCCTTCAAGTTGGTGCGATTAGCATTTGTAAACTGATTTCAAAACAATGCCAACACACGTTGGCCAATCCGACCTCAAGCATCTGCCCATATGACTGATTCTCGTGAAGTTTTAAGTTCCATTAATAAAACGTTCGTATGTTGAACTTATTTCGCACCTTTAAGTAGGCAACCGTGCTAATCGGATGCATTTGTTTAAGTGAGAAATGCGTTTCAATTCAATCAGCGTTTGCAGAATCGCCAATAATTGCGGTAGTGTCCATGGTGGACATGTGCAGTTTTTTCGTAGAGCTCCGCTGAACTTTGTCAGTGGGACAGTCACCAGCGATCTGTGACACCGTTCGTACGGTTGCAATTTTTGCGATTTGAAAAGTCCTATTACTTTCTTATTGGTATTTTTTATTATTATTATAACTTTATTCATTTAACTTAACATATGTTCTACGTTTGATTGTTCTAATTCAATTAAAACATTTTAATAAATACTTGTTGGAAGCAATTCATATCTTTTAAGTTCTCATCCTTGCATTAGAATATATCGAGCAGTTGATATTTTGATGGTATCATGTGGTAATGCTCCATCACATGTTTTAAATCTATTACATAGTGGATATTGAACTGAAGCTAGACTTAAAAATGTAATCGCAAATCAAATCGCAATATCTGTCAGAATAATCGCAATAAGCTATTTTCCCCAAATCGTTCAGCCCTACTGACAACCCTCACTACAAATGCAGAACCCTCACGTCACGCGATCTCCATAACGCTATTGAGACATCAAAGTAAAAAGGACGTCATGATGAACAAGGGATTATAACCTTAAAATGAAATATGTCTGTGTCACCGCGCCCTTACAAATTCCACACGAATTCATGCAATGGCTATCACATCGTGGTCTGCTTTCCGCTTGCAAGTTTCAGATTTACTGCAATAAACCCGTCCTTGGACGGGCAAAAGGCTAGTATATACAGAAAGAATGAATGCTTGTTTTGTGCCATATTACCTTCATGCCTGGGAAGCCAGGGTAGCCAGGCAAGCCCGGAGGGCAAGAGGGAGGGCACTGGAACATCAACAGTACAATTACCACCATTGCCCTCTTGCATTCTGTGTTTAATGAATACTTTCAGAAATCACGGAACAAAATTATGCATGCATTTTGTCATTCACATTACATGTGGTGCATTTAGTTAATTAAATCAGGGAATGCCACACAATGACTTACCTTAATTTCTCCAAGGCTGTCAAATTCTATAACCCCAGGTGGACCCTGCATAAAAGAGGAAATTAATTAATGGGTCTTATAATTATTACGATTAATCTGTGAGGGATGATGCTCAGCATCATGCTAGACGTATGTGAAACCAGTGTTCTATGTGGATCAGATCTGGGGTCAATTGCAATTGTAATTGTATGTATTATCAGTGAGTTGCAATCACAATGCAATTGAAATTCTAATTTCAGCTAACAATGCTGCTGTAACCGCAATTACTTTTGACCCCAAGGTAGAGTGCACGTGGCATTTACAAATAAAAAGCCATAACAATAGAAAAAAGTTTTCATTTATTTTAGATTAATATTGAATCTGTCTCTATACAATTTTAGGTATGGCACTAATGACAAAACTAAGAGTGATGGTGCACGTGTAATCCAGCGTTTAGAGTATTTGGCTGCTATCAATTTCCACTTTGTTAAGCTGTCATTTCTGGCCAGGTCGTTTCTGAAAAAAGAACTACAACGCTCAGTGGGCCTTACTTGGTAAAATAGAAAATAGGTTAATAGGCTGTGCAGGCAAGGGTTGGTGAATCGCACAAATGTCGTCTAACTCCCAGTCGAGATTTAAAGCTTTCGTGACTGCAAGGATTCATACTCTTAGGTTTTTTCGGTAAAGTCACGTTAGTTACAAACCGCACCTCTCCATAACAAAGGCTCAGTCCTTTGTTATGCAGTCTATTCTTAGTCTTAAGCCTTACCTTACCATATTAATAAAAAGTGTGCCGTTCCTGGCCCTTCCCCCCTCAACCATTATATATACGGAGTGGTAGCTCTTGTAATCTCTCATTTACTTGATACAGCTGTCGTGGCTGTGACGGTTCCACCTGAAGACGGAGGCTTGTGTTGCTTCCGAAACGTCGTGAATTTTTTAAATTTGTTTTATTTTACTTTTTAATTTAAAATTTTTACCTACGTGACTTTACCGAAAAAACCTAAGAGTATGAATCCCAGTCGAGATTGTCATAATATCCCAATCCAGGGCCACAGAGCTTGGGCAATGGTTGACACTGGATCTGGCTGCCATCCCACTTTTCTGTGGTTTCCCACGCCTCTAAATCTACGGAAACTGTGCACTTTACAAATTAAGTCTTTATTTTAGATTACAATGCACCATTACATTTGCATGATGCAAACATGTATAATGCATAATCTAAGTAGTGTTAGTCAGATACTAGACAAAGTTTGATAATCCTTGTGATACATGTATGTTCAGGTACATCTAAAATACAATGCTATAATAATTTATAGTAAAATAGGTAATATTTCAGTAAACTATGTATGGACTTAATATGTCTGAACATTTCATACATGAAGTATTTTACAATTACCGTGTAGTTTCTTTGATAATGTAAAAAAGAATTGAGTTTTCATTATTTAACGATTCCATCGTTTTCCTTTTGCAGTACTCTGCATAACTTTACAAATGTATCAGCTTGAAAGGAGTGTTTTCTAAAATGCTGATTCAGAAAAAAAGTAACACTCACAATCTTTAGATATTTGTAAATGCACGTTTTTGTTACTCGGACCATGTGTGTTGACGGCTGGAATTGATCAAGGAACCATTTTCACCAAAGGCACACAACTTATAAAAACATTGTGCCGCAATTTCCCCGGTGGTTTAACATTACACCTTGTCCAGTCTCACTTTGCTATCCGGAGGGAGGGATTAATTGGGCAGTGGGAGGTTTTCTGAAATTACCCCCCTCCCCTGCCCAGTTTCCCTGTGTCATTGAGTGTGTCCAGAAGTACATACCGGAGGGCCGATGGGCCCAGGTAGACCCGGAGGGCCTAGTGGACCAACTGGACCCTGCAACACACATAATGGTCTCATTAAGAGGATGCCACAGCAACACAGGTCAAGGTGGGTGAGATGTGGCGGATCAGCTTTGACATCACTCGGCACTGATGTTCGCCATGGCTGGGAGCAAATTCAGGTTCACCGGGTGCACAATGCAGTGCGCTAACTACTGTGCCACCACTCCTCCACGTACATGAGTACAAAGTTAGAACAAAGATTGATCATGTCCCAGAAATTAATAAAAGCTCACAGTGACCCATATAATTTACCTGACCATAACAGATACATGGAGTCACTCGACTTCCAATAGGGTTGCACGTGCGGTGATGTACAGTAATAAACAACCATTGCTAACGAGGCATGGAGGGAAAGCCTCCATCTATCCGTGGATTGACAAAGGCGAAAAATGTATGAAAATACACACTTATGTGGGAACACACAGTATGTTTTGATAATTTAATTTTGAAAAAAATAACAACCACGCACTATTTAATTACAAAGCAATGCTCAGTTATGCAGACATTGTATTATATTGTAGATATTTGTTACGCAGAAATTGCAATGAATTTCAAGGCAAATTAACCTTGATTTGCCATCACTGTGTGCCATGCAAGGTAAATATGATGCTGCAGCCCTTCAAGGACTTGCTCACGTCACGGCTTGGCAGCAGGGCCTCCACTAGAGGAAGCTCTAGAGAGCCCCTCTCGAGGATGCTGTGGCCTTCTTTTCCAACGCGGTCAAGACATCGTGGAAGAGGTGAGAGTGCCCACACTTTACCCCACCGGATGCACCTCCGATTAACACGGTTGGATATGCATACGGTGTGAAAGAAGTTCAACATACATGCATACATACGGAACAAGGTGCGGGAGGATTTAAGGAAGTTGACCGCTGCTTCTGGTGACCTCTGCATTTGCAAGTTCAGTGTGCAAACTGCAACACTACAGCAGCAACGCAGGCAAGCGTGGGACGTTAAATAATACCTTAGCAAATCAAGGAAGTAGTCCATATCGAGACAAGATTGTTTTTGAAGCTTTTCATTTTAAAGCCTATCATGAGAAAATGCGTAACCCCCTTGGGATTAAGAGAGCTGATTCAAACCATCATTTGAAAGCTGATCAAGCAGTTGTTTCTTTAGAGCAAAATAAACTTACCACTGGCCCGGGTTTACCAGTGTCCCCACCAACTCCATCTGCACCTGGCAAACCCTGGAGAAATGAAACAACAAGGGTACAATTATCCCGACATCTCCTATAAAGTGTACATAATATACTATTTTTATTTTAAAAGGCTGCTTCGAGAGTGGACATGAAACCACACGCTTAAGCGTAATAAAGCCTTGGGGATCATTAACATTTATTATATGACAGAAAATATATAATAAAAAAATATGTAGATAAACTAGGATTTAAAATCAGATGCCAGGAAAGCTAGGACAACCTACAGTACCTAGTCCTGCCACTTTTTTCAATTACCATCTACAGTATTAATATTTGTATCCCAGTAATAGCCTCAATGTAATAAATAAAACTGGAAAGCTCAGAAAAAACCCACGCATAAAAAAATGTATGCAGAGACCTCACACAGATCAGCTACCTCTTTGATCGACTGTATTTTACAGGCACCACGATGTCACTGAAGTCGGGTGCTTCGCTCAGACAGAGCACGACTCGCCAACTCCTTCGTTTGTTTGATGGGAAACGCATTTAATGGGGTGTCTAGTTTGGGGATCCACTCGATGGCTTCCTGAGATGCCAAGTGGAGGAGCGAAGTTCCTCCTGCAAATTCCACAGTTTACTCCAGGAACGTTGTCTCAGAAACGGCTGCTCAATCCCTTTCCCAGACCAATTATGGTACTAGCACTGTCAACCCACGATGAACACTGGCACCACGCATATTTTCTGCACAAGACAACCACCCTGCCCACTAACCCTGCCTTCTTTTGCCAAGTCAGCCAGACCTCCGTTTAGCCCTATAGAGGTGAGCAGACAGACCCTGACCCCAACCAATGGTTACCCTCTGGCCTGCGGCTTCCTTAAACCTGAACGACTGCCGTCTGTTTTAAAGCAACTTGAAGGCATTTTTGTAAGAAATTGTCATGTAGCCCATTTTACAGAAATAATTTCCTTTCCTCAATGCACAGTGGTGCCCCGCACATTACACACACATACAGACATGGAACTGACTTTGGGCTTGAAACTGTTGAGCTAATTTGTTCTGTGTAATTTATGTCATGATCATCAGTGTGTGAGATGAAAACGTTCCTTTGGAACGGTGGTGTTTTACGTTCATTTTTTTAAATCACAAATGTACTCACAGGAGGCCCAGGAATCCCCAATCCCTGAATGCCATAAACATAAGCAATGGTATTAAAATATGCAACATCAGCAATTGGGTATAACATTCACAGCTTCATGACTTTATTTGAATGGGAAATGTTTGGTGGGAAATAACACTCACAGGCATTCCCTTTGGACCAGCAGGACCGGTATCACCCTATAAGAAAAGGGTAGCAAGTTACACCCCATGAATGCAGCATATTTCAGTGCATGCAACCAGTGGTGCAGTCTCCACTGAACATAACTGTGGCATCTGCTTGTACTATAAACCAATGTACATTGTACACGCAAGTGTATTCATCAACCAACAACGCTGGATTTATATGTAATTGAATAAAAGCAGACCTCCAGTCTATATATCTCACGTAAATACACATTTTAACATGGGGGTCAAGACGTTGAAATAAAATGTGTCATCAACTCTCCTATACCGCACACAACAGGCAGGTTCCAGATTTCTGCTGCCTGTAACTACCAGCAAAACATCGTTGAACAAAATGGTTAAACATTTGTTAAAGTAGAAACTTTATTCTTTGGCTGTGTTGGGTGGAGAAGGGTGTACGACACGCATATTAATTATTCGATCTGACCCGAAAATCGATTTTGAATCACACATTTTGAAAATATGTGTGTTTAAAACCATTAGCCTGTATGCTTTCAAGACCAATATTAAGCCACATTTGTTGAAGCAAGTAACTCTGGACCAGTTTCAACATTCTAGGCCTCATTAGCAGTCAGGTTTGTTAAACAGGTGCTACTATATAACCAGATGTTATTGACAAGAGCATTCGGTGTATAATAAGGGACCAGCAAATAACAATAGCGTACAAAAATCGATGCGTTGATGTGGGGCATAAATATAAAACGTGTTTTAAGCCATTATTGGCTTTTTAGACAAACGGTGTAAATTAAGTAGTGCTACGATGTTTAAGTGTACATTCCCATTGTGTTTTCTTAATCAGTAGCATTCGCTGTCAGGAACAGGGGCAACACAAGGCAGCAGCAGCAGTCTTTCATTCTCCAGGGCTTATTTGCAAGTCACAATGTCAACAGACTGCTTGGGCATGTGTGCAGAGTTGCTGGGGATTTTAAATGTTTGACTTGTCATTAGCCTTGAAGTGAAAGATTAAACAACACACAGCCCCTCTGCTTTCCATTCCTGAATTCCTCAGCACAAATGTCATAGGAGCAGAACATTTGCATTGCGTAGTATTATAATGTACACCTCCTTGGAGACATGCTTTCATTTCGGGCTATGTCAACCATTCTTGCGGTCATTAAAAAAGAATAGTTTGATTCCTCTTTTGTTAAATGTCACAAGGATGACATTATTCTATGCATCATCAGCATCAGTCATCGTCTATCCAAGTCGAGATGAAGGCCTTCTGACACTCACCAACGCACGATACCACAATCCACCTCATTCCTAATAACTTTGACCTATTCTTAGGTTTTTTCGGTAAAGTCACGTAGGTAAAAAAATAAAATTAATAAAAGAAAATAAAATAAAAATAAAAATCACGACGTTTCGATTGCAACACAAGCAATCATCATCAGGTATAAATGAAATAGCAACACAAAATTCTAACCAGAAAAACTATAGACAGACATATAAGCAGACAGATATCACCAAGATACATAGAGAGAGAGAGTAACACAGGTACAGAGAGGGAGATCGTCTCTGTTGAGTGGCCTTAAATAGGCAGAGGGGGCGGGGGCAGACCGAAAAAACCTAAGAATATGAATCCTTGCAGTCACGAAAGCTTCAAATCTAGAACTTTGACCTAACTTGTCAATCGCACTTGCTTAACGTTACAACCTAGTGGATATGCAGACCTGCGTGTATGATCTATCATGTGCATGACTGTCCATTCATTTAAAATACAATCTGAGTGACTTTAAATAATACAAGCTTTGTTTTACAGTAATTTATATACGTATATTTTAAAGCACTTTTAAGATCAATCGGATCATTCCATCTGTTTAGTAGCTAGCAGTATGGCAAACTAGAACAGTGAAAATGTTGACTCGTGTATTTATACCGAATTACAAACTTTAAAAAGAAAGTGTACTTTTTTCATTTTACAATAAGTTGTCAATTTCAATGTTGGGCAAAATGTTTGATAATCATTATAACCCTATATTGATTGTTGTTTTACATGACATTGGCTGGTTCTTTGTAAAATCACTGCTGGATGAGGGTCTCCCCACTCCGTGCAGGTCATGGGGGTGCAATGGTCTAATAATGAATGCAATGGTTATGGTCTAATAACGTACAGGTTATTAGACCATACTTCACCATGCTGGCCAGTGCAGTGGAGATATATGAAGGTGGGGAGCATAGACCTTGGAGCAAAGTTAGAGTACAAAAGTGGATTATGCTGCACTGCCCTCTGCTAATAACATAGCTCTTCAGCATCCTACAACACATGTTACATGTTACATGCGTGGTGATGGCCACCAACATCCAAGCACGAACCAGGCTCATACCAGTTTGGCTTCCGAGCTATGATGAGGTTGTGTGAATTCAAGGTGATTCTGTCACAGGCATAGGCTTACTCACAATTGTTTTTGTCGTGGTACAAATACAAATGCAATTCTTTTAGATACTGTCAGTTCACCGTGTGGTACATATACAAATGCAATTCTTTTCGATATTGTCAGTTCATGGTGTGGTACAAATACAAATGCAATTATTTTAGATACTGTCAGTTCACCGTGTCTGCGCCAGATCAAGAAACACGTGCATACTGGCAGTGCTTTAAATCATAGTCCTTGAAGACCATTACTCTGGATAAATTGCCCAAGCTCTTGTTTCTCTATTGATTAAAGATCAGGCACGAATATAAATGGTGCGCTTAGCCAACATGAATCTACAAAATCAATAGTCTAACTGCATTGTGTTATGATAATTAATCTTAACACTGCACATTCATGTGGAAAACTATTTTTTAAGTGCCCATTTTTATTATTTGTGCTCTAATACATATAAATGCATAATTATTGCTATCTTGTACTTGACATGGTGCCCTATACTCCAGGGCGTTTTGGAGTTGACTTAGCGCATAGTGTGCAAGTGAACATTAGACGATTGCTACGTGCAATCCCAATGAAACAGACGGTGCAAATTGTACGGTTATCCCGCGAAGCAGTCATAACCGGGGCAGCCAGCCTGCCGTATTCGAAGCGCAAACCTCTGCAACAAGTGACGGATGCGCTACCACTGGGCCATGTTGCAAATACACCCAGGAAGCTTCCCTGAGCCATAGTAGTTTGTTGTTAGGAGGGTCCTGTTTTGAGCTATTATGCTTGGGTGCGTAGTCAGTGTACGTACCCCAAAGCTCTTCGGAAGAAAACACACACGTTGATCAGAAACCCACTTGATATAGTGTCTCCTACATAAACCTCATTGCCTTGCAAGTGTATTTTAAATACAGGTATCATTGGTGCTTGTTCCACCAACCCTGCTAAAAGCCTCTAGAATGCAGACAAGTGCCATCATGACCAGATATCTAGACAGTCAAGTCTAATCTACTCATTTGAGTTGGCTGGGAGTGGTGGCGCAGTGGTTGTCACACTTTGCCCTTACTATAACCCAGGGGGGTGTCAGAGTTCGATTGCATGCCATAGCTAACATCATTGGCCAATGCACTGAACCAGCCCTGGGCTCACACGCTCGCCAACCCTCACTGACCATTGCACTGAAGTACGATCAAACAACCACGAAGACCAACACGGCACGTGGAGAGGACTTCATCCAGCAGTGGATTGACAAAGGCTGTAAATTATTATCATCATCATAATTCTGACAGAATGTACCTTTGGGCCATGAGGACCCTGCCCCCCAGGTGGCCCCGTGATGCCTGCTATCCCCTGCCAGAGAGAGGGACAGACAACATGCTTCGTGATGAGAGGGTCTCCGGCAGCGTGTGTTAGTGTTCGTACAAATTCAGCATGCATGCCGTATAAAGTAATGACGGTACACCCCACACAGACAGAATGAATTACTCGCTTAAAGTGCTAAACGTGTGTGTGAAAATTAATGCGATGTGAAACCCATAACATTTTGTACAATTTGCATAATTTAGATATTATCTTGCATTCTTCATTGATATATAATGTATCGTGTGATGAATGTGTTCTGATAGGCGACATAGGAATATAAGAATTTTCTCCATTGTCGACCCTGCTACTCATTTGTATTAGTCCAGAAGCGAGTTTCTTGGCAACTGTTAGCCTGTACGTGATGCCTTTTTGAGCCCGCGCGTAATTAAGTTAATTGTTGTCAACCTGTACGTGATTACTTTCTTTGCCAGCCTGTATTTACTTACCTTAAATACCGTTATGTTAGTATGCGCAAAGTATTTTTTTCTGAGGCTCTTGGAGCCAATGTTCGCTTGCAGGCCATGTGCTGGTATACAGGAGGACATGGGTTCGATCCCGAGCCTGACGCCCGCTGTATATTTTGAGTCTGAGTGTTCTCCCCGTGGTCGCACGGATTTTTCTCCGGGTCCTCCGGTTTTTCCCTCCACATGTAGAAACATGCGTTTTAGAGTATTTGACTGCTATACATTTCCACGTGATATTCCACTGAATTGGGCTGTCATTTGTGGCGAGGTCTCTTCGGAAAAAACAGCTATATAGCTCAGTGGGCTTTACCTGGTAAAATAAATAAAATAGTTGAATCGTGTTTAATAGTTTTAGTTAAATATCTGACAAAAAAATCCATCGCACAGCACATGACAAGGTTGCATTTGGCCTCTGTGTGCGTGATGACAAAGCCTCGGTGGACTTGTACGTGCCCATGCGAAAGACAATAAATCCAGAATTTGGTTTGATAGTGCGACACGACGGTTTCGGAGTCGAGTAGGTCTTGTCATAGATCACGTGACGAGAAACGAGAGCGGCTCACGTCTACGCCTGGCAGTCCAGGGATACCGGGTGGGCCGCTCCGCCCTGGTTCTCCTGGCTCCCCCTTCGGGCCCTGTTTGACACAAGCAAAGTGAATCACTGCTCAAACAATCCACGCAGTCCTCTGTAAACATCGGACATCTTACTAATGCTTGAACAGCAGCGAAATAGGGCGGTGGATGAAAGGAGCAGGGGTATGTTCTGCTTTTCTTTCTTCCACGGTAGAGGCACTATGATAATAGTGCAGAGGACTTGATCGTATGCAAGATAAATATTTGGTGAAATATATAATCCAATACTTGTTTTGGGTGAGGGCACATGTGGTAGTTGTAGGTCAACATTCTCATCATTAACCCTCCACCACCCAACAAGATTCTCACGTTTTCGCAGATATTATTTATACGTGATGATGTATTGATAAAATCCTGACCAACAAAGCACCTCAACAGGTGCCTTAAGACTTTAATGACTGAATTTAACATCAACATACGATGACGTTTCGCTCAAACTGCGTTGAGTTTCATCAGGTAGTTACATCGAATATTGACTGCACTGCCTCAGCTGCCCGCTCGTGAATGCCAAAGCATGGGTCATCTCAGCCTCATTGTCATTTGGGAATGGTCACCTTTAATATGTTAATCATATCAAACATCCTCCCAGAAATCAATTTATTTGATCTTCAATTGACTCCCATTTCAATGGGCTACTGATATTATACTGATCCTTTCAAACATCCTCATTTCCAACATCTGCCATAGCATGGGTCACCTTCATTTCTTGGTCAAATCATTGTTTGGTATTTTGTATTTACACAATTATTGATATTGAATAAACTAAAGTCACATCGTTTCAATGTCATTGTTATATGCTATGTATTAGTTGTACAACGTTCAGAGATACTGGCTTGTCTCATGAGCCATCATTAGATCATACGGACGTCTGGCACAAATACCTCATTCGAAACCTTCTGGCTAAGACATCCCGCAGAGACACTGGAGTAACCATCAGAACATCAACAGTCCGATGACCACATGTACTTCATGGATGGAAAATTAAAGACACATTCCACAGTAGTGTGACTGTGGCCATGCAAGCAAAACAATGGGCCATATAGTGTACCACTGTAGTCTGTGAGTCCTTCAATAACGGAAGAGTAAAACTACACAAACTCTCTCTTGAAGCCCTCTCGTGGCGAGAAGACCTCGGCATTGGCATTGAGTTCCTCAACATATTGCCATCACACGCAAGGATAGAATAGAATTAAACGACAAGAACTCACTTGTGAACCAGGAAGTCCAGGGTGTCCACGGTCTCCCTACAACACCACGAAAACAAATTTAATTCAAATACTTTAATGGTCGAGTACACATAGTACAAATGATCCCCCACGGTTTGACATGAACAGACTGTTGGGGCAAGTGCTGTTAGCGAGCACCTATGAAAGCCGGCACGGCACTTGAGGAGGTAGGTAGCCAGCACCACGCCCATCCGCCTTTGTCTCTCCAGAAGCTATTTTTACACACTGCACCAGGTACTCATTTGAGCGTGCTACCTTGTACACCACTGCTTCTCACTTATAATACACAGTACATACACTTACAAACAACACACTACAAATATCAGGTTGCTTGACTATTGCTATTGCAGTATTGTATACATCGTATACAGAATGGTACACAACTACCTAATAACAATACAAATGCTTCCAATGTTTTTTTAAGGAGGGTCATGCATTGGAATGTTTAAACCAATTCCATGAACTCGTGTTTGTTTGGCATATGGAAGAAAAGTATAGGACCCAAAGAAATCCTCTAAGGTATTCATCCTCTAAGGTATTCTTGTCAGAAAACTTTGAAGAGGGGGGAGTACACGCATACCAGACACTACCAGCTGATCAACTAACAATGGCATAACGATTAAAACTGCTGGGTTAACAGAGGTGGGGGGAATATAAAGATTGTTAAAATCATTGCACATCTTATAAACTCTAAATAACGTATCTTCTTGGTTCTTTCTGTCGGAAAGACAGCGCTGTTCTTCACCTGAGGACGGCTGCTTGCGTTGTGGCTGAAACGTCGTGAGAATTGTATTTTATTATGTTTTATTTTTATTATTTTATTATTTCCCTTCTACGTGACTTTACCGAAAGATCCAATAAGATGAATCCCTGCAGTCACGAAAGCTTTGAATCGAAATCTAAATAACGTACACTGGCTACACATCAAATACAGAATACAATGCAAAATAATCCGCTTAACACACAAAAAAATACACAACCAAGTTGCCACCTTACATAAGAAACCTCATACAGATCAAGCAAAACGACAAATCACTTCGTTCTTTGACTCAAACGCTCCTCCAACCACCAAAAACCAAACACAAAACCACAGGGCTGGACAGATCTTTCTCATTTGTCGCGCCAAACCTCTAGAACAACTCTCCGAATTATGCTCACTAGATTAATGCATACATAGACACAAATCACAACTCAAAACGCATCTCTTTGCACTTGCTTGCAACAACTTACAGCCACAACTTACTTTAATTTTTTTTTATATTTTAAACAAGTATAGCTCGGATATATTTGTGTTTATCATTATATAGAATTGTTTTGATTTTTTTTTGTTAGTATTGTGGTGATGGCGCTTGAAGTGGCAGATTTGTGACAGAAAGGAACCACGTGTGTGAGCAAAAAATATAATTGACTTAACATTTATTTCAACTGCCGGTGGCATGAGATCAAACCTGTGACCTCGAGTTTGCAAGCCCAGTGTGCTGACCATTATACCAATCGCTAAATCAATCATGAGTTAGATCATGAATTAATCATATGTATAGTATATAGAAAGCTCGAATGCATGAGATATGTTGTTCAGAGTTCTGTTGGTTCAAGTTACTGCTCCCATGTATTTAAAAACTATAAACTTTTTATTTTATCAGGTAAGGCCCACTGAGCTATATAGCTCTTTTTCAGAAGTGACATGGCGACAAATGATAGCAAAAGTGGCTTATTACATGGGAATGTATAGCAGCCAAATACTCTAAACGCATGTTTTTAAATGTGGAGGATAAAAAACGGAGAACCTTGAGAAAAATTCACGCGACTACAAAGAGAACATGCAAACTCCAACTATACAGCCGGCGTCAGGGTCATGATCGAACCCACAAACTCCCGTATACGAGACAAGGCAGTTAACATCTCGCCACTGTGGTTCCACTGGTGAATTAATCTCAAGTTGAGTCTTAGGCATTGTTGGTAGCAGAAGAGAGGGTGCCGTGTGAGACAGGGGGAGGAGGTTAGTGGGGGATGTAAAGGAAGTCTCCTTACATCAACGCCATCCACACCAGGAACCCCAGGGATGCCGGGGGGCCCAGGAGATCCTGGGGGGCGAGGGACCCCACGTGGTCGCGGAGGTGTCACAGGCTCTACCTGTCGTGAGCCACAGCAACAGAGTCGTCAACAACAGCAGCAATGAGGTACCTCATATGCCAGACATTAGCCGTGTACCTCAGAATCAGAAACACATTCCTGCGGAGGGACCTGGTAGGAACGTTGGGTTGCTTGGTCAATGGCCAGGATCAACGGCGGCGTGGTGTATTCCGCAAATATGCCTGACTGTGAGGGCGGGCACAAGCCGGCGTGAGTAGGTTAAACGTTGAGTTTTATAAGGGCACCACGGGGTGACCAGCCTCTCTCCACCCAGCCCCTCCCCTCCCTCCCTACCCAGCCCCTCCCTGCACGATGGACGGACACAATAATCCCCTGTGGGCTGGTGTAACCAGGAGGTTCCTATCAGTATAATTCATTTTTATTGGAGGAATCCGATGAGCTGTAAAGGCTCGTTTTCACAGATGTCCAGTCGGGGCAGGTCAGAACGTTACCACAAACAATACAAAAAGAAGATCGGAGTGCAAAGTATTGGGAAGGTAAGCAAATCACTTTAAAACGTATATGCAAATGAAATAACTATTTTCTTTTGATCTTGCCAGGTAAAGCCCACTGAGCTATCAGCTTTTTTTCAGAGGCGACCTGGCCACAAAAGATAGCTCAACGAAGTGGAGTATAATTATGGGGACATTTATAGCAGCAATATAATAACCTGTGAGACTATAAACAAATAAAGAGCACGGCAGTACTCAATAAATATCGCACTCACTTGTTTCCTCCGTGCTTTAAAGCAAACGATTGGAAGTGCATTGGATAATCCAGTAGGTATGTGTGAGGCAGAGAGAGAGATATTGACACAAGTTACGGGTGCATCTGACTTACTGGGGTGTCTTGTAATCCGGAGAATACAGTAAATGGGAAGACTACTCCAAATAATAAACCACAGGCCTCACCAAGAAAGAGAACACTGGAGAAAAAGTCCGTAGAAAAGAGTGGCAAATATTGGTGCAAAATGCCAAATGAGGCGCTAATGGTCTTCATGGCTTCTCACAAGGTTAAATATTATCGTGGTAAATAAAGTAGAGTACCTGTATCGTAATTATGTAATTGTAATGCGGTTGTAAACGGCCCTTCTGAGGTGCCGTCAGGGGGGGAGGAGTTAGGTCACGTGGGGGGAGAGGGGTTGAGTATAGAAGGAGGGGAACCGGAAGAGCAGGGGGAGTGACGGGGAACCAGGAACAGAGGAAGGCCACGAAGGGCGAAGCGGGGTATGGCGAGATCGCCACGAACACGGGGGGAGCGAGGATCGGCACCGTTGGCCAGCGGTGACCGACCCGAAGCAGCGAGGAGGCTGCAGTCAGCAGCGGGGCTGCACAGAGAGAGTGGGCAGCGGGTCTGCATACAGTGACAGCCAGAGGGTGGGGGTGCAGAAAACCCTATTGACGCTGCAACGAGACTATTATTGGCACGGCATGACGACGGATGTCGTCGGTCACGTTCGCGCGTGTCCCGATTGTGCCCGCCGTAAGCCGCCTAAACATCCATATGTTCCGCCGATACAATCGATTAAAGTATCTCGGGTTAATGAGTTGGTGGCGTTAGATATTTTGGGACCCTTTCCGCCATCAGCTAAAGGGAATAAGTATTTACTGGTGGGGGTGGAGTACCTCTCTCGCTGGCCAATGGCCTGGCCCTTGCCTGACCAGTCAGCGGCGTCTATCACGGACGCCTTTCTATTTGGGTATGTAATGGACAAAGGGGCTCCGGAGAGGCTCCTTACGGATCAGGGACGTAACTTTTCGTCTAAATTGTTGGGGGAGGTGTGTGCGGCTCTTGGAACTAAAAAGATACGGACGTCCCCCTACCACCCGCAAACGGATGGTATGGTGGAACGGTTGAATCGGACTCTGTCCGCCATGCTGTGCCATACAGTCGGGGAAAACCAATCTGATTGGGATTTGCATATCCCTGGGGTGCTTTCGGCGTATCGCATGACGCCGCACGCGGCTACTGGATACTCGCCGTTTTTCCTTATGTACGGCCGTGAGAACGTGCCGCCGATTCATGACCAGTTGGGAACCGGTGCGAGGGGGCCTGTTAAGCCTCTTCCTGAGTATATTAAGGACAACGTTCGGCGTGTCGCTGAGGCGAGGGAAAATGCCCGCATGGCTACTGCCAAGGCTCAGGCCAGGAATGAGCGGTGTGCCCGACGTTCAAAGGGGGAGTGTCCCTGGAAAAAGGGGGACCTGGCCTGGCTTCATTGCCCACAGGTGCGGCCAGGTACATCTCCTAAATTACATCGACCTTGGCAGGGTCCGGTCCGCCTCATTGAGGTTCCCAACCCACAGTCGGCGCGTGTTCAGGTTGGTGCACGGCGTTGGTTCGTGCACACGTCCCGGTTGAAGCCATACATTGCCCCACGACCGGATGCGTCATCTCCCCAAGTTGCCTTGCCGGGGTCTGTTGCTGCCGACTCGCCCTTGCCTGTGTCTGCTGACCTTGCGAGAGCGCCTGTCGTACCCTTCACAGACAAGCCGGCCGTGACAGCGCAGGGAGGAGGACCTTCCGCTTGTGGGACGCCGACCGGAGCCGCAGAACCCACGGGACCTGCAGCTCTTCCTATCCCTCCGCGGACGCGAGTACGGGATGTTTCTGGACGCGAGCGGGACAGTGGCGGGCCTCCAATGGCGACGGAAGAACTTGCGCCCGTCGCCCCTAAAACCCTTCCACGTTCCCGCTCGGCGGGTGGGCCGCCGACCGTCCGGGACGGCCCGGCTACCCGTACTCGCTCGAAATCCCTCACGTTTCGTTAGATTGTGTTGTGTTGTGTTATTGTTATAATGTTCTTCAATGCTTCGTGTCTTTTTGCGTGTTGGCCCTTTACACCCGCATTGCTTTTCAGGTTGCAATTCAGCCGAGGTCGGCTGGATTTTCTTTAGGGGGGAGGGTGATGTAATGCGGTTGTAAACGGCCCTTCTGAGGTGCCGTCAGGGGGGGAGGAGTTAGGTCACGTGGGGGGAGAGGGGTTGAGTATAGAAGGAGGGGAACCGGAAGAGCAGGGGGAGTGACGGGGAACCAGGAACAGAGGAAGGCCACGAAGGGCGAAGCGGGGTGTGGCGAGATCGCCACGAACACGGGGGGAGCGAGGATCGGCACCGTTGGCCAGCGGTGACCGACCCGAAGCAGCGAGGAGGCTGCAGTCAGCAGCGGGGCTGCACAGAGAGAGTGGGCAGCGGGTCTGCATACAGTGACAGCCAGAGGGTCTGCACATAGGGGTAGCAGCAAGTCTGCAGGGAGGAGGTTACAGTAGATGAAGCAGAGAGGGTCTGCATACAGTGACAGCCAGAGGGTCTGCACATAGGGGTAGCAGCAAGTCTGCAGGGAGGAGGTTACAGTAGATGAAGCAGAGAGTCAGAGGGGTGAGGAAGCTATAATAGCAGTGAATAGCCGGGGGCTACAAATACAGGAGTTATAACAGAGTGCCGTGTGGGTAAAGAAGTGAACCTGAATAAAGACACGAAGACAGAAAGAAGTGTTCGAGTCCTTTTATTACATAATCATTATTATTGTATAATATTTCAATGGGTATTATTACTTTAATGTGGAATATGTACAAAGGGCATTATAAATGTTTACACAATCCAGTATTTTGTGGGCCAAAACAGAAGATGTGTTCATAAAAGTAGACAAACAAAAGCGTCAATATGAATGGAGATATTACGTACAAGTAAATTCAAGTTCCATCACATCAGGAAGTTTAGATTGCCTCTTTATTCCATGATAAAAATGTCACTCTTTTGTGTTTAAATCGTTACAATGTATGCATTAATATTTTACAGCATATTGCAGCCCAATCACCTATTTAATAACCTAGTGTTCTGTATTTTACTTAACAGCCCTTTTATTGATCTACTGTTTGATGGGGGCCTCCCCATGGCATGTGGGCCATGAGGGTTAATTGACCATACTTGATCATGCTCGTCAGTATGAGTGACGGCAGGAAAGTAAAGTCAGCCGTTGAAGCATAGTACAATTATTTTGCTGCACTGCCCTCTGTTGACAAGGCAGCTCCACTTTAGCATAGTAAATATTATTTTTGTTCACATAGTCACCAATCCAAGCACCATTCCACGATATCCATGCTTGGCTTTACTTAGCTTCTGAGATCTGATAAGATCGGTTGCATTCCAGCTGATTTGGTCAGAGGATTCGTAAATTCACTTGTGATTAAATTGATTTGTAAATTATTCATGGGGTCGACCCTGCAATCGTCTTAACAAGTGTTGTGTTGTTCAGATCCTCCGCCACCCAACACAACCAAACAGATACAATTGTCACGTGTACAAGCACTAGTTATTTTTGCTTCGGCTCACCAGTAGGTTAAAGAACAATTCTCACGACTAACTTGATACATTTGAATAATCCAACATTTAGTTAGGAGTTATAATATTGCCTATGAAAACGCGCTTGCTATGTTACAATTTTTATTAGTTTAAATATTACAAAACTAAATAAGAAAGCAAACACATAACCCAATAGATAAATAATTAATTATTACGGACATATTTTCACATTAACAATGATGATATATAGATTCAGTGACAAAAATGCAGCATGTATGATGCTGCACTTATTTTGCACAGCATGTAGCTTACCGTGGTAATCGAAGGTGCGAATTAATAACACAGCAGTGGAACAAGTGAATGCATTACTACGTTCACTCCAACGCTGCAGGACCACATTTTATGTTGAATCAAATGAGGTGAGAGCACAATAGGCCAGGATAGTCTCGTTTGCGAGAGTGACTTGGGGCATTAATTTGCCAGTAGGGGTAATGATCGATATATATTTCAAATTGAGCAACTTGCAAGGAACTATCCAACTTGGCAAATTTCGACCCTGGCGCCAGGACATGGTGGCCTACTCTTGTGAATGATGTTAGTTGATCTTTAACTTCCAATGATTTAAAATAGTCGCTACGGTGGTGAGATGTTAACACCCTTGCCTAGTATAATAGGGATCGTGAGATCGATCCCAACCCTGACGCCTGTATTTTTGGGATTTGCATATCTTCCCAGTGGTCGCATAGATTGTTTTCAGCGTTCCTCCGGTTTTTCCCTCCACATTTAAACACACACGTTTGGAGTATTTGGCTGCTATAACATGCCACGTAATAAGCCACTTCGTTGAGCTATCATTTGTGTCCAGGTTGCGTCTGAAAAATATTTATATAGCTCAGCGGGCTTTACCTGGTAATTTTTTTTTAGTTTAGTTGAATAAGCAGGGTAGCCGCTGGATTCGAACCGTGAAGCTCTGTAACAGTGGTGATCGGCGCTACGTCTAGGACATTTCTTCGCCCCTTCCTCATTGCATATGCAACGACATCGTACACTAGCTGTGATAAAAAAAAAATTCTGACAGATAATGAATCAGGTCTTTGTCATAGTTGTGCCCCTTAAGGGTATAAAACATTCTTTGGTTCTTTTGGTTAAGTCACGTCTAAAGATAAAATAATAAATTAAATAATAGCATATTACGACGTTTCGATTGCAACACAAGCAATCGAAACGTCGTAATATGCAATCGAAACGTCGTAATATGCTATTATTACGACGTTTCGATTGCTTGTGTTGCAATCGAAACGTCGTAATATGCTATTATTTAATTTATTATTTTATCTTTAGACGTGACTTAACCGAAAGAACCAAATAATAATTCCTGCAGTCACGAAAGCTCCAAAATTAAGGTATAAAACATATCAAGGATATAAATAATGTTACTACTAGAGCTATTCAAACATCAACTGCATGTTCAATAACACACAATTAAGACGGTAAATATGGTGGTCAAAAAGTCGAAATAATGAAATGTTAACAAGTGCAATGTTGTGCATGGAGGCAGTTACTTTTGATCAAAAATGAGTAGATTGGTCTCTGATTATTATTTAACGTATTTAGGATGCATCCATTCAGGATTTGAGTTTAACTTTCTGTTCATCGCAGTTTTGTTTTATAGAGGAATGTAAAATATATATTTTTAAATAACGAGATAAAAATGTGTTGCTTAAATATGAGGTTGACGTGCCTTTTCTGGTCTCAAAACGCATTGACGAATTTTCGTAAAATACACCTGCAATTGAAAAACTACACACAAATTAAAGTTTGACAAAGTAATGATGTTAAGCGTTTATTTTCCCGAACATGTCACATGTCCCACATATAAAATATATAACTATCCTAAAATAACAATGAAGCTGGTATATTATGCTTGGACAAGACTAAACAAATTCGAATTGAATAACAAGTAATTATTTCATTTATGATGTTAAGCAATTGGAAAATCATATTAAAACAAAACATTTCGTCGCAAAAAAAAGTAGTGCATGCACTGCTTATGCAGTTAGGGTCGTATATAGTATTAACAAAGATGAATGGTGCATCGTTGGTACTCACTCTTTGAGCCAAGGCAACGTTGAGAAAGTCCATCAGAACAGCGACGCAGAGCATCCACACCCTTGCAGTTTTTAACCGGCCGCTCACCATGGTTGCAGTCAGCTTTCGAGAAGGAGAATAGTGGGATTGTTCGTGAGCAATCCTCTCCAGAGTGCACAAGACCACCCCCACCCTCAGCACCGAACTCAGAGCACGATCCTCTGTCGCCCCCCCCAACCCACCCGCCCCTCACGGCACTGTCACCCCCCCCCCTCCACCAACATCAACAACACAGAAAGTTATCCCTTTTCACGCCACTCAGCCAAGCTTCTAACTCTCATAGAAAGCACCTTAGTTAGCCAGTAACACAGAGACATTACATAAACGTGACATCGATATTTAAATATGTGGGACGCAAATAAATCGGTTGGTTAAAAATGAAAGACTTCAAGTCTTTGGGCTGTGAGATGGCCAGGAGATGGCAGTACAGCAGTGGAAATATTGAATCCTTCTGTGTACAACTTTAAGTGTTATTCCCTCTCATATGTGGGTTACCTCTAATACGAATGACATTTATACATGGAATTGGTCAAATATCCCAATGTAGGTTCGTCTTGAAAGAGACTCTTAAGACTCAGTCAGGCCGTAACTGCTGAAGGCTCAGCCCCATTCCAAATTTCTGCATGTAGTCACGCCATTTTAAATATGTGAACTGCAATAATTATAGGGTGTTGGACAACATTTACAAATCTGTCCAATTAAGCCGTGGGTGTCCCAGCCTTTCCTGGTATCCATATGGAGCTGGAGCGGAATGCACGATAGACAAAGGGAGATCGTTTCGTAACTCATTCCGTTTAGCGTTTAACATGTTTTCAACCCTAAATTGCATCCGCACAAACCATGGCAAATGCGGTTACTTGATGCACAAATGGGAAGTAAAAAACTTCAGTTTGTGGGTTTGGTCACCCAGAACAGATCATGGAACATGTAACGACTCAATGCCCGATTTACAAATATATGTCGCTCTACACCTACATCATAAATATTAAGTGTGTTATATAACGTCGTTGACCACTGCTGCCCCCCTCCACTCCTGAAATCTTCATATGCCCCTACTTTAAACAAGGTCACATGGTTCTACGGCTAACGGTAGTGATGCGCTGCAGAATTATCATATGATAGTGAGATTTAGCCCGTGAAATCCATGCAAACTGGCTCAATGTCTAGAATGCTTGACCTCCTATGTCTAGCCACGTCACGTGGGTGTTGTACATTGATTCGTGGATAAATCCAATTGGCCAAAATAATCATGTGGGAAGAGAGGAGAGTTTCAAAATCGATTAACAAAAAGGATTACATGCGCCTATGGTGGGAAATGAAGTTAAAATACAATGTACACACCAAATTGGAATGTCAAGTAGACGAGTGACTTCAAGTTATTGACTATTTTAAAGCAACTACTCTAAATGCATTACAGGATTGAAGTTAAAATGAAAGGGGTAATTTTATATTCAATAATGCATAAGAAATGTATGTATTCTTACAAATTTAGCAACATCGACCTATTGTATTTGGCACTATGATTATTTGAATAAAAATAATGCTTTTTAATCATCTTCTTGGTTCTTTCGGTAAAGTCACGTAGAAGGGAAGTAATAAAATAATAAAAATAAAACATAATAATATAATTCTCACGACGTTTCAGCCACAACGCAAGAAGCCGTCCTCAGGTGAAAACCAGGTCTGTGGAGTCGACAGCGTCTGAATGAAACAGCACCATGCTTGGAGCATATATTTAAGCTGGGTTGGAAGGGGGGGGGGAAAGGGCGCCTTGACCAAAGAATTTTGACCAAAGAATTTTGGATCAAGGCTCCCTTTCCCCCCGCCTTCCAACCAAGCTAACAATATATGCTCAAAGCGTGCTGTTTCATGCAGACGCTGTCGCCTCGACAGACCTGGTTTTCACGTGAGGACGGCTGCTTGCGTTGTGGCCGAAACGTCGTGAGAATTATTTTATTATGTTTTATTTTTATTATTTTATTACTTCCCTTCTACGTGACTTTACCGAAAGAACCAAGAAGATGAATCCCTGCAGTCACGAAAGCTTTAAATCGAAACTTTTTAATCATGTTAAATATAAAATATGTGCCTATATACACACACAGTAGGTACCAGTGTCGCTTGTCATTTGTAGTACAGTACTGCTATTCCATTTGGTCTGTGTATAATATCACACCGTGGCTATGTGATATCACGTTAGAATTACAATACGTTGCACATGTTCATATAAGTGTGGTTCAAGCCTTCATAAATCGGCTGCCATAGGAATTTAGACGTTATCACAGATGCAGTTAAGGTTTTGTAAATGTGAACTTTTCATAAATGCGCATGGGATTGTCTAATGCATACTGATTATTCACTACCGTAATATAGTAAACCACATGCAACACAAATCAAAATTCATCTTTATATCCCTTCAAACCAAAACTGCATAGCTTTGTGAACTTTTTGATATAGTGCTTTTTTTTAAGTACCGTAAATACAGTTGAATTTAAAACCCTATTAATTGTGTTTTTTCTTCTTCTAAGCAGGCTTATGTTTGCTCTCCAAGCCACATGCATTTCGAGTAATTTGCGGAAATTCTACAAATTCTTGGGCATTTTCACTGAATCCCATGAACCCAATGTTTCACTGCCTTCCCAATTAACATGCCAATGTCTGTGTGTATTTTCCCTTAAGTGTTAATGGTTCTCTGTGTGGGTGTTTCTGTTTTAGGCCAGTTTTTTTAGGCGTAAAATGGCTTCGTGAATTGTGAGTGTTGTATTTTGTAAGTAATATTTAACGTTTCGCTTTTGTTGTGTAGAGGTAGAAAATATTTAGATCGTTGCTGATGTATCTTATATCTGCATGGATGCTTTTGTGGAAACCAAAAGTCGTTAACAAACAGCACTTGTCACAGCAGTATAGAAAGCTTAACCAATGGATTTGTGTTATTTTATAAGACAGCTATAATCAACGTAAGCTCGCATGTCCATTCAACTATAATTAACCAGTCTTGTGCCTGACAGATGTGTAGCATGGTCAATAAAATCAGCTCATGTTTTTAAATGAAATATTGATTTATTTAAACTCACAAATTTAAATGATCCATGTGATGACCTTTATAGAATGTGGCTTTTGTCAAAAATATTGTTGATTATGAAAAAATATTACCGAAAAAAGTAAAATGTGACGATGTGTGAAATAATTAATGTATAGTTACTCGATGGAGTTGTGTGATGTCACTGGTTCACGAAACACAAATATATTTTCACATCACGAAAGTTCTTCCACAGTAACTCACCTTTCCCACTAGAGGGTACAACGGTACCTTTTGTTAAGCCTGCTGAACACAGCTCAGGGCTACTCTAGAAACAAAATATCCCAAGAACTTTAAATTAATTGTATTCAGCCACAAATTCTTATGTCGGTGCATAGCACCAGTGTTGATTGAGCACGAAAACACTTTCACTTTGGGGTTATTAACAAACCATTTCTATTCTAATTTAATGCAAATTTCGACAACCCTTTGATTTTAAAAACATTGCTTTCTTACAAAACATTGTACAAATTGAACCTTTATATTGCATAATTAAAGTGCCGTGAGTTTGGTTAATTTTAGTTTGTGTAATGTGACAATTAGATAGAGATATTCAGGAACTCTATCCAAAGGTATGCAGCAGAAAGTCAAACTCACCGAGTTTGTCATTTATATATTTGACACAATGCAACACCAGATTCTATTTTCTGTTCACTGTACAACATGATGAATCGTGGTGGTTCAGTGGCCAGCATACTGCACTAAATCATCAAACAAAAATGGTTACCGCATCGCACGCTTTCAGATACGCTTCTGCGGCCGTCTGATATTTGGAAGCCACTGGAGCGATGCACTTTTAAATCTAGATTAAAAACTAATTTCTTTTGAACTCTTCTTTGTATTTAGTTTGTTGTCCTTCCCCGCACCAACGATTAGCACGGTTGGCTACGTACGGTGCAGAAAAAGTTTAACATACATACATACTTACATAAACCCAAAGATCTGATCAAGATTAGTGTGGAGTTAAAGCTGAATGTCCCCTGCACACCCTCCTTTCACAAACTAGCACTGACCAGCATGGTAAAGTGTGGTTAAACAACTCCCATGACATGCAGTGGAGGGACACCCTCAGCATTGGATCAACAAAGGACTATAAATCAGTCATACGAAAATAAAAAAATTAAGTGAAAGTTCCTCCCTGCTCGAATGAGCACCGGGACAGTATTCCACTCTTAAGGTGGACCTCATCCAGCAGTGGAAATTCCACCTTCCCATGGCTTTAGGACAGTATCTCCTTGGGGCGACCATTCCACTTTAAGCAAAGTGATATTGATTTGATCGGCCCTGGGGGCATGATGGACTGAGTTGAACCTGGCCAGGATATGAACTCACAACGTCAGCTTTTAAATGAAGCACTCTAAGCACAGTGCCACCCACCCATATAAAATGCTACTCTTGTAATAGTGATATTTAGCTCTACCCTAGGCTTTGTTTTTTAAGCCTTGTATCAATCCACTGCTGGATTAAGGCCTCCAAACTCTATTGATCATGGGGTTTGTTAGCCATACTTCGCCATGCTAGTCATTTTGTGTTGGTGGGGATATTAACTCATGTGGCCGGGTTCATTGCGTGGATCACTGTGCCACTGCTCCATACTTGAGGCCTAATTTTTTATCTCATGTCTCCCCTGGAAAATGAGTGTTGCTGTCTCAATGCTCTGTCACCTACTGTACCTGGTTGAATACAATTTTAGGCCACCTGCTCTAGCGAGTGAAGTGCTTGTGATTAATGAATGATGATTTGGCAACTTTGGTTTGTTTCACTGATGCATTTGCTAGACCTGCGATGATGAATCTCAATACTTTGAGCATTGCTAGTCTGGTTAACAGATTAATCGAAGCATTGTTACAGCCCGAGTCGTTATTGAGGTGTGACGACTGAGATTTGATGATCATGATTTCCATTTTTCTTTGGTTCTTTCAGGTAAAGTCACGTATAAAGATAAAATAATAAATTAAATAATAGCATACGACGTTTCGATTGCAACACAAGCAATCATCATCAGGTATAATGAAATAGCAACATAAAATCTAACCAGAAAACTATAGACAGACATATAAGCAGACAGATATCACCAAAATACACAGAGAGAGCAACACAGGTACAGAGAGGGGGGATCGTCTCTGTGGGGTGGCCTTAAATAGACAGAGGGGGGCAGAGGCAGAGAGAGGGAGGGGTTAGAGAAAAAATGTACATGTCAATGAGTCGCAGGCTTGAACATTAGGAGAGAGGGAGAAAGAACACACTAAATTAAATAACCTAGCAAAATATCGAAATGTTATGTAATACGACACAGTCTATTTAATGCCACCCCACAGAGACGATCCCCCCTCTCTGTACCTGTGTTGCTCTCTCTATGTATCTTGGTGATATCTGTCTGCTTATATGTCTGTCTATAGTTTTCTGGTTAGATTTTATGTTGCTATTTCATTATACCTGATGATGATTGCTTGTGTTGCAATCGAAACGTCGTATGCTATTATTTAATTTATTATTTTATCTTTATACGTGACTTTACCGAAAGAACCAAAGAATAATTCCTGCAGTCACGAAAGCTCCAAAATTAAGATTGATTTCCATTTTTTTTTACATTGGGGTGACTATAGCTGCCACTCGTGTCTGCAGAGGTCGTGCATTTTTGCATCCCTTTGTTAATATACTGCTGGTAAAAGACTTAACCACTCAGTGAACCACTCTATATCGGTGATGTGCATGTTGGCCATACTTGAACAAGCTGGTCAGTGAGGTCTTATGAAGGGCGGTGAGTATGTTAATGGAAATCATTGGTTTATTTTCTAACATTCACTTTTTTTTACTTTGGATATCTGCTGAGGAGATGGAGTGATTGGATCAGCTCGTGTGTGGGTGCTGGGTGTATTAGTCCAGTCGTGCATTGTAGTAGAAGGCTGTTTCATTTCTCATGGTAATTTTTATTTGGGGGGGGGGGGGGGGGAATTGCCAACCCCCTGGACCCACTCGCCCATCTGATGTGCCGCTTGACAACGGTTTTTACATTGCAGGAAGTCAAGGTGCGGAAATAATTTACAGAGCTCAGCACCGGACAGTTCCAGTCTAAACTAACCCTGTGTTTTTCAACATTTGGGTATGGCTGCCTGCCTATTAAAAACATTGGTCCCCATTACTCAACCCTCTGCCCTCCCCCTTGAGCCTCAGAATCACAACTCGGGTTACTCAGGCTGCAAAACAGATGTCACATGTCCACGCCTCTAGTCAACACCACTGGTAGTGTTAGTAAGACATTTGTGTCACGTTCTGTTGGTGTGTGTTTGCCACCGCAATATTCCACGTGCACACTCTACGTTTCCCCTGCGCGGTATCCACGCTGCTGCCTCGATTCGATTACAGATCCGCAAATGATGGCGACGCTGCCACCCTCGGAGGCCTTCCTCCAGCAGCGGATTTACCATGATTGCTGAGAGTGCTTAATTTACCGTCGAATATTTTCTGGGGACCAATCAATCCACAGCCCGTCTAGGTCCAGATATTGATAACGGTTCTTCCAATTAAATATTCAACACATTATTCGGTGATACTGCGTTTGCAGTGCACACAAAAACAACAACAACAAAAAAATCAACACATATGTCAATAACAGGAAAAATCTAGAATAGGCGATATTTCTGACAATGAAAATGTATAAATTGCTGTGCATAAAGGCTGTTACCCGAAACCTCATCTATTACATTTAGTTTTCCTTTCAATAATTTTTTTTTAGGAATGTGTTCATGTTTTTGTTTTGCTTCGCTACAATCCAGAAAGAACGTTCCAATATATTTGTAATTTTTCTGGGTTCTTTTTTCCGGAGCTCAGCCCCGGGGGGGTGGGGTGGGAGAGGGCCCATAAGAGCGCTGGCCAATTGCTCGAACCGCGATGACGGAACGGCTGCTGCGCTCGGCACTGCGCATGCGCGGGGCTCGTGCCGTTGCCACGGGCCTACGAGGGGGCGAATCGCCGCTGCCGCTGCTCCACTCGGGTCCCGGAGACAACGACGGAGACGCGGCGTGGACTGCGGCTGACAGCGGCAGAGAAAGAAGAATTCCCCGCCCGCCAAGCCGCAGCAAGGCAGAAAGACGACAACGACGGTGGGGGAGGTGAGAGACAGCCCGCGGCGTGGGATGTTGATCGGCGCGGAGCCGTGAGTGAGTTGAGGGGCGATGTGTCCCGCGGCCTTGTGAACTAGTCGAGGCGGCGACAGCTGTTGAAGGCAGCTGTGGTAACCTCCGTCTACATTCTTAATCATTGTCATCATCAGCAGTAGCAGCAGCCGTGGTCAATCCACTGCTGGAGGAAGGCCGCCCACGAGCCCTTGTCATCTCACGATGTTATGACATTGTGATAGTCCACTTGACACCCGAGAATATTTTACCGCTCCATCTCCTCGATGAAGGTACCCCCACCACTCCCTGGCATTGAACCTACGTTCCTGTTCCTTTGGGCTGCTGCTGCTGTAGCCTCGACCGACGGCGATCGATTCCTACCCAAGGCACACTCTTATTTACAGTGTGAATGATGCCGTTGAGCTGCGTGACTTTTATTCGTCTACGCGTTGTTATTCCGCGTATAAATTCTCTTTTATTCCTATGTCCGTGTCGTGTACGTCACTTGACGTGTGTGTGCGTAGTTATATATTTTTTGAGCAACATGAGTAAGTTTTAAGTAATCGTTGAATTGGTGGTCGCCATGGTCGGGAATCGAACTTTTCTCGACGGGGTTTATATCGCAACTGCCCTTAATACTGTGCAAGCGCTTTGCTCTCCAAGGGCGACTCTGTCTAAAGTTAGTGTTATGTACCTGGTAGCGTGGCCATGTGTTTTATAGGTGACGCCGGCCCTACCACGGTCGGTGACAGGCGTAGTAGGTGTTGCAAACAGCACTCTTCTCTTTCACGGAACTGTGGTAGCCTCTGACTAAATCAGCCGGAATGGGTCGGATCTCGGAAGCTGACGGGGCCTTTGATGGGAGACCACCGTATGGGCTGTGGGGTTACGTTGCGGGCAGCAGCACACTGCCTGCCCTACGTGTGGTTTGAGACTGCCCTATATAGTGTTGCCCTACTGCACTTTTTTGCCATAGCTGAATAGGTGCTCGCCAACAGCATCTGACTCTTGACACCTGTTGGACTGAAGGGACGTTAAATTGCAGTAGCTGTATATATATGATTTAGGCTGAGCCGACCTAAGGCAGAGCCAGTACTTGACAATGGTGATGTTCCTGGCTGGTCGTAAAACCCGGAATCGGATTAATATGAATGAGTACAGTACTTTGTGGTACCAGGCACTTGCATCTCATTTCAACGACACTGATTGTGGGATGGTTATTTTCATGGCAGAAACCCTGTTCATAATCCCATTCAAGTTGAAACTGGAACCCTCCCATCGAGGCATACTGATTCCTGTGGAAGGCATCCACAGGAGTCACGACATTTGGACACCTTTCCTGTGTATTGCAAGCTAATGTTTTGGGCACTTTATATATTGCATGTAAGTACACTGACCTCATTATTTATGACACAGCAAGCTTAGGCCACACCTATTCACCGGTTACGATTGTACAGTATCTAGTTATTCTTGATTTAATTGGCGTTATTAAAACAAATCCATGGAACTTACTGTTTAAATAGTGCATAGTCTGCAGACAGCGTGCTTTAATTGTCGTATTACAAATACTGCCATTAAACTTGAAACTGTACAATGGATAGATAATGATTTGACCAATTAACTTTCGGTCAATAGTCATCTTTGTTAGTGTTGATTCGTTATTATATTGGCATTATGCTTTCATTGTAAGAATGCTATATATCTTGCCCATCATGACGACAAAATGAACATGATTTCAAACCGGTCTTCCGTGTGGTTTGTCCAGTCCGACGTGAATTCTTTTGGAGTTAACATTTACACCATATTTAATTTGAAGTTGATATATGTTTTTAATTAAGATTCGTATTTTTGGTCTGGCATATGTAATTGCACAAATTGTAAAGTAATTTGTATTGTAAGCATGATTTAGATACAACTTAAATTTTTAAATCGACTTATTACATTTTAGGGCATTAAGAATTACATTGAGGTCATGACATTCAAATATAAAAGTATGCAGTTTCAAAGTGTCTTTTGTTTGGCCTCAAGGTGGTCACATTGTGATACCTTTTATATGCATTATTTTCATAAGACAGTTACTAAAACAGTGGAAAGGACCTTAATGATTATTTCCTGGCTGTGTAGGATTTATCAAAAACCAGAATACCACAAATATCCAAGAGAAATTCGCTGGGTTTTTTCACTAGTCCCAAGCAGGTTGGTTACATCTGGCGCTTATATAAATATCACATGCATTTCTGATATGTGTACACATTGCAACTTGTATGTATAAACAACAACAACGTATGTGCACTGAATGGTTTGTTTAACTGTTTAGTTTATATTTGGATTTTGTTCATTTCCAGATGCTGAAGACTTGGTTTTGAGCACAGGACAGGTATGCCAGGACAGCATGTCTGAAGTGCAAGCATCTGTGGAGTTTTGTGTGGAGCTGCACAAGTTCTACAATGTGGACCTGTTCCAGCGAGGGTGAGTTGTTACCAAGATATAATGCATACGGAATAAAACTACAGTAAAACCTTGGATTGCGAGCATAATTCGTTCCGGAAACGTGTTTGTAATCCAAAGCACTCGTATATCAAAGCACTCGTATATCAGTTGTGATCACGTGACGCTCGGCAGACAAAGCGTATACGTACTACTCGTATTGCAAGACCTCGCTCGTTTATCAAATTAATATTTATTAAAAAAATTTGCTCATCTTGCAAAACACTCGCAGACCAAGTTACTCGCAATCCAAGGTTTTACTGTATAACAAAATACAACATTGGCAGGAGACTCCAGACTGCTCTTCAGTCAGACCTTGTGATTTACCACTTCCCCCACAGATGCACTGTACTGTTTCACTTCCCTCTAAGTGATAACTTTCTGCTTGATTGAAATGTATTACTGGACTGCAAATTTCAAAAAAATGTATATGTCCTGCACAATTGATTAAAGTGGTTTTTTTTAAACAAATAAACAGCTGTTGACTTTAATTTGAAAAAAAATTTTTGCACAATGCAGTGAATCAAAACATATGGGATTTTGGATATGATGCCAGCACTAAATGGCATGCCAGATCTTCAGATACCTTCACAGGGTCCTCAACATCTCCATTATAACTCTCGGCATATTTCCTGGAAAAATTAATAGGGAAGTGTAGGAATAAAATGTTTTTTTTTGTAAACTGGCTTTGTAAATGCTTTGTTTTTTAGATATTTCATGTGATCCCTTTATGCTGTTGGACTATCTATTGTAATGTTGGTACTTTGTGTAAAGGGTCAATCGAAAGACAAATCCTATGAGAATGTATTTTCTAAAATACGATGCTTAAATTGAAACTCAGGAAATGTTAGTTACAGAAGGACTTTTGATTTAAAGCTTTCGTGACTGCAGGGATTCATCTTCTTGGTTCTTTCGGTAAAGTCACGTAGAAGGGAAGTAATAAAATAATAAAAAATAATAAAAATAAAACATAATAAAATTATTCTCACGACGTTTCGGCCACAACGCAAGCAGCCGTCCTCAGGTGAACCTGGTTTTCACCTGAGGACGGCTGCTTGCGTTGTGGCCGAAACGTCGTGAGAATAATTTTATTATGTTTTATTTTTATTATTTTTTATTATTTTATTACTTCCCTTCTACGTGACTTTACCGAAAGAACCAAGAAGAAGAAGGACTTTTATTATATTTTAAGAAAGTCAGTAAACATGAAACATTGAACAATGAGGCGGTGTGTTTTTTCATCAACAAGAGATGTAAAAATATTTTAAAAAACAGCCACTCTATTTGTAAAAAGATTGAATACAGTGCATTATATGCCCATGAGACTCTTAAATATTGGTCAACATTTTTTCTATTCAAAATGAAAAATGGTTCACTTTGCTACAGACAGATGTTGGCACTGTGCCTCCAACCATTCCATGGGTTTTAAAGAAATAATTCTGCCTCAATTTACCCACAGCCCTTTCAATCTCTTGACCACAAAAGTGAGCACCATTCCAGAGAGTATAAATTGCACTTTTGCAGTCACCACGATAGGATTCCATTGAGTTGCTGCTTTTGTCCTATTAAGTCGGTTACATTCAGTAGAGCTTAAAGTTGTTTAATTAAGTGGTTGTATTCTTAACAACATTGATCGTGAATAGCCTTCCTATAGCTGAGGTTCTCTAATGAGGCATGGACACATTGTAAATGAAATTAATATGTACATCTTGGAAAAATGTTTTAGAAACTGAATGTAATTAAAATAATGAATTCACTATAACATACATGCGTTTTCAGTGTTGTAAGACAATAGAGTGATTATATAATTCGTTTTGAATTCTATACATTTTGGATTTCATCTTTCACAATAATTGTTGTGTTTATTGTTACTTGATCTTGTTTCTGTCTTTTACAGACTTTATCAGATTAGAGTGTCTTTGAAACTGCCGCCAAGGATTCCACACAAAGTAGATGCGGTTCTTATTCAGTCTGAAGGTAAGATGACTGACAACCCTGCACAAGCACAGTGGCACACTTTCCTGAAATGTCTTATTACATTGTCAACGTGTGCCTGTGTATGAAATATATGTAGCGGCTATGTTAATTTTGTTATAGCGATCAGCCAGCAAATCGTTGCTCGTGATTCCACCGACCAGAACCGTAAAATAAATTTCCGACAGAGCTTTTCCAGTCACCTCCACGCTCAAGCATCATCACAGCCCTTGGTCTCATGACATTGTCTCTGAAATATGGTGCTGGTCGAATGAATGTGCTTATTAGTATTAAAACAATTTTTTATTCTGGCTCATTTATGGGCTGTTGGTGTCATCGCATACAGCACAACACCTTTGGCCTTGACCTCTCCTTAGGTTAATTTGGCTTTTTAATGAAAACCTGGTGGGTTCTCACTATGCTAGAACTCCAGAGGCTAATATTTTAAATCATGCTGTTGTATTGTCTGTGGCAGTCTAAATACGTTTAATCCAATAGTTTTGTGCTGTCTAACCGATGTATTGTTAGTTAGTTATACAAGTAAATAAAGTATCTACATCATGGGACCTCCTTTGCCAGTACCAAAATATGATAATAGGGTTTTCCCCTTTTTTCTGGCAACAAAACAGGTGTTAAGATGTTAAAACACCAAACTGAAAGCTTTAACACGCAATCGTGTCTGCATGAACCACAATACTTGTGGTCAGAATGCAAACAAAAAATATACTCTGATAATATATGCATTGTTCTTAAAGTATATTTTTTATTCTTAGGTTTTAATGTTTTTACCTACGTGACTTTACCGAAAAAACCTAAGAATATGAATCATTGCAGTCACGAAAGCTTCAAATCTAGAAGTATCTTTTTTGTTTGCATACTGATCACAAGCATTGTGGTTAATGCAGACATGATTCCTTGTAAAAGGTTTCAGTTTGGTGTTTTAACATCTTAACACCTGTTTTGTTGCCAGAAAAAAGGGTAAAAACCTATTATGAAATAAAGTAGTCGCTAAAGGTTAGTCTTATCTTCTAGGAATGACCTTAAATAGCTCTACTTCTAATATATTGATGGGATTCAGTAATATTCACAAATAACATTCATTTGTATGTCAGTAGTTCATGCAAGCACTGTAGATGTTACTCATATACAAGCAGGTGGTGATTGCACTATGTAATGTATTGCGTGTTTCCTTATACAGTGCTACCCCGGAGATCGAACTTAATTCGTTCCAGAAGGCCATTCGAACACCAAATAAATTTTCCCCATAAGAATGAAAGTAAATGACATTAATTGGTTTCAGACACAAGAAATAAATGAACATTGAACTTCACTTTACCTGTAGTAAGGAGAGTTGATGGCTTGAGTGGAAGGTGGTGAGGAGGATGTGGTGATGGTGTCATTGTTTGGAAGGGGAGTCGCCTTTGTCTGGGCAAGCGTCATGCACGCTGGCCATAAGCGTCTCAGCCGTACAGGTTCTTTCAAGTCGCGATTGCCCGTTCGACCTCCGAATTTTGTTCGGTTTCTGGGGCAAAAAATGTTCGGAAATATCGTTCGAACACCGATTTGTTCGAGTTCTGGTGCGTTCGATCTCCAAGGTTGTACTGTATTTGTGTTAATATTTCAAATATTTTGAGGATATACATGCAAAGCTTATTAATCCCTTCAGAGAGATACTCTACTTTGGTCCTGTTAATTATTTATATAGAACATTATTTTTGGATTGTTTCCAGTATTACTCCTAGTTGTTTAACAACATTATTGGTAATTAACCTTTTCCGCTTGAAAACGACATTGACCATACATTACTAATGACCACCTCTTGCCCATTAGAAAATAGTGTGACGTACAGTCTTAGAATGTCTGTTTAATGGACCTTAACTAAATACACAATGTACCCTCAAACTTCACCAGTTGTACACCTGCCCTGCACCTGTAGCTGTTAAATGTATTTCATAGAGCTAAACATGCCTGCATCCAGTGTGAAATGTGTACTTCTGTAGTTATATCTTTTTTTATTCACTCGATGGTGGACCATCAAACAAGTGCACTTGAAACAACTGGACATGATATAGAACACCCTGCCTCAGCAGCGCTCCCGCTATACATTTTTTTTTCCTGCCTCAGTAGCTCTCCTGCTATTTTTTCACCTGATGACGATCGCTTGTGTTGCGATCGAAATGTCATGATATTTTATCATTTTTAAAAATTATTTTTCTATCTACGTGGCTTTACCGAAAGACCCAAAGAATATGATGAATTCCTGCAGTCACGAAAGTTTTAAGTCAAGATTTAACTGCAGATGACTTTAGAAAAAGTATTCATGCACACCCTTGTGCTGCACCACACCAGTTGGGACACTGTCGTCGACTAAATAGTAAAAAGAATAAATGATTTCTTGCTCAAATGAGCATTGGGGAGGTACTCATCTCCTGTTTTAAAGCCCTGTACCAGTCGTACAATTTACACATTCCAATGGCAAGGGGTGAATTTATCCACAGAACAACCACTGTTGACTTGCCCACAAAGTGGCACCTATTACACGCTTTCTATTAACTCGCTCTGTTGTCGTATCCTCAAATCTTGTAACTAAATGTTAACCCACTTCCCAATGTCGTATCGACTGCAAACTTGGGACACTTATGTCATACTGATGACAATACTATATTCTATGATTTTTTAAAAATGTAAACAATCTTTTTTATATGTTATGTTTCGGCTTGGGTCTAATTGTCCATGGTCAACTGATGTTGGCTGTAAATCACCACAGTCCCTTACGTTATGGCAAGCTTCGGGGCCACTTCCTAGAGTCGTGGAGTTCTTCCATTACTAGTTGGATACATTTCATTAAAGCGTGTTTTTAAAAAGTTTTGGTAAATAGTACTTATTTTATTTACTCTTTAGAGATGATGGGTTGAATCAACCCCCATCCAGAATTTGAACTTGCAGCCTTGTGATTGGGAACTGCTCACTCTATCACTCAGCCACTTGTCTGCGGATTGACTCAGCCCATAATTCATGTGGGGTCTATCATAGGTTTTGCAATAGTACGCTTATATATGTAATATAAACCTTAAAGGTACACGTTGTTATTTCTATCACTGATGGCCCATTTAATATGTATAATGAAGAGGCTTCAAATGCTTGTAAAGTGATGCACAGAAATGTGTGTGTGTGGCCTGGATGAATGTGTTTAATATGATTAATGATTTTCAATGCACCATATATTTTCAGTGAACAATAATCAGAATAAAACACATGTTCAAAAGCTATCCATGTGTATACTTTAAACATTAACATTATACCTTACAATTAATACAAACCATGGTTAATACAATATTGTTCAACACACAAGCAGTGTTTGCATTGATGCAATTCAAATGAAACAATGTCATTTAAAGGCAACCACATCTAGCACACAATGAAACGTATCATGCCTTGTTAAGATAGGCAGAATTATGTAAAAAAAATACTCTCAATAGAAAAAAAAATCAAAGCAGCAATGTGTCGTGGTGGGGTTTTTACAGCAGCATTAACTTGATTGGCACTGGCCTTTGTGGCTGAAAATACTTGAAAGGGTTATGTGCCGGTGACGGTGCTGGCGTAAATGTTTAATATTTAATGAGCGATAGCAAAGCAAGTGAACTTTCCTTTCAGAATGTGTTTTTCAATCAAAACCATTGAAGTTTATTGAATGATAGATGTGCTGTGAAATGTGTGTTGTTTAAAGCGTTGGCTGCGATTGCTTCGGGAAGTTCAGATGACTCGCATTGAATCCCCCCCCCCCTGGTTAACGTACAAAGATTGAGGCATGGAATCACCTTCGGTAATTTTACAAAGCATGCACTGAACACAGTGTGAGAATTGAAGGATGCCAGAAACAACTGGATAACCAAGCATGTTTTAAAGAACGCCTTTATCAAAAGTTCCAGCACAATTTCAGTTTATGGATGTTTAGCTTCCTATTTAACATGTGATGACGTGTAACAAAGTACACTTATGACAGCGTCATATCTCTCCCTTGTTAGATTTTGCTTCCTGTATACAACATTTTATCCTGAAAACAGAGGTAGTACTGTCGCATGGGGGCAATGCACACGGTCATGACTGCGAATAGATACATGTACACCAGCCAATGTGACAGGATGTGACATATTTTTAATCGCAGCTCTCATTACCTTAACCGAAGCAGAATCAAAAGTAAATGTAATGGATATCTTTACCAGAACATGCTTCAGAGCGTGCCATTAAATAAGGTTACAGAAATAAAGCCGAAGCTTTGCAGTCTTGTTTTTAGAATTAGGAATTTCCAAAAGTACCTTAACCATCTCATATGTTGTCTTTATTTTTCATTATTTTCAAGGAATTGTGATGTGTGGCCTTTAACTTTAATTCAGTCAACATGGCTGCACTCTCCACTCTAAAGAAAACCCATTCCCCAAAATATTAGCCTACAAATTATTTTTTTGTTTGTTAGGGTTGTTAAGACATTGAGTCGTTTTGCTTTCTTTGCCAGACTACTTGCAGTCATGTCTGCACTGTATTGCTGCTTATCTGCTGTCTGAATAATGCTTTTGCAGTATTAATTAAGTCAACCTTTCAGAGAATTACTGCTGCTTTAATTTGTTTGCCTGTGCGAACCCACGTAAAGGTGTCTGGAATCCAATTATTCGTGTTACACGAGTGTCTCTTTCGTTTTCTGCCTTCATATGTGTGCCCTCAATTTGGTGGAGGGGCATTCTCATTGTGAGTGTGACATAGGTTTCATTCTAGCTTTGTTGCCTTGTCTCCTGAGATTATCTCTGCCTTAAGTGGGGTAGCTGGGGAAGTTCATGAAAGTGCCAACTGCGTGTGACATTAACCAGTTTTCAAGAGCATTCAGGTCTTTAGGGCTCCCTATTAACTGTATGTATTAGTCGTCACTGGAATACAGATTGACAAAAGGCTACTTGATGCAGTTCCAAGGAAACATTCTCAAGTCAAATCCCTTCTTGCTTCTTTAAATT